AGCCAGTAAAGGGGCCACAGGAAATGATACAGGTGATGGTCAAGAACGGGCACGGACAAAGAGTTTTCCCCCAAGTTCACAATTTTTATTATTCTGCAGCAAGATAAACTAACAGCATGTTTAATAAACAACTTTAAAAAAAGTACTAAGCAAGAGCACGATAAGACGGCTGGGCGCGGCCGCAGACACGGGGGGGAGAGGGGAGTCTAATAGGACGGAGCACTCACCTCACTCCGTGCCCAACACACACACGTCAAAACAATCGAAAATATAAGGGAAAAACCATAAATTGTGAAGGACGTGCAAAATTATCACCACACACACACACACACACACACAACTAAAGGGATGTGAAGCTGGGGTGAGAAGCTCCGGACACCGATCCCTCCACCGTCCAAGCGGCCACACTCTCACCGGCCCTGCAGCACTCATGCAAAGAAAAGAGAACACAACAACAAGTTAAAAACCGTACACAAACAACTGCTGCAATAAATATATTAAAAACCCTTGGGGGAAAATTAAACGAGTTAAATGCCACAGAGGGCTAAAATGACAAAGGGACTAAGGAACTAACAGAAATCATCTATTGCAACGAAGAGGTAAATAATACCAGAAAATGCAAAAGAAACTATATAACGAGGTAAACAAAACTAGTTAAACAAATAAAACAAAACAATATAACGAAACAAAACAAAACAGCAGTGGCAGTCTGTCTATAATAAAAGAGAACACAAGCCAATTAAATAACAATTCTGCCATACCCAAAAATAAAAATACATAAAGAAAGGTGGTGTATTACCTCAACACAATTCACTCTACATGTGAGTCAACATGCGGGATACCCAGGAAGCAGGACCTACAGCAGGACAAACCAAGCAGAGGATAAGCCACACAATCAGAAAACAATATCACAGAAAGAATAAAAAAAACCTACCACACAATGTGTGCCAAACAGTATGCCAGGGACCATGCGGAGGCAGCAACAGAGAGAAAGCCGGTCTGCCGGTTTAAATACACTGATAAATGAGGAAGTGGGTGGAGCTATCCTGCTGTCTAATCCTACGGTGGCCTGGGAGGGAAATTCACTACCGGTCATAATCTGCCCCGGGGATTTAAATTGACGACAATTTATTAAGACAAGGCCTAAAGAGAACTGGTATGGGAGCAGCACTAGAGCCAATTATTTGGGAATTTGTAGCCCCATCTGCCCTACTTGTCACTGATGCTGGCAGGCGGTAAGGGTTAGAATGTTTGCCAGCGTTCTCACGGGTTGACTTTCTTACCATCTCTGGACAGGGGGGTGAAGAGAAGCTGGTACCTGCACAGGCTTCAGGGGGAACTGCTGTAGGGAGTACAGGGCGCAGCACTGGGCCCACTTGAGGTGGGGCCTGTATATTGACAGGCTGGGAATCCTCTGACCCAGGTGCACAGCTGACTGCCACCCACAGGCCTTGCTCTTCAGTGTCGGGGCTTATCGTGGATGGGCTCCACCTTGTTGCAGGGCTGGGAAGAATATGAGAGGCCGGTACAGGTTTAAGCATGGAACGATGAACATGTCGTACCTCTGTCACCTTATGTTGTGGGGCCACAGCATACACTGCCCCTCCTCGCTCTGGGGGTCTCACCACTTGGAAAACTTTGGGGGCCCAGGCGTCCTGGATTTTACTCCTCCCTTGCTGAGAATGGTCCCTCAGGTAGACGTGTTGGTCTGCTGGTAACACGTCCCCCTGGGCCTGTTGGTCTGCCCTGTCCTTTCGCTGGGCGGCAGCCTGCTTCATCTTCTCTCGGGCATTCTCCACTGCCACCTGCAGCCGTCGCTGATGTTCCCGGACCCAGTTGCAGACTTCACCTGAGGTCGGCTCTTCTACACGACCCAGCAGGAAGTCCACAGGCAGCCAGCGTTCACGGCCAAACATCAACATGAAGGGGGATTGACCTGTAGTTTGGTGGGGTGTGGTGTTATAGCTGAACACAGCCTGTTGGAGGTATTCTGGCCATCTGTGCTTCTGTTCAGCTGACAAAGTGCGAAGGAGGGTCCGGTTAAAGCGCTCACACTGGCCGTTTCCCTGGGGATGGTAGGGGGTGGTTCTGGACTTTCTGATGCCATACAACTCACACAACTGTTGGATAATAGTGCTTTCAAAACTGCGACCCTGGTCCGAATGCAGCCTTGCTGGAACACCATACTTGTAGAACCACTCCATGGTTAACACGTCTGCCACTGTAGAGGCCCGCTGGTCTCGGGTGGGGACAACCATGGTAAACTTGGAGAAGACATCGGTTAGCACTAACACCTGTTCCCTCCCATCCCTAGCTGGCTCTAAAAATGAAAAGTCGATAGCCAATATTTCGTTGGGTCTGGAGGCTAACAAATGGCCCACTGGGGCTTGGACCTGTGGCTGTGTATCTTTAGAAACACAGCATCTCCCACATGTTTGACACCATTCTTTGATCATTTTGCCCATTCCTGGCCAATAGCACCTCTGCCGGATCAGCTCTGTGGTACGCTCAATACCTTGATGACCATGATGATTGTGTAGCTGCTGGAACACTTCTCCCCTCAGACTCTCTGGGAGGACCAGCTGGTACACCCATTCTCCACCATTGGGACGCTGGTACGTCCTGTGCAGCAGCCCGTCCCTCATGGTGAGTCAATCCCACTGGCCCAACAACCGCAGCGCTGCAGGATGGAGCCTCTGTCTCTCTTCACGGCCTGGCACCCGCCGCTGGTGAAAAAAAGGGAGAACAGCACTGATGGCTGGGTCAGCTCTTTGCAATGCTACTAGGTCTTTGGTAGAACGCTCTGGGACAGCAGAGATGGTGTGTTGGACTGCCGACCCTGTACCCACAACAGCTCCTCGAACCGTCTCCGGCACCAGGGTCCCAGGGCGGGCTGGGCAGGTCGCTACTTCACCTTGGGATGGGTGTTGCCTAGACAAAGCATCTGCATTGCGGTTGCTGCGCCCTGGGCGGTACCGCACAGTGTAGTCAAAAACCGCCAGCTCCCCCACCCAGCGCTGTTCTGTAGCACCCAATTTGGCAGTGCTCAGGTAACTGAGTGGGTTGTTGTCTGTTCATACCATGCACTTGTGGCCCAGCAAATACTCACGGAACTTGTCTGTCATTGCCCATTTCATGGTCAGAAACTCTAGTTTCATAGAGCTGTAGTTCTTTTCTGCAGGATGAAGACTCCGACTGGCATAGGCAATTGGTCTGACCTTCCCATCCTGCTCCTGGGAAAGGACTGCACCCAAACCATCATGACTGGCATCCACCTCTAAAATAAAGGGAAGGTCAAAGTTAGCATAGGCTAATACAGGTGCAGACACCAACCTCTCCTTGAGCTCGCTGAAGCTGTGTTCACACTGGGGGGTCCAGGAGTCACTCAGAGTAACACCCTGACCTCGGCGGTTCTTTTTCCCTGTAAGCTCAGCAACTACTTTGTGGAGGGGGGCAGCCAGCTTGGCAAACCCTTCGACGAAGCGTCTATAGTAGCTGGCAAAACCTAGGAAAGACCTGAGTTCAGCCACCGTACTAGGAATTGCCCAATCAGCCACCGCAGCAGTCTTCTTCGGATCTGTAGAGACACCTGCGGCAGACACTACATGTCCCAAGTACTGTACTTCTTGTTGGAAGAAATGGCACTTCTCCAGCTTGGCCTTTAACCCCTCCCTCTGAAAGCGGCCTAGAACTAAGTCCAGGCGGCTAAGGTGCTTGTCCACTGTGGAGGAAAACACAACAACATCATCAAGGTACAACAGCAGGGAACGGCAATGTTGGTCCCCAAACATCCGTTCCATCAGTCTCTGAAATGTACTGGGGGCATTGCATAGGCCAAATGGCATCCTTTGGAACTCAAAAAGACCAAATGGGGTGCAGAAAGCAGTTTTCATTTTATCTTGCTCTGTGACAGGGACCTGATGGTAGCCGCTAGCCAAGTCGATGGTGGAGAACCACTGAGCTCCCGACAGAGCATCCAAGGACTCTTCAATTCTTGGTAGGGGAAAGGCATCCTTTCGTGTCTTGCCGTTTAGCAGCGTGTAGTCCACACAGAGTCTCAGGATCCCGTCCTTCTTCCTAACCAAGACAATAGGAGAGGCATAGGGGCTACAGCTTTCCCGAATAACCTTGCTCTCTAACAGGTGACGTATGTGGGCCCTTACCTCGTCATAGTCAGAGGGGGGTATTCGCCTGTACCTCTGTCTAATTGGGATGTTGTCAAGTAAGGGGATGTCATGTGTCACAAGGTTAGTACAACCAAGGTCCAGGTCAGAAGCTGCAAACGCAGCTCCATGTTCCAACAACATGGACTTAACCTTTCTCTGGTCTGGCTCAGAAAGTGAACATAATTCCATGGACTCAATTTGTTCTCTCACTGGGCTGCTTTGAACTGCTTGAGTGCCAACTGTAGCTGTGACCCCCCCCCAACTTGTGTTCTACAGTAGTAACTCCCTCTGGCAAACTTACAATCTGCGCCTGACTTAAAAGTCCTCTGGGGTGGCGTGGGTGTAAAAGGACATCTGTCTCACCTACATTTACCACTGGCACATACACTGTTCCTCTAGTGACAGTGACCATTGCTGGGGAGATTAGCACACACTCAGGGAGGGACCTACCATCATCAAGGTGCTCAATCAAAGCAGTACCTAAAGGCCCACCACAATGAGAAGAAAATGTCGCTGTAACCCACTTAACTGTACCCCTAGGTATAGTGATGGGATGCCTACCTCTCACCCGGGCTAACCCTGACTTGGCTTGCTTTGTATGAGACTGAGCATGGTGGCAATGTTGTAGCGCCTGTAGCCACACGGCAGGGGCCTGCTGCATTATGGGGAGGTCAAAAAGGTCAGGACCATGTTGGGTGAAAAGCTGCTGATAACACTCCCTAATCACATTCATGCCTAAGACCCCAGGGGCATCTGAGGGACAGTTGTGGCCAGGAGGGTCTTTTATGACCAACACACCTCGCTGTGGTATAACTTTGCCAAAGACTGTGACATCCAACTCTACATATCCTACATAGGGAATTTCTAGGCCATTGGCAGCGCGCAGCTGCAGCCAGCGGCAGGACCTAGGGGCACTCTGGAAGTGTTGGAGGAAAAAACTTTCAGTGATGGTTGTCACCATTGACCCTGTGTCTAGAAGGAGGTTAACAGGCACATCTCCTAAGCTAACCGTTACCTTGGGGCAAGGTGCTACGAGGTTAAGGGCAGCAGTCGGAGTAGTTGGTCCCTGTACATCCGAGCCGGTATTCTCCCCTCCTGATGTTTGGCTCCTCACATCAGGGGGAGGAAGTTTCCCGCATCCTGAGCGGCAGAGGTAGCTGTTATGGGGTGTGAGACCTGTAGCTGCTGAACCTGGGGATCAACACGTTCGTTATTGCATTCATTGGCATAATGACCTGGTTTTTGGCAACGCCTACATATAACAGTGTTTGGACGTGCTGGTCTAATGGGGGGCTTATTGTGGGGCCTCGAAGCAGCCTGAAGTGCCAGTACACCCTGTGTCAATTGGTTAAGCTGCTCCTGTTGCTTCTGTAACATGTGCTTCAACTCTGCCATTTCTGTAATACTAGGACTAGTAGCTGCCCTAACCTCAGAGCACTGCATGGCACTAAAAGAGGGCACCGAATAGCTCCTAGCCCTAGGCTCATCAGGTCGTCCCTCCCGCTCCCAGCGAATGGCCTCTGCTCTAATGTCCAAGAGGGTATACTCAGGATGTTGCCGCACTATCCCCTTTAGCTCCCTACGAAGGTTAGCATCATGGACATGCTCAACGAACTGGTCCCTAAGAAGCATAGGGGCACCTGCACTCCGCTCGGGGCACAGCGTTCAATTTTTTCCATGAGACAGTACAAAGCATGTGAAAACTCTTGGAGTGACTCTCCCTCCTGCTGCCTTCGAGAGAAGAAACACTGCTGGAGAGAAACATGGGACTTAGAACAACCATACAAATCTTGGAGGACAATGAAAATTCTCTCCGGGTCCTCTCTTTCTGCTCTAGGCCGGTACCTAATCTCATCCTTGGCCTCTCCCTCCAAGTGATCATATATAAAATAAGCTTGCTCAACAGACCTCATATGTCTAATTCTCAGAGTTGCCCTCATCTCTTCAACCCAATCCTCCACTGGGATCCCAGAAGTCCCCCTAAAGACTGGACATTTTCTTTCCCTAGGGATATACAGCACACGTTCAACAGGGTCCTTTAGAACAGAGTGTCGCAAACCAGCTGGACTATCAGGACCTGAGCCTGACTGGGATGCACTGGCTACTGCTCGTTCCTGCAGTAGCTGCTCCTTTTCAACCCGCAGCTGCTCGATCAAGTCTCTTAATTCTTGGAGCTCGTTGGCCATGGCTGCAGTGAGGACACGGGAAAAACTCAATCTGAGAACACTTCGGCTTCGTCAAAGAGGGACCCCAGGGCGAGGAAGCACCAACACTCAACCAGTCCCACGAAGTGCACACTGCTGTTTTGTTTGAACCCCCCGCCAAAAAAAAAAACATTTTTTTTAACTTAATTATATATATATATATATATATATATATATATAAGGTGTAACCCAAATTTTTGTCACTTACACCCGCCTAGACCATCACTGTATCCTGCCGACAACACCAGAATGTGACCGTAAGCCAGTAAAGGGGCCACAGGAAATGATACGGTGATGGTCAAGAACGGGCACGGACCAAAGAGCTTTCGCCCAAGTTTCACAATTTTTATTATTCTGCAGCAGGATAAACTAACAGCAATGTTTAATAAAACTTTAAAAAAAGTACTAAGCAAGAGCACGATAAGACGGCTGGGCGCTGGCCGCAAGACACGGGGGGGAGAGGGGAGTCTAATAGGACGGAGCACTCACCTCACTCCGTGCCCAACACACACACGTCAAAACAAATCGAAAATATAAGGAAAAACCATAAAATTGTGAAGGACGTGCAAATTAATCACCACACACACACACACACAACACACTAAAGGGATGTGAAGCTGGGGTGAGAAGCTCCGGTGAGGAACTGTGGAGTGTGAGTTCCTTTGTCCAGTGGAGCAAAGAAACATTTGGTCTCTTGAATGATTGAGTCCCCAGTCCCCCCCTTTGTTGTCAGGATGCCACTCTGACGTGTCATCCTGAGAGCACAATGTATAGTTCATTTGACAGTTCATTCAAGGGGTAACATCTGGGCATTTGTCAACACTATCTATCTTGGCTAAGCAAGAGCAATCAGGTTTACAAAGCAGAATTCAGATAATAACCACAATGATGGAACAGTGTAAAACAACTAACATGTTCCTAGTTACTCATGGTGTTAGTGAGGACCGGAAAGTCAGTGATGTTAGTTTGTTTAAGGTGAGATATAGAGGGTGCACCTAGAATGACATGGTTTGGAGTGTCTGGGTGAGTGTGCCATGTATATGCAATGTCCTAATCTTGTATCAGATGACAGGAGATTGTTACTAATCTCACCTGTAAAGTATGACTAAGGAGTTACCTACCTACCTGCAGAATCTGACAGTACTGTCTGATTTGATTCAGAATTTAGTTTGCTGCTGCTGCTGACAAACCCATTGTGTCCATCTGCAGAAGTGTAGGGTACCCTGAGCCTACTTACTGTCAGTACTCAGTGCGGGGACTCTGTGACGCCTGTTGCTTTAAAGTTTTCCCTAACTTGTGGCACGAAGCTGTAACACTCTGAGTAGCTGAAGGAGGAACATTCAGAGGCATTGTCACTGTCTGCGATAGCATGGTCAGAGATCACGTGGTCATTATCTGATCCATGAGTTGACTGGTCCTGTGTCTGAGCCAGAATATCTGCGTAAGGCCGTCTCCTGCTCCTATTGTGGGAGTGCCTATCTCTACGCACTTGGTGGACGTGGCGGTTACGTTCAGCGCCCGTATGTGGCCTTTTGTCACCCCCCTTTGATCTGTTCTGAGGGTGATCTTTTGAGGTTACATGTCTGTGTGACGCTAAGGTGTTTGAGCTGCTAGGCTCAGTTGTTTTACCCCTTGCCTTGGAAGTGACCATGGTTTCCCAAGCCATTTTTGTCATCTTCTTTATTTCCTGCATGGTGGGCTTACCTTGATGCGTCATCAGTGTAACGTGGGTGCGTACACAGGGATGGAGGTTTCGCGGGAACAAAGACTTTAAGGTGGAGTTTTCCTCTAAGCCTGGTGTGTTCCTACCCTGAAAATATGCATGCCTCAAACGTTTGTAAAAGTCATTGGGATGTTCATGGCGGGAGTGTTTGATTTGAGAAGCTGCAACCAAAGATTCTATCTCATCCGCAGCAGGAGAGAATTCTTCTGTCAGTGCTTGACGGAGCTCTTTGTAGTCATCTCTGACACTGGGAGGCAGTGATTGCATAAACTTGTGGACTGCTTTTGAGCTGGTCTTCCACACTAGTTTAGTTTTCTCCCTTTGGGTTGCATGGGGCAAATCAATTAGGTTGTCATCTAACTCCCTAAAGTAGTTTTCAATATGTTGATCAGAGTTTTCTGGATCAAAATGTTCAATGTCCTTTGCTAAGAACTCAAGCACTTCGAGGCGGGGGCACTGTGAGGTCCCTACTGATGAAGGCGAGACTAAGCTAGCTGGACTAGAGGAAGGAGCTGAGCAGTGGTCATCACTCTCATGGAGGTGCAGAGAGGAGGCTGAACAGTCCGGGAAAGTTTTGGTCCTCCTGTTGGAGGGGTGAGCACAGGTGAAAGTGTTTTGAATCAGTGGCTGATGGGAACATGAATATCCTCTACCGGATAGACTACCTGTCTCTTCTGTGTCAATTTCAGGAAGATGGGAAGTCAGGTGGGTGTAACCTCTGTCTCTCAGTGGAGGTTGAGGAGCTGACTTCATTTCCCAGGACTTAGGGTCAGTTGGGAATTGATCCCATCTTCTGAGTGGAGGCGGAGTTAACCTGTCATTAAGGGAAGAGTGTGAAGCAGAAAAACCAGAATCACAAGCACTGAACGATTGTGGTGGAGCAAGGCATTCTGATTTAACCCTTAACAATTCCTCCTTGTGTGAACAGAGATCTAACTCTGCTGCATGCAGGTCTCCTAAGTAGCGCATGGCTTTCTTGTTAGCCTCCTTAACTTCCTGGAGGAGAAAAGCATTTTGAGCTCTAAGCGATTTTACCTCCTCCTCTAGGGCTGCTTGGCTCTGAAGGGCAATGCTGGTCTGCCTGTGGAAGTTCAACAGCACACATCTTAACAATGGGCCTTTGGATGCAGTCTGAGCATCGCCTCTGTCACTGAGTAGCAAGTCTATTTCTTTACTGCACTCACTGGAATTTAACTTGCTGATAAATTCTAGGTAGCCAGGCTTCAGGCTCTGTGCTAGGGAAGAAATAAACTGCTCTACACAGGAGTTCTCCATTGTTGTGTCTGGGAAAGAGGGAGGTTAAACAAGTTGTTTTGCAAAACAAGAAGCAATGTAGTTGGCTGTGGTGTTGCGCTGGCAGACACCTTGTAGTGTAGTTTGGCAGTACACTAGCCTAACTAAACAATGCAGTGGCCTACACTATGCTTCTAAATATTTTCCCTTCTTTTTTTGGTGGACATGTTTATTGATTGAAGTATGTAAGGTGTATATATGATCAGAGGTTCTGTAATTTGGAAGAAAACCAATTTGGCATTTACTAAGTGTGTTTTTGTCTTGAATTAAGTTCAATATCCTGGAGTTCAGAATACTATAGATTAGTTTCCCAAAGTTGCTGCTGACACAGATCCCTCTGTAGTTATTAGGGTCTGATTTATTTCATTTTTATAGACTGGGGTGATCAGCCCCTGGCTACAGACTTTAGGAACGCAGCCAGCACTCAGAACCAAGTTGAGCAGCTGAAGAATTGCAGTTTGAGCTCAGGGTGTCAGGCTCAAGACACGAAGGTTGAACCCAAAAGCACGACCAGAGAGGCAGTTAACAATCAGGCAGTTTATTGATCTAAATCAATTAAGCCTGACAACAGCGTTCCAGAAAAACTGGCAATCCAATGGGGGGAAAACTAAGAGACGTGGCCAGGCGGGCAGGGTTGAAACACAGACAGGCAGAAGAAGGCAACGGTACCGACAGGGAACAGGCAGATCTCAGGAAACGGGTAACAGAAACGGTCTCTCTCCGAATGGCAGTCAGGAAAACGCTGGTAAGTAACTCACTGGGGAAGAAAACAAACTGGCAAAGTACAAAGGGACACACAGGGCATAAATACTGTTGGAAATAATGAGACACAGGTGAAACACATTAGGGAGAAGGCAGGTAATCACACGGGAGGAAGTAAAGACACAAGAGGGAAACTACCAAAATAAAACAGGAAATGACATGCAGATATAAAACACTAAGGCCTGGGGACCGTTGTGACACGAGGTGCTGTTCTTCAGCATTTCATTTTTGATGCAATCTTTGCCACAGGCCTTTTTTTATTTAAGAGCTTTTAGTTTGTCTGTTAACTCTTTGTGTAATTGGGTAATCTAATGGAGCTTGGTTATTCTTGATGGCTGATTCTAGGTTGTCTAACTTTGTTTTAATTCAATTCAGGTCTTCAGGTGGAATACCTTCGTAGAGGTCATTATAATAGACATCATGCTGGATAAGCAAACAGCTACTGTTAAACACATGACTGAATGAATGAGCTTGGTTTCGTTCACTGTGAGGGAAAGCAAACAAAGAGGCTGTGTTTCAGTCAGTGTAACTTTATTGGATGATGATGTCGACAATATTCCCTCGGCTCTGTCCATCAGAACATCTGGATAGGCTTCCTCTGTAACAGTCAACAGCACAGAGCTCGATTAGACAAAAACTGAATGGAACAGCAGAGAGTTTAATACAAGCTCTAGACAAGCACTGTGTGTGTGTGTGTGTGTGTGTGTGTGTGTGTGTGTGTGTGTGTGTGTGTGTGTGTGTACTGATAACGCGCTCATGCGGACACTCACAGCACTGGTAGAGTGTGTTGAGCCTGGCGATGTCATTGCGGCTCATCTCCTTGGCGTTGCCAAAGGACACGTTGGCGTTAGGGATGGGGAGCATGGTGGGCTTGTTGTTCTTAGAGAAGGCATTCCTACAACAGGACACAGAGCAGTCAGACTAAACCACAGCACATCCTGCACACACAACACACATACATGTATCATAGCAGGCAGCAGTGCTGACGTGTAGCCAGTTGTTCTCACTTGTGGTACTGCATGACAGAGTTGTAGTCGTAGGGAGTGCCCTGGTTCAGGGTGGCGATCTTCCTGAAGTTGTGCTCCTTTCCTAGAAGAAATGATGCAGACAGAGTCAGTGTTTGTTTGATTTGAAGTTGAGATATTTTCTCTGGACAGAAAGGAGTTGAGCTGCTGGAGAAGGATCCCAACGAGCTGCAGAGCTCCAAGGTTTGGTGCTGATGGCTTTATATTGAAAAACCACTGAAACACTGAGCTTCTGTCTCATGTAGGAGCAGAGTTGTGCCAGAATCTGTGACCATGATGTCAGGGCTCTTTTTGTCCACTAGGAGGCAAAAGGGAGCCACCACACTTTATGTGACTAATTCTATTCCCTGTGGAGTTGTTGAGCCTGACGGTGGTTGATGGGAGGAAAGCTTTGGGACACATGGTGTTTTCAAAGGACTAAAGACTTTCAACAGTTTCATCTCTTCACCTGGCTCATGTCTCATCAGACCAGTGTCTCTTTTTTGAATCTTATTTGAATGTACTTGTCTGCAGTTGACTTGGTTCCCTCTCTAATGTGTCACTGGGGATGATAAAGAGCTCCATTACCAGACTGAACGTTCTGCAGCAGGACTTTGATGTGGTTGTCCCTGTCAGAGCGGGTTTGTTCGTGGTTGAATCCCAGAGCGTGCAGCAGCTCATGCTGGACGGTGCCGTGGTAAAGGCATCCACGACGGGCCAGAGACACCACCTGCTTCCCACCACGACGGCCGACAAAAGAGTAGCAGCTGCACAGGATCAGATAGGAGGTGAAGAACACTGAAGTCTGACAGCACCTCTCCTCTCAGACGGTTCATTTCTATCAGTTTCTTACCCGTCCTTGGACTCGATGCTCAGCCAGTCACGATCGCTGCTTCTGCTGGGCCTGAAGCGGATGCAGGAGAAGGAGGAGAAGGACTCCAGTCCACGGGTGATGATGGCCTTCTCACGGGAGGCTGACAGGACGACACCACACAACATTTAGCTTTTGACCATGTCACAGTGAAGAAATCACAGGAACGTGTTGGTCATGATATATAACAGGATTTTTTTTTTCATTATCAGTGTTATATTATTATGTATTATATATTATTTGTGAAGTGTAGAGATTACAAGTGACACAACAGCTCCTACAGAGAGTGTTGCATCATGGGATGTTTGTAGCTAAGTCCATTTGATACTGATATTTTATAGTAAGTCATCCATGTTTTAAGTGGATGGATGGTGGATGGACGGACGGACGGACGGACGGACGGCGGACGGACGGACGGACGGACGGACGGGACGGACGGACGGACGGACGGACGACGGATGGATGGATGGATGGAGAAGCTGTGTGGAAAGGCTCCATGATGAAGGCTTCTTCTTCTTCCTGGACTAATTGTATGTTGAGAACTTTGCCAGCAGGAGTGGTCTGAAAGTGTTTGTATCTTCAAAAACAGCTGTTGGAAGAGGAGGATCTGACCATCGGGGGCGTCTTATATTCAGGCCAATCAGGTCCATGTGTAGGGTTGTGAAGGAGATTCTTTAAGAGTAAAGTATGCTGATCAGACGAGCAACTAAACGCTGGTTCACTGGTTTCATGGATCCTTGCATTTTACCTTTCGTATTTTTAATCTTTATTTCTTATTCTATAATCTTTCACTATCAACAATAAGAAGCAAACATACAGCTGTCTGTGTGATGCTGGGAAATGAACGTTGATGAATGTTTGATTGAATTTTTTTTGACAAAGAAGCTGCTCCAACATGAGCAGTGAAACCCTGCTGTCTACAGACAGAGCATATGTGAACCCCCCAGACCTCCACCTGACACTCACAGAAGTGACTGGCGATGTAGTAAGGAATGTAGACCTTCCCGTCAGTCCACTTGCCCCACTTGCAGCCTCGGCTGGTGCAGGGGTCGGCGTTTTTCTCTGCCTCGCTGTTGACAGCGATGTCTCCTTCAGTCAGGATGGGACCATCGTCGGAGCGGACTGAAACACATCATACAGCAGCTTAAAAACCTGTTGAAGTGACTGAAGATGATGAGAAGAAGAAGAAGAAGGATGGAGACTGCAGCAGCTCACACTCACTCAGATTACTGTTGGCTCTCTCCAGAAGCTCAGAGACAGACAGCTCCTCTGAGTTCTCCTCTGCTCAGTGACAACAACAATTTCACTTTGCAAAAAACACACCAGTCCCAATACTGTGCTATTTGTCAACACAATAGATAGTGAGAGTGGATTACATACCTGCCTGCAGGTGGGAGTGAAAAAACAAACATGTCAATTCATAAAAACACAACATGAAAGCACGTTCACATCACAAACATCAAGTTACAGAGACATCAGGTTCAGAGATGAACCTTCAGCACAGTAGAGGCTCAGGTCAATAACATGTACACTGTGATATAACAGGCCTGGAGATGGTCCTACCTCGCTGTCGGCCCAGCAGCAGGCAGACAGGAGCAGCAGAGCCAGGGCTGAGAACCTGAACACAGACATGCGAGCCATCCCAACAGACCTGCAGGACACAGACAGGAATCAGCTGCAGCTTCTCCTCAGAGGACAGACACGGTGTTTGAACTGAGAGCAGACAGAGAGACAGTGAACACCTCTGCTTCAGGTTCTGCTGCAGCTCAACTCACCTTCTGATCTTCTGTGTGGACTTGCGCATGTGAGGTTTGACTCCAGGTTTTTATATATGTTTAACTGTGTCGGTCAGCCCAAATATGGATTATCTGAGTCCTACAAAACCTGAGGAATCAGCTACACCAGCAGGCTTATCAGTCACAAAATGTACAGATTAATACAAACACTTCCATACCACTATCAGTGGGGAAAAGGACACTTGTCACATATGTCACTTTACTTTACAAAACAGGTGGGAATGATGGATTAAAAGTCACTGATATGTTCTCATCATTGAACTCTATTGGATTAATTTAAAACACGGAGTGTTCAGTTGTAATTATTCAGTTGATGTCAGGTATTTTTATAATTTATAAATGAAATGATATTTATGTACTTAAATTATAAAGATGAACTTATGACTCATACATGCAGGTGTACAGAATAAAGCGCAGGTGTTGTACTGGAGACCAAGAAAATTTTTTCATACAAAATAGTAAAAAAAATGTTTAGGAAAAACAATTAACAAATTATTCCAACAATAAAGTTGGAATAATTTTGTTTTCATATACAATCCTCTGTTTATCCCTATTTAAAAGCATTAGTAATCACTTTTGACAATTACCCAGGTGAAATGAATTCATGCATAACATTTGTTTGGCGCTATAGTCCATTTCCTGCTTAAAGCCTTATGCAATAGGTTCACGTTTTCAGAATTGTCTGAAATAATTTTCAACCAAATTTGACACAGAACTTACCTAGGCTATGCCTCGTCCGAAGCCACTGGTAATACACCAAAGAGTGCTTGCACTCACACAGGATGGACACAAACAAGCCGATATTGCTGATTTGCTTGCAATATCCCAGGGTGCGGTCTGTAAAATCCTCAAAATTCATCAAGAGGAGGGTCATTTGAGGCCACGAGAATCTCCAGGATGACCGCGACTGACTACCAGATGAGATGATCAGCAACTACTTAATCTGTGCCGTAGAAACCGGAAAATGCCAGCGAACCGCCTTTGTTGTTTGTGGAGAAGACACCATGGAATCACCGTTTCCCGTCAAACTGTAAATCAAAGGTTGCTTAAGCTTGGTTACCAAGCAAGATGAATGATCAAGTGTCCACGCCTAACTGTTCAACACAGAGTTGCTTGACTTCGCTGGGCTAGGGAGCACAAAAGATTACAGCTTGGGCACCGGCGACATGTTATCTTTACTGACGAGAGCCGCTATATCCTTAACCATACAGATGGAAGACAACGGGTTTGGCAATTATGTGGCGAAAACCTTCGTGATGACTGCATCCAGGAAACCACTCAAGCTGGTGGCGGCTCAGTGATGGTATGGGCCGATATTCATTATGGAGGAAAGACACCATTGGTGGATGGAAACGTCAAAGCCACTGTGTACAGGGACATCCTGGAGAACCATTGCCTCCCACTCTATGGGAACAACTTTTGTTTGCAAGACGACAATGCTAGAGCACATAGGGCAGCTGCAGCGAGAGAATTTCTTGATTCAGATGGGGTGCAGCAGATGTCATGGCCCACTTGGTCCCCTGATATGAACCCTATTGAGCATGCCTAAGGCCGAGCCATCAAAGAGAGGGACAATATTCCTCAAATCTACAGGAGTTAGCCCAGGCTCTGACTGAAGAGTGGGACACCCTGCCCACTGACAACATCATCAAGCTTGTGGACAGTATGCCACGACGTCTTAATACACTGATCCGTGTCAGGTGTGGCCATACTCAACAGTCACACTGTCTTGAAATTATTGGTTCTCTGACAAAACAAAAGGAGGATATAGAATAACTTCCACATTGAATGGATCAGGTTTGTAGGACATTAATGAGGGGCAGTTGGATGGTTCTGTTATGGTGTTGTGGACAGATGTAGATAGATTTTCCATACATATGTAATCCATTTTTTCAGTGAGCTATAAGTGTCTTGTTCTTTGATTTCCAGTTCGTGAGGACGGTTTTCTTGGTGATAGAGCTGAGAGTCTGAAGAGAAAGTTCATTGAAAACATGATCCAGTCAATGCTGTTTCCTACAAAACATATTTAGTTTAATTCATATATATGAATGCAATTTCTAGACAGGGTTCAGTAGAAGGAAATAGTAATAAATGTTAATAGAGTCTTTCTGCAAGTCTCTGTCCGTCATCATCCTCTGTTGCACCTGACAATATACCGTCACCTGCTAAAGCCTGTAATATTCCTATTATTTAAAATATCTCAGTGATTGTCACATGACCACCCCTCATATGACTCATAGACCATTTTGCTCAAAAAGACATTTCTGAGCATCTAACTTCACATAACCTGAACCATTCTCCCTGTGTCTGTCACAGTCAAGCTGCAACTTCCAGGGCTGAGAACACTGAAGACCCAAAACCTGCAGTTCCTCTAATGACCACTAGAGTCTGGCTCCATCAGTGAGTCAATCCCCATAGACTCCCATGTCGTTACTGACGTCTCTCTTACCCCCCACGTCGTCATTGTATTCAGTTCACAGTATGTCACATGCAGCATCAATTTCTTATTAAAAAATGCACAAGACAATTCAAACTAAATATTTTTTCCTGATTAGGATTTCTTGTGTTGAATCCAATGCGATTTTAAGCTCTAAAAGTTTTAATGACTCCTTTTCTCTATAACATTAAAAATAAATTAACTCTCAACACAAATTATCCACAATATCAAAGATCGTAGGTGTAACACCATTTTACTTTTCAGAACATTATCTTCATTGTTTGTTGCTGTTGCCATTTGTATAAATCCATGGTTTCAAGCCCCGAGCAAGTCATGTAGAAGTCTTATTACTCCTCCTTCTCATTGGCCAGAGACACCATAGGAGTGATACTACTGCACATATTAAGTGGGCCACAGAATGTGGAAGTAACCCGGAAGCCAGAAACTTTTTTCAGTGTATGCGCCCAGCAAGCAATTCCAATAGAACTGAATGGGTGCCATTTTTACATCTGGCACCCTGATCTTATGATACACCCACGATCCAGCCACTAGCTGTCTGCTCTGCGTCACCTCAGCTACTTAGAACCAGTGAATGTGACCTCAGTGTTTGTGGTGTTTTTGAAGTATTTTTCCTGTAAATATTAGACAGGTCGTTTGACCTGTTGTTGGTTAAAGGGGCTAAGTTTTCTGTCACCAAACGTGGTTTCTTGGCCATTGTTGCATTTACAATACAAGAGGTGATAATACGACCTCTCAACAGTGATACATCTTCAGGGCAGATTGGAGGCTTTAGTGAGTTGCTATCTGAAAATGTCAAGACATGCCGGGCTAGCTGGTTAGCATGCTAACTTTAGTTAGAAGAATTGGTCAACATTGCTTTCCACCTCTGGAGACAGCTGTTGGTGATTAAAGAAATTAAGTTGATGCTGAGCTCACAATGTTTCTTCTAGACTGTTACATAAATAGTATTAACATTAGTTAAGTAGCAACAGCAAAACGTACAAGTAGCTCCTTTAAATGACAGAACGTGAGGGAGTCTGTGCTCCTTTTTTTAGAGATGAAATTCTAATTAGAAGGTATCTGCGTCTGCACTCACCACACCTGTCTTATTAGCTTAGGTCGGTAACTAGCTAATTAGCCTACAAATGAATTAGCCTTTGAACAAGGCACCCAGCTGTGCTAACAATGCTAATGGGATCATATACTTTCCATAGTTATTAAATTGGTACGCACAGAAGTCTCAGTTCCACATACAGCCAGGACGGAGTCAGTGTCAGGCACTACCAAGATGGCAACAGCAGAGCGGTCCTCTACATCCGGTCTGTGGTTACAGACTTCCACAAAGCAGAGATATAGCCTTGGAAGCCTTATATAGCAATTTTAGCATTGTTGATTGTAATGATGAAATGTCACTTATATGCACCTTCTCATGAAGGTGACCCACAGAAAAAAGGTTAAGAGTACCAAAATGGTCTTGCATGATGCCCAATAGAGTGCTACAGTCCTAAAACCTGGAAATTAGTTGCACGTTAGCTTTTCCAGGTCCTTGGACCTGAAGTCTCAGGACATTTTCACTTTTAATCTACCACATAAAAGATGTCAGTAACTACCCCAGTCCTGATTTATTGAAGCTTTTACATCTGTTAAAAAAGGCCGTTTGCTAATAAGTGTCTAAATGAGACCACTGAGGTTGTCAGAGAGAATAACGTCATCATGTTGAGCATGAAAACCAATCTACTCACCAGTCCTCCTTTAGACTGTTTATACAAACTGTCACTAACTCTGTCAGAGGAAAGGCTTTTGTAGAAGAGGTCAGAGCTAAATCAAACTACAAGTTTGGTTTAGTGGTGGTGATAATGGTGACCACATCTCATGATGTTGATGATCAATTGATCCAGCAGTTGTTGTGATATTTCAGTCAAGACAAAAAGTGGTGGACCAACAGCCTGACACTGGCATCTCTAAGTATGGGTTATTACAATTGAAGCATGAATCCAATCTGAGTTATAATGTGCTTTACATGTCTGATTAGCATTATCTTGATTTCTCAGATTATCACAAATTCTAGACAAGGACAAGGACACATGTTCAGTATGTTGATGTTTTTTTCTTCTGCCCTATTTATGAATCTGATGCATTAAAACCTTAAATCAGATCAATCAATAAAACATGCAGAACTGTTAATTTAATTCACACGAGTAAGATGGAAACATCAATACAGATGTAGCGTTAACGCCATATTTTAGGATTTACTCTCGTTGAAATGGGGCACCAGTACTCTAGGAGGACAACAATGAATTACTTCATTGCCAAATTTATCAATCTCATATCAGAGGCCATGACTTCGCGATTCAATGGATCTCCAGTCTCTACATCAAAAGAACACAACAGGACAACAACTGGGTGTAAATAAAGGAGTTTATTAGCTAAACTACTATCTACAGAGTAAATGCAAGGTGTAATAATCATAAAGATGAAAATCATAAGGAAATGAGCAGTGTGATGAGTTGGCAATGGTGGGAGAGAATATGTAATGGCTATACACTATGGCTATACAGCTAATGATACTACATCTATGAATTAGGTTTGATGATTAAATATTACTATATTTCGACATCAACCCAGTCATGAGCAGAGTGTTAAGACCGGCCTACTGTGAGTTGCGCTGTAGCTGAAGACCCTTGGCTGGAACCCAGGTGGCTGTGGTTGCCATGGTAACCCCGGAGACGCGGGATCTAGGTGGATTCTCCTGGAGGCCGTGTCCCGTTATCACGATGACGGATTCTGCCGGTGTCTCAGCGGTTCAGCTCTGGTGGAGTTTGCCAGGAGACTTTCTGTCTCGGGCACTCTTGATTTCTGCTCGGCTTCTCTGCAGGCGGTCGTGCAGATGTTATCTGCTGGTGTCTCTTGTGGGCTGATGCTAAATAAACTCTAATGCTCTTCACTTTGGCTGGATAACTTTAGAGGAGACTGGTGTTGACCAGATGACTCTAAAGTTGTCAAAATCTTCAAAAAGGAAAACTTGATGATGATTCAAAAGTTACAAAATTACTCTGAGGCACTTCTGTTGCTTTGGTTCAGTTGGTCTTGACTTGGCTTATAAAAATAAAAGATCGCGCAGGTAGACAAAAATGACGTTACTTGGAGCTTGTGGCAAAGAAAAATAAAAGACGATAGAAGACATTCTTCCTCAGATCTGTGTCTGTGAAGAGAGTTCTGCTGGTCACTACCCAGGATTGGAATGTGGGTTGTAGTTTATGACTCTTATCTAGAGAGGGACAGAGGAAGGGAGGTTGGTGTGTGTGTGCATGTGTGTGTTGGGCGTGTGTGTGTGTGTGTGTGTTTGTGTGTCTGTGTGTGTGTGTGTGTTCATGCATGGCACAGAGGGGCCAGGATTCACACCTTAGTGTTAATCAGTCCTTTTTTGTTACTTGTCCTATACAAGAAACAATCAAATATCATTAGACAAAGTTTTATTGTTACAAACTTGAGATTTTGTCTATATTCTCCAGTTGTCTGGTGTCCATTGGTTGATCCTCTGGAGCTGACCCTTTGACCTTTGGTTTGGTTCTGTGTCTTTCCGACATGCTAACAGCATGAACTGTTTGTGAGAGAAGGGTCCTTTGTCTCTGTTTCCTATCAATTTGATAGTTTGATAATGGGAAGAGTAACAAAGTGTTAATTGTGGGTCCTTACAATGAACTTCCTTAATGGCTTGTGACTGATGCCAGGCCACGTATGTATGCTACACAGAGAACAAATCATGCAATACTGAAACAATTTCTCACACATTCTTACATCAGCAGACATGTCACAACACAAAACCACTCTCAGTTAGTCTCATTCTTGCAATATGAGAAGCTGTGGCTGCAACTGATGCAGAAGTCTGGGTGAGAATGCAAATGAATGACAAAACCAGAACCCCACATAAATCTATGAGTCCTGAACTGAAAGAATAATTGTCATAGCTTAAATATTTGATGTAATAGAAAAATCATATTCTGCACTTTTTATAACCTGGTTTTGCACTTTGTATGGTCTGACTTTGTATAACCTTGGACATGAATCTGTCCTCACATTGATAATCCTTTTTTGGTATTATGAATCTGTTTCCACATGTAAACTCCTTATCTGGTACTATCTGTTACAAACTTAGGGTCTTTGTCCTTGAGCACGTAGCTGCTTCTTTTGACAGTTAGCATGCATAATTGTTCACACACACACACACACACACACACACACACACCCACACACGCACACATCCTGACCATGCGTCCTTCTTCACTCTTCCTGTAAAGTCCACGTACACTCTTTGTTTGTTATCAGTCTGCGCTTACGCTCTGTGTGACTGCACACTGATCCTTTGCAAAGCTCTTATTAAAATATATAAATACAACTTGATCATTCTGTCAACTGTTCATTTTCAGATTTCCATCACATTAATTAAAATGTATTGGTACGTTTTAATACTTTTTATATGCATAAGAAGGTGCCTGTTATTAACAGATTCAAATTAAATTTCACATTTTTATGTAGTTCACAGTGGTGGAAAAATCCTAATTGATTTAATATGTATGAATTACATACTGTATATGTATGTACTGTATATGAAATTGTACCTGTTTTTTTATTTGTTTCTTAATGTAAAAATTATGCATTTATTTTTTACATTTGTACTTAGGGATTATTGTCATGCATAGTTTGTTTAATTACAGTAAAACATATTTTTAAACTGACATGCTAAAGTGTGTCAGATGTAGTCTTTATGTCGAGGGATCTGTTACTCAGATTAAAGCTGGAAAAGATTAAATCTGATTTTTTTGATAATACTTCATCATACTTATAGTATTTATGTTTTCATAGTCTCAGACAAAGTTAAAACACATGGCTTTAGTAATACAGAAACTAAATCTTAATGCAAAGCAATCAGTTTATTTCTTCTTGAGTCATTGTTCCTGTTTTTGCAAACACACATTGCAACTGTGTACACAATTTGGAGAAGTCCTATACACACAAAATAAGCTTTTGCAACTCTAACCTCTTATTCTATGCACACACAGGTTGTGTAAGTACACTGCTCAAAAAACACTCCATCAGAGATATCAATCTGTCCATTTAGGAAGCACAAGTGATTGTGAATCAGTTTCACCTGCTTTGGTGCAAATGAAAGTGACAACAGGTGCAATGCAGAGGCAAAAGGGAATGGTTTTACATGTGGTGTCCACAGACAGTGGCTCTCTCCTGATCCTTCCTGACTGATTCTTCTCTAGTTTTGTGTTTTGTTAGTGTCCTTGTCACTACTGGTAGCATGAGGCGGTGCCTGCAGCCCAATCAGGTTGCACAGGTAGTCCAGCTCCTCCAGGATGGCACATCCATATGTGCGGCCACAAGAAGTTTTGCTCACAGCACAGTCTCAAGAGCATGGAGGAGGAACCGGGAGACCGGCTGTTACACGAGGAGAGCTGGACAGGTCCAAAGAAGGGCATCAACCCATTTTGAGTTTTTCAATAATTTGTTCATCAAAATACGATGTGTGATTTAAGTGTTCCCTTAATTCTTTTGAGCAGTGTATATAAAGCACTGATGTCTTATTCTATGCAAACACAGGTTGTGTAAGTACACTGCTCATCATAGTATAACTGGAACATCTTGTCAATCAGAATAAGACATCAGTGATTTATATACACTGCTCAAAAGAATTAAGGTCTCTCTTGACCTTCGTCAGAAGCACGAAGGTCAAGAGAGACTGAAACGTTAGGATGATTAATAAATTGTGATGCTGAGCAAGAGCAGTGTTAAGAGCAGGATATTGTTCTATTCAAGACTGAAGTGACACTCTCCAACACACCTGTACCTAAGACATTTGGAGATACAAATATCTTCATCAAGGAAAATGTGTCTAAAATGATGCACAAGATATGGAATATTTTTATTTAGTGTAGGTTTGGAGCCATGTGTAAGTCTCAAACAAGATCAACATTATTAATTAATTAATTAGACCTCTTACATATCAATGAAAAAAGGTGGTCCGCTCCTGCCTGGCGATATACAGCAGAAATCCACCTTGTTACACAACCCAGTCTGTTGTAAGTAAAACCTGCAACTTTCAGTTGAACTGAATTTGTCAATACCTCTGTTTTCACCTTTATAAGTTAGAACACTTCTGCTTCTGACAGGCATCTTCTGGGTCTGCAGCTGCTGTCCTGTAACCAGCCATGATCCTCCAGACCGCGGCTCTCAGCCTGTTGCTCTGCTCTGTCCACAGTTTCACTGTACAGGTAAGTGTAGCAGCAGACACAGACTTCATCTGCTCCTCATTAAACATAGACATAGTCTGTCACAATTTGAAATGAAATGCAACTGTTGTGATAAATTTTATGTGAAGAATTTTTTATTGTCCCAAATTCAGTTTTGTTTCAATGAGCAGCAGTGAAAATAAATATTACATTAATACTGACTGACTGCTGAACTACTAGAGGAGGTTCTTGTCTTAATTGTGGGGAAATTAACATGAAAACTGTAGATTGCAAAAAGCAAAATCTGATTTGGTCTCTCATTTTATACTTGTTTTTAGATTGCATTACAATCAGATCCTATGAAGGAGTTCAATCATGAGTTAGAAGAAATGTTGGTTCACATCACCATGGCGTCATATCCATTTAACTGTATTTAACCAACTTTTTTTTTACTGTGTGTCTTTTTACAGGCTCATTTTGAAAAAAGTGATGAATACTCTGGTGAGACTTGGCTAATCTTCACACAGTGAAATGCTGCAAGTTTCACATCATATAACTGATAAATGAACAAACTGTTTCTGTTCCACAGGCAACACCATCGAGGACGAGGACTTGAGCGCCTCCACGCTGATAGAGAAGGCCAATGTTAATGTTGGTATGTTCATGTAACCGAGAACAGGACAAACATCATCCAAGCTTAAAAATACAAGTATTCATTCATATTGAGCATAATGCTGCTGTTACTGTACATATGGTACCGACCCAGATGTGACTTGACTGTAATATAGCAATGAAATCAAGTAAATTAAATGCAAGTCCATCCCCGTTTTGTTTTGCAGGAAAGAACTTGGATGAGCCTCTTGTGATGTATGGAGACATAGCAGTGCCAACTGGTTTCCAGAACGCTGATCCCTGCACCAGACGAGGCTGCCTGTGGCGTAAATCCAGAGATGGCAACGTTTACGTGCCGTATCGCATCTCCAACCAGTACTGTGAGTTTCAACCCTTTTGTTCTGATGCTGACGTGCTCATAGCCCACTGATATCATGTGCATGCTTAGTGGTGGCAGTACTAGAAGGCTGATCATTCGCTCAGCTCAGCAATAAGAGCTTGTTTTCATTTAGATCTGACTTTTATAATTCAGTCAAATGTTTGGACCCCTGATCGGTGAGGTGTTAAATCTACTGCCTTTACTCTTAGTTGTAGCAGCAGTAGTAAGTATTGCTGCTGAAATATTCCTTTTGATGAGGTGCTAGAATGAAAATGAGAGAAATACAACTCACTAAATGTTTTCTTTGTGTTAACTGTTTAGCCCGAAGAGAGAGAGATACCATTGTCCAAGGTCTGAGGTCATTCGCACGGTCCACCTGCATCCGCTTCACCCCCTTAAACAGACAGAGGGACTTTGTGGACATCAAGTCTCTCTCAGGGTATGGACCACACTGCCACCCCCCCTTCCTACTCCCCCACCCCCTTCCCTACATTCAGAGCTGGTAGACTTGTCTCAGGTCCATGAAAGCAGTGTGGCTCAAGGGGCTGTATTTACCGCTCTCTTTCAGGTGCTTCTCTTTCGTTGGGCGTCGTGGTAACGCTCAGACGGTGTCTTTGAGTCGCCAGGGCTGTGTCTTCAGGTCAGTCATCCAACACGAGCTGCTCCACGCCCTGGGCTTCAACCATGAACAGACCCGGTCTGACAGGGACGAGCATGTTCGCATCGTCCTGCAGAATGTCATTCCTGGTGGGTCACCTCACAGACAGTCCACACCAACTGTTGGAAAAAAAAGCTTTTATACAGAGTACAGATGTAACTTTAATAACGTCTTTGCAAAAGATACAAGTGATAAATGTATAATAAATACATTTCAACAGGTGTATAGTAGCTGGATGTGAATGAATTGTGACTTTGTTTCCTGCAGATACACTGTTTAAATTCTTCCTCAGTTACTGCACCTTTGACTTCTGACTGGTAAACTGTAAAGAAGCAGAGACATGTTTTGACTGAGCTGTGTGATCTCCTGCAGGAATGGAGCACAACTTCAGGAAGATCAACACAAGGAACCTTGGTACTCCCTATGACTACGGCTCTGTCATGCACTATGGAAGGTAGTGTCTCAGTTCTCCTATCTCACTTAATAATGATATAATACAATTATGATATCATGTAATACATATGGATAACACAAACACAAACACATTTTTAAAGTCTCTCTTAAAACAGTATGCATATGGCCTCATGTACATTGTTAACACTTTATAAATCATTAATAAGCCGTTATAACACATTAGATAAAAAGGCCATTAGTAAGATTAATGAGTAGTAAGCATTAACTTGATCTTGCCAAAGAGTGAGTCTGCATCAATATATGAAAACTGTGTTGTAACAAAGTATTAACAACTGAAATAATAACCTGATTATAAACCATTTATAAATCTTTTATAAGGTTTGTCTTATTGTAAAGTGGTAACGATGAATGATTACAGAGTCCAGAGCTACAATGTCAAACCTTTAAATAAAGTTGTTATTATTATTATTATTATTATTATTATTATTAATAAACCTATGATTGTGGCCACATGGAGGCAAGATGAACAAATTGTATACACTTGACATATTATCACCTTATAAAGTTTTTGTGGTGAATGTATTTAATGACAATTGCCTGTTTACAGATCCAGCAGATATCAGTGTTCCCTCTCTTTTAGCTCTGTGTTTGGTCTCCAACAGCTCCTGAGGGAAACATCTAAATGCTCCACTACGTTCACCAGCTGCTCTCTGACTGAGTCTGTCTGCTGTGTGCTGCTCAGCAGACAAACAGCAAAGAGCCAGATAGTTGGTGGAGACCAAAACCAGAGCTAGTCCAATCCAATCCAATTTTATTTATAAAGCACTTTTTAAAGCAACACTGTTGACCAAAGTGTTGTACAATAACAATAAAATACAAAAAAGACATAAAACACGTGTAAAAACAACAGTTATCCAATAAAAAGGCAACATCTCAGCCTGTGTCAGAAACCGAGGAAAAGAAGTGCGTTTTAAGAAGAGATTTAATAACAGGCAGTGAAGAAGCCTGCCTAATGTGTAAAGGCAACTCGTTTCAGAGATTGGGAGCCACAACTGCAAATGCCTGATCCCCTCTGAGTTTCAACCTGGTTTTCAGGACCACTTAGAGCAGCTGATCAGGAGACCTGAGAACAAAAGCACCACTCCAGATGAGCAGCCATGTCTGATTGCATGTTTTCTGACTGCTCGCACAGAGTTAAATGGTGTTCAGCTCTGCAGCAGTAAATTACAGTTACATTTGAAACCTCTCATCATGACTGTTTGTTTGCACCACAGGTTTGCTTTCTCCAGGAACAGGGAGGCAACCATCATCCCCATCCCCGACAGGAACGCAGTCATTGGCAGGGCCGAAAAGATGAGTCCTGTTGATATCCTCCGGGTGAACCGCCTGTATAGATGCAGTATGTACCTATTTACACATCCAACCAACTACCCCCCCAATCACCTTAACTAAATAACTACATTCTTGTTTCTATATATACTTACAGTTTATTTCTTCTAAGATACCTACATTTTCACTTGTCTCCCTACCTGGCTCCCTGCTAGCCCACCCACCCACTGACAGTACTCTCTCTTACCTTCTTCCTCCTGTACTGACAAAATGGACACATGGAAATGAAGCAGCTGTGACAAATTTCTCTTGTCCTTTGGAATAAATTGCAGATACAACTAATTCCAGACCTGATCCAGAACGTGTGCCAATGAACGAGTTCCTTTAGAGTTGAAAGTACGTTGTTTCACACTCGCTGTTTCCACACCATCATCAGTGTGGTTTAAAGTTTCCATCTCTTTCCTTTATACAGATACAGATACAGACAGGACACACAGGAAGTGTGAACGTACATTTGTGAGGCATTAATGTAATGATATACATCTTATGTTCATTTATGAAATTGCTTCCTATAATTAGTTAGAGAGTATAAGTAAAACCCCGTCATGAGATTCACCATAAAATGTATAAAACAGTTAAAACGAAAAGAAGAAAGATATTGAACCAGGGATGTTGTGTGTGTGTGTGTGTGTGTGTGTGTGTGTGTGTGCATATGTGAACACATTTTGCATATTCATCCAATATTTGTCAATATTTCTAACATCTCTCCTCTCTCTCCATCAGGGAATCCAGAGAAGAGGACGACTGATGCAGCTCTTTATCTCCAAGATAAAAGAGAAATCAAACTAAGGCTTAATGAAGACGCTTTAATTGAATTCAGAATGTAACACAATGAACATTTGTGCATTTCCAATGAGAATTGAAAAGTAGCAGCTCTGCATTGATTTCATGATAGATTTACACTTATATGAGAAACTGCTTGTTAGCTTGACTGAGCACAAATAAATAAAAAGGTACAGTGTATTTTTCTGTGTGCTGCTTCCTGTACATGTGTGAACCTGGAAACATATAAATGCCATACCAGCATTTACCTCAACCAAACATCTGAACCTGCTTGTGTTTTTTATTAAAAACACAAGATGAACATTCATGTAGAAGCAGAGCTAAGTGTACATCTGTGCAGGTGATCAGCAACATTCACAATGACAGCCATCATGAACAGGGGCCTGCTGGGTAAACAAGCACAGGTGATCAAACATAGCACATGTCAATGTCAGTGATAAGACCTATTCTGAATCCCAGACTCAGCAAAATATGTCCACATGCAAACACACACACACACAAATGCACAAACACACAAACACACACACACATATTACAGACACATACTATACGCATCGTGTTCTTGTCATTTTTACATACATCTCCATAACTGATTCTTTTTGTTGTCATCTGCATTTGTCCTTAATGTCACACTTGTCTTTCTTACATTATCTCACCAGTAAAGAAAAAAGAAAAATAACTGAGAAGCAGAATGTAAATGCAGCTTATTTACCTCCTCTCTGACTTAAGGTAATGGATACACTGATATCTTTTGATCTCGAATTAAAAGAAAGTGAAATAGGTTAGAAGTAGGATTCACTCAAATATTATCATCTATATTAAATAATATTTTCTACCTGCTTTTTGCCTTTACCACTTGGTTTAACATTTAACCAAACCCAGTTCATTTTATTCGTCAGCCCTGCTGCCACCACCACACTGGTGGAGAGAAGAGCACCCTGCAATAATTGGATGCAAAAACAAGTGTCCACTTCCCACACATATAGTGTAGGTATACACTGATAAGCCTGCTGGTGTAGCTGATTCCTCAAGGTTTTGTAAGGACTCAGATAATCCATATTTGGGCTGACCGACACAGTTAAACATATATAAAACCTGGAGTTCAAACCTCACATGCGCAAGTCCACACAGAATATCAGAAGGTGAGTTGAGCTTGCAGCAGAACCTGAAGCAGAGGTGTTCACTGTCTCTCTGTCTGCTCTCAGTTCAAACACCGTGTCTGTCCCTCTGAGAGAAGCTGCAGCTGATTCCTGTCTGTGTCCTGCAGGTCTGTTGGGATGGCTCGCATGTCTGTGTTCAGGTTCTCAGCCCTGGCTCTGCTGCTCCTGTCTGCCTGCTGCTGGGCCGCACAGCGAGGTAGGACCATCTCCAGGCCTGTTTATATCACAGTGTACATGTTATTGACCTGAGCCTCTTACTGTGCTGAAAGGTTCATCTCTGAACCTGATGTCTCTGTAACTTGATGTTTGTGATGTGAACGTGCTTTCATGTTGTGTTTTTATGAATTGACATGTTTGTTTTTTCACTCCCACCTGCAGGCAGGTATGTAATCCACTCTCACTATCTATTGTGTTGACAATAGCACAGTATGGGACTGGTGGGTTTTTTTGCAAAGTGAAATTGTGTTGTTGTTGTCACTGAGCAGAGGAGAACTCAGAGGAGCTGTCTGTCTCTGAGCTTCTGGAGAGAGCCAACAGTAATCTGAGTGAGTGTGAGCTGCTGCAGTCTCCATCCTTCTTCTTCTTCTTCTCATCATCTTCAGTCACTTCAACAGGTTTTTAAGCTGCTGTATGATGTGTTTCAGTCCGCTCCGACGATGGTCCCATCCTGACTGAAGGAGACATCGCTGTCAACAGCGAGGCAGAGAAAAACGCCGACCCCTGCACCAGCCGAGGCTGCAAGTGGGGCAAGTGGACTGACGGGAAGGTCTACATTCCTTACTACATCGCCAGTCACTTCTGTGAGTGTCAGGTGGAGGTCTGGGGGGTTCACATATGCTCTGTCTGTAGACAGCAGGGTTTCACTGCTCATGTTGGAGCAGCTTCTTTGTCAAAAAAAATTCAATCAAACATTCATCAACGTTCATTTCCCAGCATCACACAGACAGCTGTATGTTTGCTTCTTATTGTTGATAGTGAAAGATTATAGAATAAGAAATAAAGATTAAAAATACGAAAGGTAAAATGCAAGGATCCATGAAACCAGTGAACCAGCGTTTAGTTGCTCGTCTGATCAGCATACTTTACTCTTAAAGAATCTCCTTCACAACCCTACACATGGACCTGATTGGCCTGAATATAAGACGCCCCCGATGGTCAGATCCTCCTCTTCCAACAGCTGTTTTTGAAGATACAAACACTTTCAGACCACTCCTGCTGGCAAAGTTCTCAACATACAATTAGTCCAGGAAGAAGAAGAAGCCTTCATCATGGAGCCTTTCCACACAGCTTCTCTATCCATCCATCCATCCATCATCCATCCATCCATCCATCCATCCATCCATCCATCCATCCACTAAACATGGATGACTTACTATAAAATATTCAGTACAAATGGACTTAGCTACAAACATCCCATGATGCAACACTCTCTGTAGGAGCTGTTGTGTCACTTGTAATCTCTACATTCACAAATAATATATAATACATAATAATATAACACTGATAATGAAAAAAAAAATCCTGTTATATATCATGACCAACACGTTCCTGTGATTTCTTCACTGTGACATGGTCAAAAGCTAAATGTTGTGTGGTGTCGTCCTGTCAGCCTCCCGTGAGAAGGCCATCATCACCCGTGGACTGGAGTCCTTCTCCTCCTTCTCCTGCATCCGCTTCAGGCCCAGCAGAAGCAGCGATCGTGACTGGCTGAGCATCGAGTCCAAGGACGGGTAAGAAACTGATAGAAATGAACCGTCTGAGAGGAGAGGTGCTGTCAGACTTCAGTGTTCTTCACCTCCTATCTGATCCTGTGCAGCTGCTACTCTTTTGTCGGCCGTCGTGGTGGGAAGCAGGTGGTGTCTCTGGCCCGTCGTGGATGCCTTTACCACGGCACCGTCCAGCATGAGCTGCTGCACGCTCTGGGATTCAACCACGAACAAACCCGCTCTGACAGGGACAACCACATCAAAGTCCTGCTGCAGAACGTTCAGTCTGGTAATGGAGCTCTTTATCATCCCCAGTGACACATTAGCGAGGGAACCAAGTCAACTGCAGACAAGTACATTCAAATAAGATTCAAAAAAGAGACACTGGTCTGATGAGACATGAGCCAGGTGAAGAGATGAAACTGTTGAAAGTCTTTAGTCCTTTGAAAACACCATGTGTCCCAAAGCTTTCCTCCCATCAACCACCGTCAGGCTCAACAACTCCACAGGGAATAGAATTAGTCACATAAAGTGTGGTGGCTCCCTTTTGCCTCCTAGTGGACAAAAAGAGCCCTGACATCATGGTCACAGATTCTGGCACAACTCTGCTCCTACATGAGACAGAAGCTCAGTGTTTCAGTGGTTTTTCAATATAAAGCCATCAGCACCAAACCTTGGAGCTCTGCAGCTCGTTGGGATCCTTCTCCAGCAGCTCAACTCCTTTCTGTCCAGAGAAAATATCTCAACTTCAAATCAAACAAACACTGACTCTGTCTGCATCATTTCTTCTAGGAATGGAGCACAACTTCAGGAAGATCGCCACCCTGAACCAGGGCACTCCCTACGACTACAACTCTGTCATGCAGTACCACAAGTGAGAACAACTGGCTACACGTCAGCACTGCTGCCTGCTATGATACATGTATGTGTGTTGTGTGTGCAGGATGTGCTGTGGTTCAGTCTGACTGCTCTGTGTCCTGTTGTAGGAATGCCTTCTCTAAGAACAACAAGCCCACCATGCTCCCCATCCCTAACGCCAACGTGTCCTTTGGCAACGCCAAGGAGATGAGCCGCAATGACATCGCCAGGCTCAACACACTCTACCAGTGCTGTGAGTGTCCGCATGAGCGTGTTATCAGTATACACACACACACACACACACGCACACACACACACACACACACACACACACACACACACACACACACACACACACACACACACACACAGTGCCTGTCTAGAGCTTGTATTAAACTCTCTGCTGTTCCATTCAGTTTTTGTCTAATGGAGCTCTGTGCTGTTGACTGTTACAGAGGAAGCCTGTCCAGATGTTCTGATGGACAGAGCCGAGGGAATATTGTCGACATCATCATCGATCATCCAATAAAGTTACACTGACTGAAACACAGCCTCTTTGTTTGCTTTCCCTCACAGTGAACTAAACCAAGCTCATTCATTGGATATGAATGGAAAAAGGAAGTAAAAACCTTTTTTTAACTATAGTCTCAGGTTTTGGCAAGAACTTTGCTGAATTTAAGCTGATAGGTCTATAGTCCTAGACTTTTATGGATGAGAGAGACAAGTACTTCTGAAAGTGAGGGAGTCAAGGCCTCACTGTGCATTACTAATAGAAATGTTTCAAGTTCTTCAGTGTAAGCTTTTCAAAACCATTCCAGGTGCTTTGCCCACAGATAGCTGTTTTACAGTTTCCACAATCTCCTCCTTATTATTGGCAGGTCCAATTGTGCCTCAGAGAGTGCAGGAAGCCTCTGGGGGGGAAGAGAAAAGACAACATTTCTTCATTCACATTTCATGTCAGATCACTGCTTGGGTGTCAAATAGAAATTCCCGGTTCTCACCTCTAACAGCTGTCATTGCATTCATCCATTCTCTCTGTCTAATATATCTGGCCAGAAATTTCCCAGCCTCATCACCTTCTTTGAAGAGTCTCTGCCGGGCTCTAAATCAGTTAGATTGGAGAAATGGTTCAGAGATACTTTGTGTAAAATTAATCGCTGCAGAGGTAACTGGTTTTTCAAAGTGTAATTGCCTGGCATTCTTAAACAAGCCATGTTAAATGATGTGACCTTAAATAAATGCCTTAAAGGTTTCCCATGCCACTCCCAGAAATTATTCAAGGGTATTATCTTTATAGAGGTTGGTTTCTCTTCTCAGTGATTCCCTAAAGCTCAAGTCCAGTAAGAGAGTAGGGTTGCAGTTTATTTTTCAGTAGCCTGATAAGACGTAGCAAGCTTTACTTTGTATTAATTTAGACAAAAAATATAGACATAATATGTTCTTTAGTAGACAATGAACAAATAGTCATCCCTAATTAGACATCACACACTTAAATTATATAATTATTAACTGCACATAATTTCATATGTATAACATGAAAAATATACTATACTGTTACTAATTAGAAACCAAATAGGAGATCCTACTTGTTACAACCCCCAAAAAGGCTCTCTAAAAGGAAGAGGTCCAACATAGGCAAACGAGTCAATTTGTTTGAGCAAAAATCACTGTGTTTATTTCTGGACAAAGAATGAAAAGAAAATGACCATAATCAATATCAACAAACAACAAAAGGCTGATGGGTCAGCCCAAATAAATACAAAGAGGGGAAGACCAACCAACACAAAGGGTTGTAGGATCTGGTGTCTTCCTAAACCCACACCAAACTAACCCTAACAGAAATAAAGCCACAAAACCAGGAGCACCAGACTCATCACAAAAAAGAGGAAGAAAACAGAACTCTAACACATAAACACAACGGCTGCTGCAGTAGCAGGAAGGTGGTTTGAAGCAGAGCTTTTAGTCAGTGGAATTTATTTTATTTTATTTTGAAAATATAGAGGTATATATATATATATGTATTTATATATAGGTTACCTCACAATCAGGCCAGACCACATCCACATCATGAGACAAGGATCATTTGCAGATCATAACCAGCAGGGGGGGGAGTGTAACACTAATACATCCTTATACACAATTTTGCAAGATCATAGTCTAATTAGAAATCAAATTTGATGTCATATCAGATCCAAAATATTATAGCTTTATGTTATTGTTGTGATTTTGTATTTGTTATTCTTTGAGGTCACCTATAAACCGTCTGTACCGCGTGTAAACACTAGATGGCGGTACCGTCCTCATCAGATCAAATATGGGCGCAGTCTGCTCCTCAGACGCAATAAGAACGAGAAGAGCTTCCTGTCTACCCTGGCTCTCCAAAAATGGCGGACACGTGTGGCCAAGTATTGCTGGGATCAGGGCTCACTGTCCTCTCTCACCCTTTGATGTACATCAAAGTCCTGATCCAGGTAAGACGGGACATGTTCGTGCGAATGCTGGCAATATGATGCCAGATCTGGAGCTACATTAGTCACTGTTAGCTCGCCTATATAAATCCCGTATAACTCAGCTAGCTAGCAGCGTTTAGAGGAAAGTGTCAAACTTAATTGAAAATATATCAGTTTAATGTTGGCTCTCTTGTCAGTAAACGGATGTACCATGTAGACCATAGCCGAAGATCTTTACTGAACTACTATGCAGGACTTAATTTCGGCATACATTTAACACAAATAGCAGCTAAAGTTGGATAATAATATCAACTACATTACCGGCCCGTCTCTTGTCCCTATGACCTTCTGTTTCCAAAATACTCTGTAGTGGGCGGAAGCGAGGTTAGTGAACCAATTCTTAAAGTTCATACTTAAATGAAATACAGCGCTGCTTCTTTAAGTGTCTGTACGCAGAATGTACAACAACACTTTGCCGTCCTGAGACACATTCACTGATAAATAGAGTTTAGTGCTTAACGAGCTGAGGCGCGTTGGGTTGTGATACAGTCTGTCTTAGAAGAGCTAGTTAGCTGTCAGCTGAGCTGCTCTGTCCCGCTGTCTAACCTCTCACCCTCCGTTACTTCATATGAAGATATTTCACTGAAGTGACAGTGGTCTGTAGTATCCATGACTGGACGGTCGCTGACAATGGCTCTGTTGACCTGTTTCACAGCAAAAGGTCAGGGACAAGCTAACGTTTCTTCGCGCTAACATGTTGTTAATTTTTATTTCGTGTTTATTTTCTGTCTTTGTGCGTCTTAAATGACAGATTTGTATCATTGATGTCTGTGTTACGAGGACTGCACTCGGGGATCTGTGCCCTTTGTTTACCGGTGCCCTTTGGCCCATTAAAATAGCTAACATTAGCTAAAGTCAACGTTAACCATTTAGCCAATTTGTTTTAGCTCGACTGTTAAAAGGTATTGTAAAGACAAAGTAACAAGAGAAACTTTGGCGGAACAGTGCAACATTAATTCAGCTGACAAAACACTGGGGGGAAACCAGGAAGTGTGTGAGAGCCGCGGTTTGCTGAGACGGTTACAGTCCATGTTTCTTATCTCTCTGCTGTCATGATGGTGTGTGTTGTCAGGTAGGACATGAGCCGCTCCCTCCCACCCTGGGCAGGAACCTGTTTGGTCGACAAGTCTACCAGCTGCCTGGACTGTTTGCTTATGGTGAGTGTGACTCTCCAGGAGTGAAAGTGTGAAATCTACTTTTGTTTTCTATTACAGTGCGCCTCAGAAGGCAGAAAGATGGGTAATATTGTTGAATATTCAAACTTGTGTTACTTTCGATTTTACTCCAATGTAACAGTTCTGTCAAAAGCTGTGTTGAAATGATATGAGATGTAAACCAAGCATGACACCAACTCTTTAAATTTCTATTATATCATCAAAATATGAATATGGTGCAGGACCATAGCCATAAGGAAGACAAGACTATATATTCTTATGTTTTGTGGAAATGTGGCAGCAGTTTTTTTTCTGCTTGTCAATGGGAATATGAGGTTCCTACAAGTAAATATTTGTTTGTAGTTAAATGGTTATGAAAAAAGTTCAGGCAAGTCTCTTGAGTTGTAATTTCCCTCATGTTTTCCTCTAGACAAAGTTATGTATACATTCAGTGTTTCTCATGTAAAGGCATTGTGTGTATCCTTGAGGCCTTAAAACATGAGATTGTCCTTTTATAACACGTTCAAACAAATCAATAAAACAACTTGTTCAGTTGTGGATTGTTTGTATCCATGTTTACTTGCTAGCAGCTGCTGCTTTGACTTTGTCATTGTATTGCTGTGTTTATTGGCATGTTACTGTTAGCCACTATTATCAGTTGAATAACGTGAAACCAACCTACCAGCCGTAAGCCACAGTGAGCTTCACTTGGTGACAGTAGAGAGGAAACGTGGTGGTGGGTTGTCTGCTTTGACTGGTTGTATTTTCAAGGACCATATCACAGATTTTGCATATTTAAGCTAAATAGCTACTTAAAACTTCTTCTATTGACAGTCATTCTAAAAGCATGCAGCCATATTTTAGCTTTTGTAATATTTTTGTGAATTGCTTATATTTTTAAAAGTGAAATGTTCCGGTGGCGGTCAGTGCTTTGCCAGCCAGAGCACATGTCCAACTCATACTTAGAACTCATGGAAATTATGATTTTACTTGTAAATAATAATCTTTTACTCTCTGACTAGTTTCCATGGAGGAGATGTACATTCCCTCTGTGTAGGTCTGTATTGGATCAGTTAGCAGGACTGATGTTGTTCTGATAACCACAACTAGGAATGGGTATCATTAAGAATTCAACGGTACTACTACTTTTATTGATATTACTTATCGATCCGGTACTTTAACGGTACTGTTATTGGTACTTTTTTGTAATTTTGTAAGAAAAAAAAACAGAACAGAATTAACATTGCTTATTTTCTCATAGCATTGCTTAACAAAAGAACAAAGAACGTGCCCATAACAATCAGATGGCTATTGCTTACTTTTCATCATTAACCCATGTGTGTTTAATTTACTGTGTGTGGCTCCAGGCTGCAGCATACAGAACACACATGACACAACGATGGATGAACTACAAGCTAGTTGGTGGGAGGGATGGAGATGGATCGATCCATCTCCTCTGGGTTGGGAAGGGAAAATTTTCTTAATTTCTCAAGTACCGAAAGCAGAGCCGATAACGCTGGTGCTTATCAATACTCCTCTCTTTAAAATTTTACCAGGTTTTGGCACCCATCCCTCACCACAACCTTCTAGCTCCCCCTCTGTTTCCTCTGGCTCAGACTCAAATCCTACAACAGTCTTTCTGTAGAAAGTATAATCTGCTTCTGGTCGGAGCGCCTCATCATCATGGTCACATTTCTGTTTACGAGCTAGTACCTGATCATCCAATGATGATGCACATCCGAGTTACACACAGAGGAATGGTTGGCTTATGAGCTGTTGTCTTATCAAAGACCATTCAGTACAACTGGCAAATGTATGACATGTTTTTATGATACTCATGTCAGATAACGATTTGTGTTCCCTGTTGCTTATGAATGCAATAAAGTATCAGCTGAAAGTCGTCAGACCACCAGGAAGGATTCACACATCATGCTGCCATTTAACACTATTAAACTCTACAATTGCAATAAGCTTAACCAGAAGCAGAGTGAGCGTGTGTTTCAGTATGATGCATGTTGAGCAATTTCTGTGACTAATTGCGTACTGAAATGAGCTGAAATCCGTGGGCTCCTGGAAGGGAGGAAAAATGTATTTACCAGTTGGTAATGGGATCTTAGAAATGTAACTTGCAAGCACATATGATTTACTGCGCTGACTGTTAAATTAGTGGTAAGGTCCAGGAAACTCTGAGGCATTTTTAATTTAAGGTTATGAAAATGAGGAAGTATTGTCTGATGTTTGTAAAACAGCTGTTCCAGCATCTGCTAAGTTAGGCCTCTCAGGAGTTAACATCTGGGCTCTATCTGATGATTGCAGTCCATTTTTTATATTTAATTTAGGTTATGGCTGCATGAAAGTTTGATATTTTTAACTAATACACCAGTCTGCTGTGTGGAGTACATCTCTTTACAACCTTACAGTGATCATGAATCAGTTTTATGTCTAAATAATGTGTCATAACAGAGTGAGGTCTTAAATGCATCTTTTTTTTTAAATGACATGTTTCTATTGTAAAATATCACACTGTATTTAGACTGCCTTTTATAACTCATATTTCTGTATATTTCCTTTCAGCAAAACATATCATCAAAGTTGATGGAAAAGTGGGTCTCTTCAAAGGACTTGGTCCCAGACTCTGTGCTGGCACCATTGGCACTGTGGTGCACAGCAGAGTTGTGCAGGTAGGCCGACCACATCATGTTGTCCAGAAATGGATGTAATCACACCATATACCTGTTCCTCAGGTGAAAGTACGTTGTAATGATGGAGGAATTCGTTTTGTACTGAAAGCATTTCCTGGAACATTGTGTGATTTAATTAAGTTGTTGTTGTTTCACAGTTGTGCTCTGGACAGATGCTGGAAAAATGTATATCAGGAAATACCAGTGGAAAATTAAAGTTTTTTTTATTAAAACATTAGACTGAAGATAACTGCTGATCTATAGCAAGTGCAAGTCAAGCACAGCTATGTGCCAAAGGTCATATCTGATCATGTGAGGGTCACTTTAGCCCAGGAAATCTGTGTGTGTGATAAGTCCTGAAAATGTAAATAACTCTTAAAGACCCTATGAAATGGCGTTCAGTTCTCCACTCCACCTCTGTCTCCATTCTGGTGACAGGGTTAGGAAATATGGACTAAACCTTTGTGGCCACAGGGTAAACACTGGAACAGCTGATTTTTACAGCAAGTGGCATTCATGTCATATCTGACCTGTTTCAGTTTATTTTTCCTTACAGAAATGATCTCCTGAATGAATATATGTGTATATATTTATATATGTATGTATGTAGACAAAGAGCTGATAGAGTTGTGTGAGTATATGAATATAAAACAACTCTATCAGCTCTTTGTCTACGATACAATGCAGACAGACCAGAGGAAAATATTGTGTGTAATGCTACTTCACACACCAGTTTGGAGTTTTCTCTCCCACTCAGCTGACTCCCTTCATGAAATAAAATCCCACACTTTAGGATCAACCTCATTATTTTCTCCGTTAATCACTTGGAGTATAAAATGTCTTGTGAAAGTACCTGGTATAAATTGTAGGGATGCCCCATTTGTTCAGCCACCGTCCATAATCTGCCGATTTTCATGAAAAATAGGTGATTGGTAGATGGGAATTAAAGCGTTTTGTCACCGATCATCTTAAAAGCGATCACCTATGGTTAATACTCTGGTGTCTGTGGCTGAGAGAAGTGCTGTGTAGTGTAGTCCCGCCTCCCACTTTGATCACTGTGCCACCAAAACAAAACAACATGTTGGCCCTGTGGAACTTTTACAAAGTGTTTGAGTCTGATTTTACGCCATCTGCAATGCATGACAAAGATGATTGGTATTGGTCGAGCTCACTCATAGATGATCGGTATCGCGGCATCCCTAATAATTTCCCAGAATTCAAGGTGACATCTCTTCTTCAGTTACTTCACCAGTAACTTGTGTGATTTGTAGTTTTTTTTTTATAAATAAATATATATATACAGACCCTTTCCCAAAAATTAGAATATCATGGAAAAGTTGTGTAATTTCCATAATTCCATTCAAAAAGTTAAACTTTCATAGATTATAGATTCAGGGCCCACAATTTAAACGATTTCAAGTATTTATTTGTTTATTTTTACATAATTTGGGCTTCCAGCTCATAAAACCCACGAAAACAGGAATTCAAAAAATTTGAATACTGTGAAGAAATCAGCCCATATTTTGCAGGGCATGAATGTTTTAAACTGAGTGTCACACTCTAATCATCCACTAAACTCAAAGCACCTGCACAGGTTTCCCCAGGTGTCATTAAATTGCTTCAGTTTGGTTCAATTGTCTCAGTTCGGTTCAATATGGGGAAGACTGCAGACATGACAACTGGCCAGAAGACCATCATTGATACCCTCCATAGGAAGGGTAAGCCACAAAAGTTCATAGCTAAGCAGGCTGGCTGTTCACAGAGTGCTGTGTCCAAGCATATCAATGGAAAGTCTAGTGGAAGGGCAAAGAGATGACCGTGGGCTTCAGGCGGATTATCAAACAGAGAAGATTCAAGAATCTGGCAGAGATCCAGACAGAGTGGAATGAGGCGGGAGTCACAGCTTCAAAAACCATCACATTCAGACGCGTCCGGGAGATGGGCTACAACTGTCGGGTTCCTCAGGTCAAGCCACTTCTGAACCTGAGCCAATGTAGGAAGCGTCTCAACTGGGCCAAGGAGAAGAAGGACTGGACCGTTGGCCAGTGGTCCAAGGTCCTCTTTTCCGATGAAAGTAAAGTGTGCTTTTCATTCGGGAATCAAGGTCCAAGGTTTGGAGGAAGACGTGGTGAGGAACAGAACCCAAGCTGCTTGAGGTCCAGTGTGAAATATCCACAGTCAGTCATGATTTGGGGTGCAATGTCCGGTGCAGGTGTTGGTAAACTCTGCTTTCTTAAATCCAAGGTCACCGCAACAGTCTACCAGAATGTTTTAGAGGACTTCATGATTCCTTCTGCTGAGGATCTGTATGGAGATGCAGATTTCATCTTCCAGCAGGACCTGGCCCCTGCCCATACGCGCAAAAACCTGGTTTGATGCCCATGCCATCACAGTGCTTGACTGGCCAGCCAACTTGCCGGACCTAAACCCCATTGAGAATCTATGGGTATTCTCAAGAGGAAAATGAGGGGCACCAGACCCAACAACAAAGAAGAGCTGACAGCAAGCATCAAGGAAATCTGTGCTTCCATAACTCCCAGGCAATGCCACAGGCTGATTGCCTCAATGCCACGTCGCATCGAGGCAGTGATTAAGGCAAAGGGATTCCCAACCAAGTATTGAAGATTGACATATCATTTTGAAAGTACCAATATTTTGATTGATTTGATGTGATCCTAATTTCTTTCTTTTTTTTTCTGCAAAAACTGAGAAGTAAATGGTGATTTCTTCACAGTATTCTAATTTTTTGAATTCCTGTTTTCATGGGTTTTATGAGCTGGAAGCCCAAATTATGTAAAAATGAACGAATAAATACTTGAAATCGTTTAAATTGTGGGCCCTGAATCTATAATCTATGAAAGTTCAACTTTTTGAATGGATTATAGGAACTTTTCCATGAAATTCTAATTTTTTGGAAAGGGTCTGTGTATGTTATATTATATATATATATACTATAATATATATATATATATATAATTTGCTCATTATTTTTCAGTGATAGACTAATTGATTAATTAATTGATGGTTTCAGCTCTAATATTGAGATCATCAATGGCCACAAAGATATGGCTGCAATGATTTATCACTGTTAATGAAAAGTTTGTGCAAGAAGCAGCACTACATACAGTATACACAACATGACAACATAACTGTAATGTGTACCATTTGATTACAGTCGACTTGTGTGTTGTTTGATGTTTAAGACATGATGTGGTAAGTTTACTGTTGTAATGTGCATGTGTTGGCGTTTCTGTGTACAGGACTGTGAAAATGAATTTCCCCTTGAGGACAATAAACAAACTAACTAACTTATGTCTTTACAAAATGCTGGGTACAGTCTTGTCTTGGTGCCTTCACATCTGGAGCTACATGTGGGTAATAGATGTGTAATCATTCAGGATACACATTTAATGTCTGGTCGTGTAAATGGTTTATATTACTTGAATCTAACTTTTACTTTTTTTCTTTTTCTTTTTTTTGACGTTTTTCACATTGACAGTTTTCATATGTTCACTGCTGTTTTCTTACAGAAATGTCAGGAACAAGGCACAGCTCAGGTAAGAGTTTCAATATTATTCTTTATATGTACATATGTTAGTGACTGTTGACACCCGGGGAGGCTCGGAGTTGGACGGCTTTGCATCGTTTGAAAATGTGACGAGTCATCTCCATATTTAGACAGTCTCTCCTGGAGGACATTCGCAGTGTTGACGTACTAATAGTGTGTCAATAATATGATGATGATATACAAACAGTGCAGCTCAAAGTGCTTCACATCAATGTACATACAGTTCATGCATAAACACAAGATGATAAAATGCAACTATTAAATTCCTGGAGAAATTTTTAATGTGCCTGCTGCTTGGTGCATATCCAGAACTCATGTTTCAATCTCTACAGAGGATGTTACTTTGAGTTTCATTCATGTTGTGGAGACTTATCCTAACTCTGACCTCAGTCACTGCAGGTGTCCCTCAAAAAGCAGTTTGAAGCTGTCAGGACTGACCAAAGTGACCTCACAATGATGGTTTCGAACCTAAACTTGTCCTCACAACCATAGAAAGACATGTACGCACCAACACATAGAACCACACTACCACACATGCACATACTAGGGTTGTCAAAAAATCAATACTCAGATACTAATCGATACTAAAAATTAGTATCGGATTCGATACTTATTTGCAACAGTATCTATACCAACAGTGCCGTCTTTGCATCCTCCAGATGACACACAGCTTCATAAACAACACAGCAGACAGGCATGCACACAGCCCCTCCCCTCACTTGCAGCTGAACACATGAACGCTAGTTGACGTTCACAACACTCAGATGGTGTTGCCAGCATAAAACTAAATTATCATGGCAAGTGCTGCTGCTGAAGGACCTTCGCAACCTGTTTTAGTTGAAAATGAAAAAAACAAAAGTGCCATTTGGAATTATTTAGCATTATTATTTTACCTGGCCGGCAGACAACCTAAAAGTAGTGTTGTCATTGATGTTATTGTTTGTATTGTTCTAATCTTTATTTTAAAAAAATTTAAGCATCTTAATTTTTTTCTCCCCATGGTATCGAAAATAGTGTCAGGTATTTTCCTGGGTGTCGGTATCGAGTTTGAAATTCTAGTATCGTGACAACCCTAGCGCATACAGTGTTGATTTACCTTATTACTGTTATAGCGTAGAGTAAAAAGGCTGAGAGTTAATGAGTCTAATTAACCAATCAGAATCAGCTTTGTCCATTTCTACCCAGAAACTGCACTAGTGGCTCCTGCTGAGACACTGGTTGTTCTTGCGACTGTGGCCACCAGGGGGAGAAGTGAAACACACACACACACACACACGCAATCCCCTTTGTCTCCCTAGGCAGGCAAGGGCTTTAAAGATGAAACTTGTGTTCAAAATTGGATCACTGAGGGAAACTACAAGTCCTATTGGAGAAATGTCTTTACTACTGGCATCCCAAGACTTCACTGAAGACAATGATATATGTGTACCTACCGTTTACGGTAGAGATTTTATCGCAGTTTAAAAAGCTCCCTCAACTCTGTTTTTTGTAAGAACTTAAGAGCTCAGTTTAACATGAGAGCTTTGGACATCTACGGCGGCTTTGGACAGCCCTCTCTGCACTTACAGGGGATTTCTTTTAAAACTGTAAAAGATATCACAATGAGACCAAAACTGGGTGATAGAGGACAAATTTCTCTATCTGTATATATAAATTGTCATCCACTCTAGCTCTCAACAATTCTGTACATACACACCCATTATAAAATCTGAAACTGTTTTTGTGAACTGTCATAGCTATCAAAATACCAATTCAACTAATTCAAGAGAGTCTCAAGACTTTCTTTTTTTTAAAGTTTGAATAGGAAATTTTTCGCTGTTTTTAGCCATTTACATTTCCATGGTTTCTCAAATCGTGAACAAAAGTCGTAGTACATCATTCCCAATCAAGCCGCACGTTTTTATATAAAGTCTGGGTTTTCTCAATGATGCAGGAAAATTTACGTGCCGAAATTTCTACCAAATATTGATTAAAAATAAGAACAATAAGTATGAGGGATTATAATATGTGCTCTCTATGTTTTGCATAGCAGGCCTATAATTAAAGAGGTTGGAATTACTAGATAGGAGCTAATTAGTAGTAGTAGTAATAGTTAATAATAAACAAGTAAAATTAGTCCAGTTCATGATCCACTGTCTTTAGCTGAGGTGTTGTATAGCCTGATGGCAGTGGGAACAAAGGATCTCCTGAACCTCTCTGTTCTGCAGCGCAGTGAAATGAGACGTTTGCTGCAGCTGTAGCTGCTTCTCTGTCCTGCCGGAATGTTGTGGAGAGGATGGTTGGTAATGTCCAAGATGGCCTCCATCTTACATTGCATGCGTTTCTCCACAACAGTCCTGAGTGAGTCCAGACTCCTGCCAAGCACAGACCCAGCTTTTTTTTACCAGCTTGCCCAGTCTCTTTGTGTTCATGTCAGACATGCTGCTGCCCCAGCAGACTGCAGCATAAAAGAGTACACTGGCCACCACTGACTGATAAAACATGTGCAGCATTTCACTGCAGACGTCAAAGGACCTGAGCCTCCTGCGGAAAAAGCTGGCTCTGCTCCTTCAGGTAGTTGGCATCCATGTTCAGGGACCAGTCCAGTTTACTGTCCAGGTGCACACCTAGGTATTTATAAGTGTGCACCACCTCAATGTCCTTCCCTCAAATGTTGACTGGCTGAAGGGTGGGTCTAGACCTCTGAAAGTCCATGACCACCTCCTTGGTCTTGGAGGAGTTCAAAAGGAGGCAGTTCTTGTCGCTCCATTCACTGAAGGCCATCGTCAGATCCCTGTACTCCTCTTCCTGCCCGTTCCTGATACACACCACAATAGCTGTGTCATCCAAGTATTTCTGGATGTGGCAGGACTCAGAGTTGTATTTCAAGTCGCCCATATACAGGGTGAACAGGAACAAAGCCAGAACAGTCCCCTGTGGAGCCCCAGTGCTGCTCATCACTGTCCCTGAGACACAGTTACCCAGCCTGACGTACTGTGGTCGTCTTGTCAGGTAATCCACAATCCAGGACGTGAAACAGGGATCCACCCCCATCCCTTCCAGCTGGTCTTTAAGAATGGGGGGTTGGATGGTGTTAAATGCACTTGAAAAATCAAAGAACATAATCCTCATGTAACTACCTGGCTCATCCAACTAAGAATGGGCCGGTGGAGCATGTAAAGGACGGCATCATCCACTCCAATATGTTCCTTGTAGGTGAACTGTAGGGGGTCGAGTGCATGTTCAGCCTTACTGTATGTAAATGCAGTATGGGATAAATAAAGAGCAGGATACAGACTACAGATCTAAAAGCAAAGGAGTTTATGAAGCTGTTCAACAGGTTTGAAGAACCATAGTGGCAACTTAATTTTTCACAGACTGCTGAAGACTACCTAAAAAACAAACTAGCCTTGAACATGAGATCAGATTAACTTGTTTTTCCTGATCTAAACTACTGACAAAGACACTGAGAAATCACACAAATAAAGTTTGCTGTAGGAAGGAATTGACATCCACCTCCTAGTGGATATTAAAGGTAAAACATACAGTAGAGGATTTAGAGGATTTTTTGTGGCTACGTCTTGCACAGATACATAAACGACCTGTCAAAAGTTTTTATTGAAATTTAATCAGAATTCATGTCCAGTGGAAAAACAGTAAATGGTACAAAGGTCAGTGATAAACGAAGAAAACAGTTCATAGAAGTAGATCATGACTGACAAACCAACTGTGTCACTACACCCTCGGATCCTCATCAGGGCAACACTGTAGTGTAGGAAGTAGGACTGTATACTGCTGTCAGAGTGTAGGGAGTAAGACAGACTGGTGGGTCAGGGCTTCATCCTACAGCAACATAATGAGACACAAGACCAGGACCTCGTGGAGCTGGTCTTGGATGAACTGGACAGAAGTGACACATTAGTGGGAAATTCTGCAACAGACTTAGACCAACTTTCTGAACAATGTTTGATTTCTATTGTAGAGAGAAGGTCAGAGCTCAGCTGTGGAAGGAGTCAGACATTTAGTTTCAGTACCAACTGAAGAAACGGAGGTGTTCTAAAACATTCGACCAGTAGTGTATAAGAGGTGAAGTCTGACACAAGCACCAAAATATGCTAACAGTGCCACTTCTTGCAACAGTCATTCAGTGTGTTTTCATTCTGGAGATGTTTCTTTGCTGCCAGTGGCCAAACCTGCAGAGGAAGTCGGAGAGTGCTTTAAAAACCCAGAGACTGGTAGACTTGTCTGCTGTTCTTGTCCAGTGGCCCTTTTGAAATCCAGATACTTTTCCATGACGTCTGGAACCATCGAGGACTTTTCCTATGTTTTAACTTGAACCAAATGTCAGTTTTGGTTCCTGGTCTGTGGTTCTTGTTCCTGCACCTGAGTCGACATTATCAGGATGGAGGTTACAGCTCTGAATGTTACTACTTTGTCAAACATGTTGTTCACTTAATATGTGTTTTCAGTCTCCTTTCCATCCAAATCTTCTTTCAATATTGTCTCGCAACATAAATTACAAAGAACAACGTACTATGTGTTATCGTGTCACATGAAAAATCTGTTTTAAAAAAAAAAAAAAAAGGTCCAAGTGAACGTTTGTACCAAAATTGAAGAAGTTCTGTCAAAGTGTTAGAAATATTGCATTCACAAGGACAAAACTATTTTGTGAGGACACAATGCCCCTGACCTTTGAAATCTAATCAGTTCATCCTAGAGTCCAAGTGAACATTTGTGCCAAATTTAAAGACGTTCCCTCAAGGTGTTACTGAGATATTGTGTCCACGAGAATGGGATGGACGGATGTCCTTACCTACACACATACGCACGTACGGACAACCAGAAAACAATATGCCTCCGGCCCTGGCTGTTGCTGGCGCAGAAGCATAAAAATGTTGATGCTACAAAAAAAAAAAAAAAATCACACATTCTACTGATTTCATGTGTTGTCAAATATGTTGAAGTTTGAAACATTTGGTGAAACAGAAAATGCTGTTTACAGTACTAAATACAGTCAGACACTGATAGCACTGTTCTTATTGTTTGACAGATATGAACACCATCTGAAACATGACATCTAAAGTTCAGAGACTGTCTGTGTCAATAATCTGGGACAATATATTAAAGATAAATGATGCTGAGGTTTGTCTCTGGTCCAGGTACTGGGTGGCCAGCAGAAGGCTGTGGAGGGCTCCCTACAGCACGTTGTTAACGAGGTAACACACTTGTACAGTAATGAGATACTGTCAGAAAGAACACACCAAACAAGAGCAAAGTCATCACATTATTATTTACATATTTAAAGACATCCTCAAGACATCCTCTGTGTTAACTATCGGCTACAGCAAAGTCCTCCCACACCTTTCACTTCTTATCATGATGTGGTTTCTCATTACATCAGTATATTTACAGAGCATTGAGAATGTCTTCAGACCCCTTCATTCATTTGGTTATGTTGCAGCCTTATGCTAAAATTCCATCATCAATCTAACCTCAATACCCCATAAGGACAAAGGGAAAATGTATTCAGTATTCTGACATTTGGCTATGACATGAGGTCTCTCAGCTGACAATGCAGATCAGAGCAGAAACCATGAGGAGGAAGGAGCTGCTGCAGAGCTCAGAGACAGGATTTCTGCTGCACTGAAAGTTCCTGAGAAGAACAGTGGTCTCCATCATTCTGACATGAAGTCTCGAACAACCAGGAATCTTCTAGAGCTGGACCTGCACTGACTGAGACATCAGGGGGAAGAGAGGAGGAAACTTCCAGAAGGACAACCATCACTGCCATAAAGCCCAGATCAGTGGAGAGCTACAGAGTGTCCAGATGAGGGACAACACCATGCCAATGGTGAAGCCTGGTGGAGGCAGTGTCAGGCTGTGGGAGGTATAGGGAGACTGGTCAGGACTGAGGGAAAGTACAGAGAGATCCTTAATGAAAACCTCTTCCAGAGGTCAGGATCTCAGACTGGGCTGAAAGTTCAGCACAATCCAGCATCTGGAGAATTCAGTTTTGGCTTTGTCATGATGGGAGATTGAGTGAAGACTGATGAGAGAAGAATTTATAATTTTTTTTTTTTTTTTTTTTTTTTTAGCATGAGGCTGAAATATAACAAAATGTGGAAAAAGATGAAGGAGTCTCATATCCTCTGAATGCTCTGTATGTGTATATATGGTGTTTATATATTTGAATGTTTTTGTATGTGTCCAAAAGTCTGAAACTTGGGACACAAAATACACATTTACACATGATCCAACAAAGACAATGTCAAAACTGCAGGATTCAACCAGTGTGGTTTGGTGAGATACTCTGAATGTAAACAGAACTTTGGTTGGTTTACAAGGTAACTCCACAAGGCATCTTTTAATCTTAGTATCTAAAAACACAAGTTTTCACATCAACAAAAGGCTGCGTAAATGTTTCTTTACTTTTACATCAAGGGAAAGTCGCTGGATTATCTTTTCAATATTTTATACATTCGCTCTTTAAATTTGTTAGATGTAAATGAAAAATGTGTTGTTGCACAAACATGAAAAGCTATTATAAACACTGCTATTGTAAATATTTTGTTAGTTTCTTATAAGGATTTTGGGGATATGTGTAGAATACACTGTAATGGTTGGGTCCAATTAAATATTTGTGATTTCTCCACCTTTAGATATTACTAATTGTATCAGGGTATGTACCTGTTACAGTGTTGAATAAATCAGCTGATAGTTTTCTGTCTCTTCCCACCTCCACAGACAACCAAAGAGATGATAGCTCGTTCCTGCGCCACGATCGTCACACATCCCTTTCATGGTACGCCGTGACTCTTTAACTGACTCAATACAACATTAATCATGTGATACCTGCAGAGGCTGTTTGAGGTGGTTTCAGTTTTGACTCACTGAAGTTACATCTGATGTGTGGGGAGACACGAGGCTCATGTCATGTATGTTTCCTGGACTTGTTTTTCAGTGATTACTTTGCGTTGTATGGTCCAGTTTATTGGCAGAGAAACAAAATACAGGTAAAGTTTCAACATTTTACACATGAGCCTCAGTGAGAGGAGCCTTGAAGACTGTTAATAACTTAAATGCAAATCTTCTGTTCTCAGTGGGGTGTTTGACTCCATCGTCACAGTCTACAGAGAAGAAGGCATACTGGGCTTCTTTGCGTAAGTGTGACTATCCCTGTCTCTTTCATCTACCAGGGCTTTGGTGTTTTGTTTTGATGGTCAACTTCAGATAACTGTGGTGTCAGTGCAGTAAAAAAATGGCTGACCATTGTCACATTTTGTTGGCCTACCCTTTGATTTGCTCATATTGTTAAGAGATTGCTGAAGAAATAATGGGAACTTTTGGAAGAGAAGTTGATTGTTCTTTTGTCACACAAAATAAGATATAACCTGTTACTTATGTCATTGACAGACTCTTCCTGTAAGTATAATGTTTCGCATATCAGTCAATATTTATTGCCAGAAAATTAAAAAAAAAAATAGTTACAAAAAAAATCTAGAAATCATAGAAAAAAGCTGCTCCTTCTAGCTGCAGACCTTCATTCAGAATTCTTCATTTCCTTCAGTATCACAGTGATCCAGTGATAGTTGTCTGAACATCAGCAAACATCAGCTGATCACAGCTCATCACTGCTGTTAATGAGACAGTTTATGGGCTAAAAACAGGACTTGTTGTAGCTACAGCATAACTCGCTGACTCCATGGTTACATTGTATTTCATGTTTCATGTCTCGGAGCACGCTGTATTTTAATGACAACGATCAAACATTAGGATTGAACTGAAACAGGGAGCCTAGTTTTTCTTTTTGTCTCTTTCCTTTTAATTCTCCCTATTGTTAACTAGCTATCTATTTGGATTTCCCAGTTTTTGCCAATGATGTGATCTGTTAGTGCACAATCAGACTGAGATAGAAAACAAGTATAAGATGTTGTATGGTGACAACATACAAGTTTCTATCATTGGCTTATCACAGTGAGAGCTTTTAATACAGGCTCAGTGTCACACACTCTGCTATCCATTCACATATGCACTGTACTGACAACCTGAGGATATAAAGAGTAAAAGTCACCTGGGCTGTTTGGGTGGATTACATTAGTCTTTCTTTCTGTGGTACAAAGTCGGGAGCACACACAGGGTGGTTATTAATGAATGTTGCTGTACCGTTTATATAAGATGGTCCCATTATATGCACACCTTAGATAGAAGGCCTGAGAATGGGGAAACTGGATTATAACCTTGGTGGTGTGATCTTAAATCCAGTGAACCAGGATGTTTAGTTTAGAAATAATAATGTTTTCTTTTATTTTCCTCAGTGGTTTGATTCCTCGTCTGCTCGGTGACGTTCTGTCCCTGTGGATTTGTAACCTGCTGGCGCACCTCATCAATACGTACGCCATTGATGACTCGGTATGCCCCTTCTTATACATCACTCAGCTCAGTTCAGAGTTAGGGTTAGGACTTCATTGCGCTAAGAGCAGCCTGTGAGGCAGCGCTTACCTTCAGGTTGTGTAGGGAACAGGAAGGAGCAGAAGTGACACGCGAGTTCCACAAGATGATGTCATGATGCAATTCTTCACAGATTCATTCTCTGTATTTGACTCATTGATCCAAATTACAAAACCGAGTAACTGTCCTTTATAGTACGTACATACCTGCAGTTCAGGCACAAGTGAGTGAAGAGAAATGTAAAATGTTTACATGAACTTTCATGTGGTACACCTGTAGCCTACCTGTATGTGTGGATCTTAACTTAACAAGACAATCATGTTCGTTCAAATCATGGCACCTATCCAGTGTGCACACTTTTCTCTGTCCTGGAAGAAGAGAAATGTTTAGGACACTCAGCTTTTTTAAAAAATCTATGGAGAATCAGTTTTTAGTCACAGGGCTCAGTGAGGAGGAGAGGGGTGACAGGGACAGTGTGGCAGAGACAGAGGTGAGTTAGCAACTACATCTTCACCCGAAAGAACAAAACAACCAGATCTACCTGTCAAGTGTCTCCTCTGTTTTTCACAGTTTTAGTTCATGTTGAATTTAACAGTTTTCATCCTTTTTATTATTTCAGTTGCAGCCTGATGTTTTTATGTCATATTTTGAAGTTTATATCTCGTACAATTGGTGAGATTAAGATTGAGAAACATGTGAGTTCAGAATCAAAGTCAAAAACTGAGATATCCAAGTCTCACATTCCTCCTCATGTGTTTAAATTAGAAGCATGATTTGGGTTAGAACAACTAAAAGTGGAGGGACCACCAACATATTTTCAAACTTGTGAAGACTGTGGCAGAGGAAGGGAGGACACGTTGTCGCTGCTGATGGCGGCATCATTTCTACACAGGAAAGAAAAAGTCACATGAGCAAAGAAGCCGGTGGAAATTTTGGTGGGTGACAATCGCGGTCAAATATTGCGATCATCACCGCAGTGTCTGATTTGCGACAACACTACCCTGTTGAAATGCACACACTACACCACTGAGTGTATAGTGTGCACAGTGTACTACATATCGGTGCACTAATGGAAGCACGCAAATCGAGACTGATTTAGAGCAGTTGTTTCTGTAGTTCTGATAAATCCAACAGAGTGATACATCTTCTCTAGTTGGTTGTCTCATTCTCCAGTTGAACTTTTATTCATGTCAGATTAAAAATTAAAATTTATAGACGCAATGATTTAGTCATGAACTTTGTTGTTTGGAGAAAGTGGCTAACAAGGTGTGTCAAATGAAGTAGTCTAATAAGTCTGAATACAGATGGAGTCAGACTCAGCAGGTGCTCAGGATTAAAGGACTCAGATGTCCAGACCAAGTTTTGTTGACCCTGATCCCAGTCTGTCTCTGATGTTAGCACTGTAGTTGTTGTGGTGCTCTTCATCGTCAGCATGAGTCTGTATAGCTAAACTGGACATTATGTTGAAGCACCAACAGACTAGATTGTCCTTTCCTCAAGAAAATGCAGGGTGATTGCACAAAGTTATTTCTGCTCCTGCAACTTGCTTGCAGCTGAAGCATCAATAACTTTCCACACAGTGGTGCAACTGCAACAATTTCTGACTATGTGAAGCATTTCACCAGTTGCCAGCTGTCTGCCAGGTTTCAATTCTCTAGCCTTTACAGCTTTTCAAATATTAAGTATTTTATGCACTTCTTTAGAAAATGAATAACTTGTTAATTATAAGGGATATCAACAAGCTGTTTACCAGCTAATACGGCCTGATCATGCTTGACATTTCAAAAGTGGAAGCATCTTTTGTTTTTTCACTGTAACACCCTCTAGTAGTGAAACTGCATGAAACTCGGCAGTGTTTTGTGTTCTCAGTCTGTAAACTTGAACCAAATTTGTTGCATGAAGTGAAGCATTCAAGAGTTACAGCAGGTTGAATTGTTATGACCACACCCGCAAAGGTTTGTCGGCCAATCACAGAAAAACAATACATGATATCTCAAATCAAACATGTGGAACGTGTTCTGGGTCATCCAAACATGGCATGGACCAAGTTTGGTGACGCTTGGATGAAGGGTGTGGGATGGGGAGTCAAAAGTATGTCTAGCAAAAAAATCCAAAATGTCTCTTCAACATCATCCACTGAATCCATGGACACCAGAATCTTTCTTTTACAGCTCATGGTTGCTGAGATATCAGACAAAACATTTTGCATATTTGTTAGCTCATTTCTCACCACATGGTGGCGCTGCCCACTACCATGTTTGAGTAGGTGAAGCGTTATAGAAGGGAGAAGCTGTTCACCAAGTTTCAGTTCTCTACCTTTTTACAGTTTTTGAAATATTAATGAAGATTCTTCATCAAATCAATTCAAAAGCTAAACTTCTCTGAGCAGCCGCAGGAAGTTGATCTTTACTCAGTCCTGATTTCTCCACTCCAGTCCTGGTCCAGTCCAGCCCAGTCACCAACAAGTTGACATGGACATGTGTCTTTACCCTAAGCACTGACCCTCCATGCTGCGTGTTCAGTCCAGAACTAACCCTCACTCTGTTCCTCTGCACAGATGAGTCACACTGGAGAAATCAAGAACTGCTCTCAGGCTGTGACGGGGGTGAGTCCGACACACACACGCATACCTCAGTCCCTGTGTTTGCAAACTGTTGTCTGACCACGATCCGCCTCTGCTCTGTCTTCCAGTTCTTTGCCAGTATGCTCACATACCCTTTTGTTTTGGTGTCAAACCTCATGGCTGTCAATAACTGCGGGTGAGTTGACCAGTTAGTTCCTGTTGTAAATCCTCACAAGTGATGGATCAGATAGACTCATGTTTCCACTGTCCTGTAGGCTCGCTGGAGGCCTGCCACCTTATGCATCAGTATATCCCACCTGGGTGGACTGCTGGAGGCATCTAAGCAGAGAGGTAAGTGACAGACACTGATGAGTTAGAGAGTTAAACTCGGTCCAGCCGAGTTTCTGAAAATAAAACTGGAGTTTTATTTTGAAAACTCTGGGGTTGTTGTATCTGGACGGACGGAAACTGAGACATTTGTAAACGATGACATAGACACCCACGTTCTCTCCTGATTGGCTCTCATCAGCCTCGACTACCAGTGGTGAATACAACATGATAATGAATTACAGTGTTACTGACCTTGCTGTCTGTGCTAGCAGCTGTTCAGTTATATTCTGTATTTGAATACTACAGCTGTCTTTGCTGTTCCTCCCTCAGAGGATTTACTGTAACCAAGTGCAGAGTACACTATCTGCTTCGTATCTACACTGATCCCCACATGCCCAGTGTATGTGAATGGTCATGTGATGTGTTGGTATGGACGGAGATGTTTTTGTTTTAAAATGAAAACTTATCAGTGTGGATGCAGCCACTGCTCCTCCAAGATTAAGTTAATCTGAATTGATGCACAGAACTCAAACTGTTGCCTAGGTACAAATGGTTGGAAGCTTCACTCTCCAGTCCACTGTCTTTACTGTTCAGTTCTAACTGAAAGCTCCATATTTCCCTCTTCTCCTGTGTTTTATTTGAAGTCTTGATCCATAAGATTTTTACATCACTCTCAGGCTTCTTGGTGCATCTCTAGTAACAAGGTCAGTGAGCCAATCAGAAGAGAGGAGGTTCTGAACCTCTCTTCTGATTGGCTGACTGTTTTCTGAGTGATCCAATAAAAATATAGCAGCTCTCAGAGAAACCAAATCCTGCAAGGTTAGGCGGTGGGTCCAGATGGGCGATACTTGGGATGTGACTGAGTGGTGACTGCTTTGTTGTGACATCACTAAGTTCCAGAAGTCCTGACGGATGGTTTTAAGTCTCAGTTTCTGAATATATGGATATATACCTTTAGACTGTATGGAGCTTTAAAGCCGGTCTTTATTACAGGTCACATTATCCTTATAATTTAGTTATATCCACAATACTCTGATGTGGTACGAACAGGCCCACTGATCTTTTCATGTCATAACAACCAAAGACCTGTTGGTCACCTGTAAATTGTGACATCACCACTGACCTCTCCTTTCCTCTCTTTGTTCCAGGGCAACATGAGCAGAGGCAACAGTTTATTTTTCCGGAAGCTTCCGGCGGGAAAGATGTACGCGATTGACCAGAAGAGATTTTTTTAAAGCCTCAAGAGAACTTAGCTGAACATAGTTGTGATAATAAAACATAAAAAAAAATCAGCATTGCTTGATCTCGGGGGGGAGGGGGATGACAGGTGGCACTTAATTTTTTTGTATGCACTTGTTTACTCAGAGGGTTTTTCCTTAACAACCTGCAATCATGTGATAAAAAAAAACAACCTTTAGTTTCCAGTTAATTTCCAGCAGGTTTTGTTTATTAACAGAAATTTAGAGACAATGAGTTGGAACATGAAAACGTTTCTTTTTAACCCACATGTAAAATACTGATGGAGGACGGCTCATGCTGTCTCAATCATGTTGTGACAGACCCATGTGTAAGTGCCGCCCTTCCCCAGGTTTTTTTTATATACATTATCCTTCAATAATGACTCCACCTCATCCATGGATGGGATTTGTTTGTTGAAAACAGCACTTAAGTCTGCATGTGGTAACGTCTACTAATTCACATGTTAATGATCAAGTGGGACCTCTTGTCATGTGATCTTGTCTTGTTAATTATTGTTAACGCTCACAGCTGGGCGGGCCTGTAATGCTAATGAACAGGAGCTGAGAGACTGTGTGGTGGTGGTGGGTGTCCGGCAGCATGGAGAAGACCCTGAGGTGACCACCACCTCTCAACTCTGAACAGTCAAGTGCTTGTATCAACTCATTCTGACTGACCCAAATAAAAACAGCTTTTTTTGACCTTGTTTTTCTTGTGAAGGTGTTTGATGTAGAACTTGAAGTATGTGAAGCGGTACATGTAAAACTAGAATTATTACCTTGCGGTTGTATGCCTCTCCCTGTCACTGAGGCATACTATGACCCCATAATCTAATCTGTTCATCCTTGTGAATGTTTGTGCCAAATTTGGAGAAGTTCCATCAAAGTCTTAGAGATATCACAATCACAAGAATGGGACGGACGGACAACCTGAAAACAATATGGCTGCGGCTGTTGCCGGCAGGGAGGAATACAAGAGGATCCAGGGTTTGATGGTGTTATGTGTGTATCAAATCCTGTTATCTTATTCCTTTGTTCCATTCCATTGTTAAACATAAGTCACTGTTTCACTGGGTGGCACGTTCCTAACACATTGTTGACGATAAGAAAAACATCAGCCTTACCCTTTAATTCATATGGTACAAAAGCTGTAAACTACATTTTCCCTCTGTAACTGTTCAAACACGTGGGATCTACATTCAGTAATTACAACCCGAGTCCAGCCTGTATAACAGAAGCAGACGGACAGCTGGTGTAGCGGGGGTTATTAGTGACGTAAAGAGTAATAACATCATGGCGTTTCATGATCTGGGATGGTATTCATTTTCGGTCCAGACACTAAATGTGACCACACGTCATGACTCAGTGTTTATCTCTCTAGTCCAGTCAACTGAGAAACAGCATTAAGTACTTTGTGTGCAAAATCACTGTGGAACAAAAACCAACCAACAAATCAATTTACAGTAGGCCCCAAACTAGACTGACAATTACTGTACAACAGGGCATTAAAAGAACAGCAGAAGAAGAATGTGTGAGCACAATCAAGACTACCCTTATAAAAGACTAAATGGTTTGTAATCAGTTTATTAATTCAGATGTTAACACGTTATAAATCATGAATAAACAATTATAGACAGGTTATAACGTTTTCATACATTGATGCAGACTCACTATTTGGCAAGATCAACTTAATGCTTACTACTCATTAATCTTACTAATGACTTACTACCATTTTAATCCTTTATAAGGGTAGTCTGATTGTAAAGTGGTACCATGAAAAGTGTCTAGCAGCAATATGCAGAAACTAAGTGTTAATTGGAAAAAGACATGTTAAGAACACTAACAGATGTGTGTGTAACTCAGTGCTTCAGACTCTTCACTCAGAGTGATGTGTTATAATAAACCATCAGTCAGTGTTTGGTTAAACCTGCCTCCACTCTATGTGTTTCTTCCTGTGTCCTCTGCAGGTTTGTTACCGCTGTGTTGACTGTTGATGTGTTGAGTCATTTCCTTGCGGTTGGTTACTGTGTGTCCACACTGCACACATGTGTAGCGCCCTTTAGTGTGCTCCCAAAGGATGCGTCTGTTGCAGGCCATACCTAAAGCATGAAGGGACAAATTAATTGTCGGTACAAAATATCTTTTCTCCATGAATTGACTCACAATCATAAAACCCAGAAAATGCTTCATTCATTCATACACACAGCAGGTTGTTTCTCAACACCAATTAATCAGCCTGACATCTGCAGACAGACATTCTCTCCCAGGGACAGACTGAATAAAGTAGAATGCACACACTGTTCATTCATCCTCCACGTCTCTAATATCTCTTTCCCCAACTGAGCTCAGATCAGTGTGCAGAGTCTTTTTTCAGTCAGCTGACTACTCACCACAGTCAGTAAACTGCAGCGGGTCCACTGTTCACGTCACAGTTTAGGAGACTATCGTGACTCGAGGCGGCTCATACAGCAGCAATCATCTACGTTACTTTTATGTCAATTAAATAAACTGGTCATGCAGCTCTACCTGAACCACTTAGAACAAGTAGCCACTGCACACACACAACATTTAGCACAGTTGTACAATTGTACTAAAAAAAAGAGCAAATGCAAAGATCAATCTTAGGATTTTAAGAATCAACATTGGATCAATCAAATAAAAATTGTAACTAAATAAAAAAAATTCATAATTTTTTTCCCAGCTCTAACTGGCAGTACGCCAAGACCTGTTGTGGAAAACATGAAGCCCATTCACTGTTTTAACTTACACTTACTAGATGTGTCTGATAAAACCATGGATGTATTATAAGAACTGGACACTGGATCAAAAATGGCACACATTCATTTCTATAGAAGTTGCTCGCCTGGTGCATACACTGAAAAAGTTTCTGGCTTCCGGGTTACTTCCGCGTTCTGCGGCCCACTGAATATGTGCAGTAGTATCACTCCCATGGTGCCTCTGGGCTTTGAGAACGAGCAAACAGCGTTCTGGATCTGGGGCTGTGCGTTCATAAATGCAATGCTAGCGGACTTCATGGAGGAGTAATAAGACTTCTACAGGACTTTATACAAATGACAACAGCAACAAACAATGAAGATAATGTTCTGAAGAGTAAGGTGGTGTTAAACCTACGATCATTGATAGCACGGATAATTCGTGTTGACAGTTAATTGTGATGTTAAAGGGAAAACAAGTCATTCAGTTAAAAGCTTTAGAGCTTAAAATCACTTTGGACTCAACACAAGAAATCATAATCGGACAAGAACATGTTTGACCTGTTCTTTGAGCATTTTTAATTAGAAATTGATGCTGCATGTGACAGATATTACAACTTGTCAGATAAAATGATCACAAGGGCTTTGTTACCTTTTTATATTGAAGCATATTCATATAGCACGTCTTCTACGTATTCTTATACTCCTACTACTTATTTATAGTGGAGCATATTAAATAAAATGTGTTGATTTAGGTCATTTCTTATAATGACATTTTGTCCATGATGATGTGTTTTTCATGGTTTTACCACTTTGATCCACCAAAGCCTTTCAGTTTTACTCGTGTTTAAATTTATTAATTAAGTCAGTGTTATTTCATATTGTATATGTAAAGTTAGTGCCAGGCTGCATGGTGTGACTCTTTGTTATGAAATAGTCAATACTTTTACAATATTTCCACAACACTGTAGAATTTCAATGTCCACAAATGTAGCTGTCACAGAACCCAGGTATTTTCATTAAATACATCACTGTCCCAGATATTTGATTTGAAAAAGATTGCACCGTCTCAGGCCACCACCACCAACCCAGTGGACGCGAAGTCAGTTGTAATTTTACCACTGAGACAGTTGAAGCCATAAACTAAATGAATGTGGTTGTTGTGAGTGGAAGACAGGCTGGTGAACTTCAGTCAGGATGGACACTGCTGGCACACAGATCACAGGAACCATCACCTATCAGGTAAATGACTTACCAAATTAAAATTCACTTAAGAAAAGTGTTACGGGGTCGTTATGAAAAATCACTTACAGTGTCATATCAGTGAATCAGTCATTGCGTGGCTAATATATCAGCTAATATTTTGATTAAAAAACAATTACATTCAAGAACAAAGGCTGACAAGTGACCAGTAACTGCCACAAAATCACAAAATCAAAATGTCTTGATGTGTGGAAACAAAGATTCACCTTTATGTCGTTAATTATTCACTTTTCCTACCAACCTCTGTACATCCGTACGGCGTTTGCATCAACCTAGCAAGCATCCTCGTTCCTGAGACACAACTCGACCGCGCGGAGAGTGTGTGTGCACAGCGGTGACGTCATCCAGAAAAAAAAATACTTCTCTGGGCTTTTTGTTGGCTTTGGAAATTTTTTTTAAAAAGATTAAAAGTCCATGGCTTAAAAATATACAATACAAAGATTAATAATTGACTGTGTTTACAGCCGGAGGTGTTCTGTCAATAGTTTTACAGGTGTTTTTTTTACTATTGTGGTCTGTGGGAAAAATGCTTTTTGGGTCGCCGGGGATTTTTCCCTGCAATACTGCGAGTGGCCACTGGGAAGAATTGGCTGCAAGGCAGAGCAATGGCACCATATCCAGTTCTTATAATACATCCATGGATAAAACCCACTGTCAAAGCATGCACTTAATTTTTATTCATTTTCTGTCTATGTATTAACCTCGATTGTATGCTGGTGATCTTTCTGGTAGGTACTCACCATTGTTGTAGGAGCCTAAATGCAGTTTGTTAATGTTGGACTATTTAGCTTAAGTGCATATTTAAAATAACAGTAATGTACAGTAAGTGGTTAAAGAAATTGAAGGATTATTTACAGTATTTACAGGTTTACGTACTTACAGTGCATATTTACAGTAATGCCAAACCATAAGTTAATCATCTATTTTTGTCACTAAAAGTGACTGTGGATCATTTAAAGTATATAGAATTTAATTTTTACATTTGAAATATAAAGGAATAGGTGACTATGGTCATTGCCTTTTAGTTGCTGGGCAGCTGAATTGCTTTGATGTTCTCGTAAGGGGCGGGGCAGTGAGTGATATCAGGTAAGTCAGGCTGCAGCGAGTGGAGCAACACAGACCTCTCTCTGTGTCTCTCACTTTTGTTAATTAGTTTAATAACTTTGGAAATGGACTTTGTTCTGAATTGTTTTTTGGGGTTTTTTTTTGTCTGTGTTGAATTTGATGATAGTTATGCATTTTTAGTGATTGTGTCATTTTAGCACTCTGAGGGCAGGTAGCCACATCTGGCAGGTTACAGCTGTGTGCTTTAGAGTGAGGAGAGGCTCACCTTGATTCTTCTTCCAGACTGCTGAGGACCCAAGAGGAGACTGAGGAGCTGATACCGGAGCAGGCTGGACAGGCTCAGGAGACCTAGTCTGTGTCTGGGTCTGACCCTGGGCATCAGAGGGGTCAGGAGCTGCTGATGGGACATCCAGGTTTAGAGACGGAGGCAGATTAGAGGTTCCGTTTCTGAGCAGAGGCTGAGGAACTCCTTCTGTGAGAAGGGTAGGGGAGGTCTCTTGGTGAGAAAGGAAGGGGGTGGCGAGGAGAGGGGGGACAGCTGAGTCTGGCTGAGGAACAGCAGCAGGGAAGGAACCATCTTTGTTTGGGATTTGAGAGGGCAGTTGCTGGGGTTTCGACACTGAGTCCAGCTGCGGGGGGGTCTGGTCCATGGGCATGGAGGTCGTGTTCTGGTTGGTCACAGCAGCAGGCTGTGGGGGCGTCGGTTCAGTTGTCTTTGTTTTGCCCCGTGGCACTTTGGAGCAGGTGTGCAGGTGAGTCAGGAGGCCACGGTAGGACCGCAACTTTGTGCGACAACTCTCACACCTGCAGAAAGAGGCGATGCTGCATGACTCTAAAGATATCTTACCAATGTATACACAGGATCTCAGCTGTGACTAAAGAAAAGACCAACTCACAAGAAGTATATGTTGGGTTTGTGATGATGCCTCATGTGTTCCATCAGTTTCTGCATGTTGGGGAAGGAGCCACTGCAGCCAGTCGTGGAGCACAGCAACGTCTTCCCTGAGGGGAGGACAGACACTGTGATAACCCCTCCCTCTCATCTCCAGCCCAACACTCAACAACAAAACTAAAAGCCAGATCAAAATCAAAGTGATGGAGTGTATTATAGTTCAATGTGACTGTGGAAAAGTCATATCACAATAAAAAATTATTTACTGTCATTAAAGATTAAAAGCTGAATAATTGTCCTTTTTAACTTGTCTTTTTGATTTGATTGTGACACAATAAATGCACACACGAAGAAGAAACGAAATGTAATGTCTGTTGTATTTCACCTGATGTGTTTGGTTTGTTTACATTTAGTCATTGTGAAGCTTCCATACTCCTGCTTCAAAATCATATTAGCTACGGTTCAACTTGACACAAAAATGTAACTAATAATGTTTTTTTCATTATATCGTGTATTTTCAGTTATATTTTTATTATTGTGTCTTGTTTACACATGTATTTCCATAGAAGCTCACCGGGGAGAGACTGAGCCGGGATCTCATGGTCCTTTATGTGGCTCTCCAGGGCGCTGGTGTCAGAGAAGACCCGCTTACAGCCGTGTAACGGACACAATATCCTCTTGTTTCCTGAAACATACAAACAGCACTTTACCAACTGTTGTATATGTATGTATTTATGTTACAGCATCAGAGTCAAAAATGTCAGCTACTTCAGGTCACAGCTCGAGCTGGTTAGTTAGCATGCTAGCTAGCTAACTAGCTGGCTGACGCAGTTTAGCCATATTGCAACTCTCGTCAGACACAGTGGCATGAGAGCGGGTCGAAGCTGCCGTCTACCTGATACTTGAGCTAAAGAACAAACCTTCGTTTCCACTCTCAGGTGTCTGCAGCACTGTGCTTCCCGAAGCCATCACTGGGGATCAGTGGTTCTGTTGTGCATTGACGACGAGGGAGATCAGAGACGGACCACAAAAACCAGAATGCAATGCGACAACGACTTCGCGCCGACGCACTTCTTCTTTGTATATTTTTCCGGCAGGCTGTAAGCGTCATGCTGCCATCTACCGTTGTTATTGAACAAAGGAAGTCATTTCAGGTAATTTTCCCATGACGGAGTATTCGGGCCACAATCAGGAAAAAAATAAAGAGAATATGAGAACAAAGTCATAATATTACGAAAATTAAAAATGTAAAGTTTCCAGAAAAAACATATAATTTTTAGGAATATTACAACAACCAGAAATGACAGTCAGTGTCAGCCTGAGCTGCTTCTGGCAGCTGCTGTTTGTCTGTCTAACAATAGAATAGACTCATTTTCTTCACAATCTTTTCAGTGTCCTGATGATGATGATGATGATGATGATGATGATGATGATGATGATGATGAGCCAAAAGATGAAGTATCTCCTTATTAGTGAAACCTCTGCTAAAGTACAACTTCACAAGATGCTCCACGTTCCTCATTTTAAAGCGTCTGATATTTCCCCTCTAAACAACATGCAACCTAAAAGTACAACTTTATTGTCATCATATTTTGACTTTTTTTTTGGAAAATTATGACTTTGCTGTCATAATATTATTGTAAAATTAGGACTTTCTTTCTTGTAATATTCTGACTTTATTCTCGAAATTTCTGATTTTTTCCCCCACAATGAGGCCCTGATGTGGCATTGTATATTCCAGAGTCAAATCTAGTTTAATGGAAGAAACTGAAAACAGCTGATAGTTAATTGTCATGTCACCAATTTGAAATTACTGCCCATGGACGTTCAGCTTACTTTCTAGTTTGCTAAAATATGTAGTTGGTGTGATGTTAGCTGTAGTAGCAGGAGAGCTGTGAGTATCACTGTCTGCAAAAGCTGGTTATGGGAAAGGTCTCCTCCTCTCTGCATGTTATTGCTTATAGCAGCAGCAGCTGCAGCCAGTTTACTACCTCATGGAACAATCATGGTATATATCAGCGGTCTTTCTCCAGAATTGCCTTTGCAGCAGAATGCAAAGGCAAACAAGGATGTTGAAGATATGCCAGTGAAAATGAAGATGGACAGTGTGAAATAGGAGCTAAGCTTAAGTGCTGAAACTGTGGAGGGGAGCATGGCTCGGCTTACTGGGAGTGTGAGGAGTGCTGCAGAAGAGCAGTAATTCAAAATTTCCCGAGAGAGTACAAACACTGAAGCAGCTGAGAAAGCATTTGTGCAGCCAGGGAAATCTAACATAAGTTAATTAGTGCAGCAATCACAAGACGAGACCAAGTGAGAGATGTAGCAAAGAAAAGGAAGACACTGATGTTCTGTACAATGTTGATGTTATAGAGATCAAAAATAATATAAATCAGCAGAAAAATATCTAGGAGTCAAAGGTCTAGGGTGTGACACAGTTGAGTAAATGTGAAGTGGTTGTTTCAAACTACAAGATAAGCCTAATATAATATGTGTAGAAGAAACATGGCTGAGAACAGAGTGGGATTTTGTTATACAGGGTTATACAGGAGTTAGGATTGATCAGAAGACTGGGAAAAATGGTGGTGTGGCCTCGTGTGTAAAGGATGGGATGAGATTTAATCTTAATTCAAAGAAAGAACATGAACCAAAAATGGTCAAGATCTGGGCAGGAAAGGATAAACTAGCAGTAATTCATTACTATTACCCATGTAACAGATTGTGCCTCAACACACTGAATACTGTGGGTGGGCAAGTACAGGATAAGGTGGTAGCACACTCTGGGGGATCAAGAAAATAGATGCTTATGGTTTAGTCACAGAGGATTAGGGAGATAAGGGATTAATATGTGTGAGTGATGGGAGAGGTACTGGGTATAACAGCACTAGTATCAATGGAATTGCAGGTATCATAACCTGGGAGGTGTACAGTAATTCACCAGCGAGCAGTGATCAGTATCCAATAAGAATTAAGGTGAGAGTAAAAGAACAACAAGAAGAGGAAATGAAGGTACGGGGATGCAAATTCAACAAAGCCAACTGTGACACATTTCAAGAACTAAGAAAGGTCAGATGCAGAGTGCCAATTATAAAGTGACAATCGGGGTGAACTATTTCTCCAAGATGAAGGAAACCCAGTACAGAGCAGGCACATACTACTGTACAAAGAGGTGCTGGGCACACATGGAGTTTAATATTGTTCAATGAGCCAACAGGTAAAACTCCTGAATTCCTGAGTGAAAACAAGAGGGTGTCTATTATAGAAGCTAATATCATAAAGGTAAAAGACTAAACCACCACACACACACACACACACACACACACACACACACACACACACACACACACACACGCACACGACTATTAACATGAATTAATAAACTCTATATTGATCTAAACATGTCTCTACAACAATAACTCCTCCATTGTCTCACTGCTCATGACTGGTACATGCTGGTGCATCCCCCGTAGTTTGAACCCTGGTCAGATGTGATTATTTACTGATACATTTACATAAATTTACTGATTTACTAGATGAATTCAATAATAAAAGGTTGTCTGCAGTTATACATTATACATTTAGCAAATACTGAAGGCTGCAGGGAGTAAAGAGAGTGTAACCATGGACGGAATGATAAGAGGAATGAGTGGAACCAGGAGAAACAAGAAGGCTGTCAGCAATAAAGGAAGAGACAGAAGTTCTGGCAAACTTCACAGTTCAGATAATTCATCAGTGACAGTAGACAGTGTAGAGATGACACTCACACAGAATCCAGGTGTAAATGTAAGAAACACTACGTCAAGAGAAAGTCTAGATTTAGCTGTCAGTCTGTTTGAATTAAAGAGGGCCATTTATGGGATAGATGGTATTTGTTATGACAGTGCACTGCTTGGAGTGTTAAGGTTGTTTAATTTAGTTTGGGACACAGGAACATTTCCAGTAGCAGTTTTCAGACCCTCAAACTACAGAACAATACCTCACACACTTACAACAAGGGAGAACTATGGAGTGAAAAGAAAGGTATCGAGAAACCACTGTCAAGAGGCTGGAATCTAATATATATACAGAAGAAAACGCACTGCAACAGAAATGGTTGAGCAGTGGGAAAATAAGTTCATCTGTATCAAAGATGCAAGTGATATGTTTCTTTAGATGTCATGAGGCCACATCCCTGAATTTATACAGCCAAACACCTGAGCAGGCGAGTGTGGTTAGGTTTCTTGGAGAGTCTGATCAAAGTGAATCAAATTACCACAAGTGAAGTGATGCACAGAAAATATGAGGCCAGGTTATTCCAGCACAGGCACACTGGGTGGTTCCTGACCAAATAATCTGCTCTCTGGGTGTGAACCTGGAGGCCATAGAGAGGATGAGTAGTGGCTGGGTTGACTACAGGCCATGCTGAGTTTAAGAGGTTAATCAGGCCATGGTCCTGTGTCCTACGTACAGTATATAATTGTAAATCATATTCAGCTTTGGAGCAACTGGAGCTCCCACTCATTGAATGAGTGTGTTTGAGTTGTGTGTAGTTGTGAGTAGCATCATCAGAACAGTTTTACTGTAAAAGACGTAGATGTAGATCAGTGGTTCCTAATCTTTTCCACTCATGACCCACTTGAAAATCTCAAAAATGTTGGCTGCCCACATCTGATCTATCAATACAGAGGCTAAATAATGTGTTTTTAATGAGAACGATGGAACATTCAGGACTGAACTGAAAGCAGCATAGGATTAGATGCTCCAGTTTTTGCCATCGATGTAATCTGTCAGTGCACAATCAGACTGCAATAGCAAACAAATCGAAATGATAAAAGTTCCTATCATTGAGTTTATAAATTTAAATTAAAAAAAAAAAAAAACATTTCAAAAAATTATTTATATTTATACATATTTTTTATAATGACATGTTTTCACCAAAATTGTACTGTTTTGCAAATGATTTGTTGGCCCACTTGTGATACCCCGCCCACAGGCTCTTCACTCAGGTAGATGATGGTCCAGATTTGTAGGAGAACACTGCAACATAGACACTTGTTTTCAAAGTGTAGTTTTTACTGATCTCATGAATAAGTCAAGTTCACAATTACATTAGAAGTTTATACATATAACACAGATTATATCTATACCACACATTTAAAACTCTGAACATGCACAGAGTGGCTCCAAAAAAAAATTCAAGTAGAAATGGAAATACTGTACATATATAACAAAAACAGAACTGTGATTCAATTTGTTTTGGTCAGAGTGAAACCGAGAGGAATACATGAAAACATTAAACGCATGGTGCAGTGTTTCAAAACCATTTCAAACTCTCAGTTTAGTGAATCAGTGGATTCATAAACATAAATACAGATATACACACAACTCCTTAAGTTCAGTTTTATATAAGATGGATTTTTTTGGTCATAGTTTTAACCATTTCCTGTTTCTTACCACACCATTGCAGGATGCCCAGTCATCTAGAACAGCACTTCCCAACCTTTTGGCTTGTCACCCTTCAAAATAAAGCAACTTGTGACCCATCATCAGCATATGTTTATGGGTTATGATGACATCAACCAAAGAGGTTTAGAAGAAGTGAAATTATCCAGTAAGTCATAAAACAAAAAGCAAAGTTTAGATCAAAATAGAAAAGTTTTTTTTTTTGCTCGAAATGTCATGTGTTTTTTGCATCATTAAACTGCATCCTGTATATGGTCTATTGCTTGCAGTGGGGACAGTAGGTTAAACACTGTATTTTACTAATGCTAATGGATGTTAACAGCTGATAGTGAGTGATCATGTCAACACTGAGCAAAACTGCACTTTAGATCATTTGTTGTAACCAGGGTGACCCGCTCATGTTTCCTGTGCTAATAGAACAGCCATTGTTAGAGTTATGCCCAAAAATGGTGGCAGTTTTACCAGTACATTCCCATGTGGTGATATGATGATATCTACAGAGTATTGATGTGTGTGAGAGCTGCTGCAGTGCGTGGCTGGTGTCGTCACTCTCCTGGTGAAGTGAGCAAATCAAGTTTTTTTTAATAGCACCATTCGAGGGCAAAGTACTTCACATCAACAGATGAATAAAACAGAAGAAGTGAAGTCTGCACCTCTGGACCTTGAGCTGCTTTTTAAAGGCATCAGCAGCATCCACAGATCTTTCAGTGTTTATTATGGAGCCCAAAGTGTTTGATGGTAAATAAATAAAAAGTAAAAATATTTATTCATTGAGAACCACAGACTTGACAATAAAAAACAAGGGCCACCATTTTGCCAGGAGGTGAAGAGAAATCTAAAGAATAAATCTTGACCTGTAAGAATGCTTTCATAATAACAAACTGGAAATGAAAACTATAGTGTTAGTGTCCATATGTAAAAACTGAGCTTTCAGAAGGAGGAGCTCAAATAAACTGAAGGTTCAGTAAAAGAGGAACTGAAGTTCTTAGAATAAATACATAGAACATGTCATGTGTGCCAGTGAAGCCTTCAGCCAATCAGGACAAAGCTCAGTCATCACAGAGGTGAGAAACTGTAGAACCTTCCTCAGAAAAGTGAAGGTGCCTTCCTCCTGTGAGGTTTTAATGTCATGTGACATGATGATGTTCTGCAGCAAAAGTCGGACAAACGTTCTAACCAGAATGCACTGCTTTAAGTCCAGCAGGCATCATGTTAAGTCGCATAAAATCAGACACACGTACTTACAACTACTTTTGTTGGAAGTTGTGATGCTCCTCCCCTTGTCAGGAGGCTGGCTAACCTGAGCAGGTAACTGGCTGAATGTAGATCATTTGGACCTTAAAGGCAATATAAGCTGCTCATGTGCTCAGTCTATCTCTTTTGACATCTACAACCCTTTTGTTTTTGGTCAGCACCTTTAACACCTCACCTGAGTGAAAATCTTCCCAGCAGCCACTCAGAAGCCACACGGCTCAGGTGAAACTAACCTCATGGTGGAGAGGAACAAGGTAAAATGTCTTGTAACAGATGCTGCAGTCAACATGGTTTCCTGTGTGAACACTAATAAAACATGTGCAGCACATTAACTGAACCTGATCAACCTGGTCATTTGATCAGATCACTGTCCTGGTCTCTGTAAAACCAGATCCCACCCCGACTGCCCAAGAGACCATGAGACCATAGAACAGAGTCTTCATGGAGCGTCACCATTTACCCATCAGGCCACAGTGGAGCTCTGAGAGAGAAGAAGATCAGGATCCAAAGTGGTTCCACTGATGGAGATGCAACAGCATGAGATCAAGTGAGAAGCAGGAAACACAGACTGACTGAAAACCTGGTCTGACATGGAGGGGAACATTGAGCAGAGTGAGAGCCAAGATTGACACAGAGCTTCAATACTCTCCGTTTCTTTAGTCAGTGAAGGTCAGACAACTAAAGGCTGAATGTAGCAGCAGTTTTATTTTTTAGGTAGAAACCTGTGGACCAGCAGAGAAGGAGCACTAATGCTACTGCTGATGTGTAATACATTACCTAGCTGAAACAAACCTCCTGCGATGACAAGACCCCTCTGAATATAGTAATAAACAGAGAGAAGCTAGCACCAGTTTGTATCTACACCAGCCTCCTCTGTTCCTGTGAGTGAGTCCTCTCACAGTTTCACCTGTGATTTTACTGCTATGACAATTCAAAAACGTTTATTGGCTGCAAAGCCCCAATACTTCAATATGATGTAACTGTATCTCACTAAGAAAGATCAGGTACTATCTGAGGATGAAACTCAACTCCTTGTTCAGACACTGGTCATCTCTTGCTCTGACTGCTATAGAGCTCTCACTGACCAGCATCCTCAGTAAAACCTCTGCTAATGGTCCAAACAGGAGCAGCACATCTGGTCCTCAACCAGCCAGAGACAGATCATGTCACTCCACCTACCTGAACTCCCTCATTCAGCTTTATGAGCCTTCTCATTCTCTAGAGACTATAGTCCGACCATCACTGTCAACCCAAACCTCTCTCTGTTAGTGATGGTGGAACGAGCTACCAGACTGGATCCAGTCAGCTGAAACTCCTTCAGTCTTCACTTGATCTCCTGATCCCTCTCCAGCTGTGTTGATGCTTCTGTTTGATCTACTTGGCTTGTTTTGTGTGTCACTTTGGACAAAAGCTTCTGTCAAATGAATAAATGCAAATGAGTTGATGTAACTGTGATTCACTGCTTCAGTGTATTTGAATGAAGCAGCTTGTTGTGTGTAGGTGCTGCTCTGTGATTACAGAGCGGAGGAGATCGACAGAACATGTCATTTAGTTCAGCTTCTCAGTCAATGAGAGAGACGCATTATTTGTGACGACATAAAATGTATTTGTCATCTTACTGTCATCACTCAGGGTATCCATGAGAGAGTTATGGTCACTCTTCTCTCTCTCGCTCATGGGGTATCATAACGATCATATCGGCTTTCACAGGGTAATGATTGGACGTCGGCCTATGGTTAAAATCGTGGAGCCCTAACCATGATACTTCTGCTCTGTTTGTTCATTAGATGTCCATGATCCATAATCTTTAAGCTGATGTGAATTTTGCAGTGTAAGAATAAGTTCAGTTTAGTTCTTTCTTCACATTTTTGATACATGTGAACTTTGGACTGGACCATGAAACTAAAGGCCTGATCCGAATTTCTCACTCAGGATGTAAGAGATGAGACTCTTTGTTCGGGAAAACCATGTTCAACTAAATATGAATCACAGCTGATTAGTATTAGCATAAAATACTTTTACAGAGTTTGAAACATGTCTGGAGGGGAACATTAAGGAAGGGGAGCTTTAGCTTTATGTTTTCAGGAGACAGCATGTGGTGGGGGGAGTTTGGATTTCTATGTAGCTGCTAGATATAGTTTTTGATAAAGAAATACAGTATATAGTAAATATTTTGTGGATCAGGATCCAAGTCCCATATGATACCAGGTAGGGTTGATATCCAAGATTTAATATCTCAATGCAGTCTAACCCAAAAATCATGATATACGATATTATCACAGGGGTTATATTTATGTTTCAATTGTTTTTTTTTATTATAATATATTAAATCCTATATTATGTTACAGCAAAAAATTGATATGATGACAAATATTGCATTGGTGGGAAATATTGCAATATTATTGAATATCGGCCCAAACCTAATACCAGGTGACATTCCTTATTCAATGATGGGTTTTATGGTGGATCCTTTACATTATATGAGGCTGGATGATAAATCATTATAATAAGCCGAAATGCGTTGTGTGTTTACAGCCCTTTGTGTACAGAGATAAAGCAGTATATACGGTATGAATAGTGTCAGCAGCTGTTCACCGCATGCATTAAAAAAACAACAAAAAGAACTGTTATTTTACATTAAAACCATCTTATTGTCCCCTCACCCTAACATAGAATAAATCCTCTGAACCAGAGTCAGAACAGATTAAAAATGTGAATATAAACATGCCATAAATTATACAAAGTGTTGTGATTGGCTCAGCTCAGGTCATTTATAGTTAAACAGAGTTCAGGGGTGAAGTGAAACCTTCACAGTCACTCAGAGTGACACAGATCACATCGCAGAGCACATCTTAGGAGAGCTGCTCTCTGCGTTCGCCTTCTGCCGGACACACTCTGGATGATCAACACAACAAGGAGACAGCAAGTAATGCACCGATACATCACTGACACCCCCACCCCCACCCCTGTCACAGCATTGATGGACATGAACATAGAGCACGGTGCAGTATGATGGTCTCACCTGCCAGGTCTGTGCGGGAGATCTCCACCAGCCCCTCGTACAGGCCTTTGATGGGGTTCTCCCCCGCCACCACGACTCCATGAAGCCAGATGAGCAGCATGCGGTGACCATGCTCTTTGAAGCTTTTCATACCTACAAGTTCAACTCAGAATTATAATACACACTAATATCCATCTGGATCTGATCTGAGAGGAGTCAACACTGAAAACTAGAATTACCTCTTCGTCGTTGTGTGCCTCCACCACTCAGACTAGTTTCAGATTACATCCCTATATGAAATATGAACCATTTGTGTGAAATTTTGTCATAATTGCTGTGAGAAGTCTGGAGTAATTGCTAAAAAGTGTTTTATGAGGTCAAACTGACTTCCTTGAGTCCAAGTGAATATTTGTGCCAAATGTGAAGTTTTGTTCAGGTGTTACGGAGGTATCGCATTCTCTAGGCCAAAACCACGTATTGTGAGGTCCCGTGACCTTGACCCTTTAACCACCAAAATCTAATCAATTCATCCTTGAGTCCTAGCGAATATTTGTGCCAAATTTTAATTTCATTCCATCACGGCGTTACTGAGATATCGTGTCCACGAGAATGGAAGAGATGGATGGACAACCGGAAAACAATATGGCTCTGGCTCTGACTGTTGCGAAGGAATAATGAAGTGGCTGCAATCTGTTCTTTTGTGTCAGGAGAGAGAATGAAAGCAGCTGTTTAGCTGACAGACTAACATTCAATGAAAGTGTTTAAAACTGTTTTAAATTACAAATATAAGACCACTTTTTTTGCACAGTAGGGCTTAAGACTGTGATTGTTCCATCCATATATCCAAACAGAGGTGTCACCAGATAACTTGACTTGCTGCACCTGAGCTGAAAACATGAGTATCTGATACAAGTCAGTGAGTGTGGTTGACAACAGTCAGGACTGCTCTATTCCTTCCATTAGACATGGACAGAACACATCAGAGGACATGCACTAACACATCTTTAAACTGATCTACTCACCACTTTAACTGACTTCACCAGCAGCTTTTATTAGTGAACTACTGTCTGAGAGCTCTGTTGTCAGTCATGGGATAAAACTGTGATTGTAGTGAACTGAATGACTAAACAGAGTCAGAGCTGAACATCAGTGATGTGTGTGGCCCTGAGAGCTCAACACACTGCAACTTAAGAAAACACAAACAACCTCAGAAAACATCTTCATCAATATGACAAACCATGAGCTGCAAATACTCACAACACAACACAAGTGTTTCCAGGAGACACACAAAAAGTGATGAACCTGGCTGGGACAAACTTGCTGTTCAATGCTTTGTGACTGTAAACAGCATCTTCATATCTGCAGTGGTGTGGACATGGTCTAAATCAAACACTGCTGAGAGTTAGATAAGATCAATACCACTCTCATATCTGTGCATTAACTGTGGAGCCAGAGCCAGGACTCAATTGGGTGAGTTTAGCTTCTTATAAAGACTGGATGCAGCGGGAAACAGCTAGCCTGGCTGTCACCTGTTTTAAAGCTACAGGAAGCTAGGCTAACCAGCTCCTGGCTCCATAACTCTGTACAGACATGAGAGAGGTATTGACTAAGACAGCTGGTAGAGAGAATGAACCAGTGCTGAGGTGTGGTGAAGCAGTGTTTAGTGCATCTGTGTGTAATGTGTGTTTCAGCATGGCTCACCTGTCCACTGTTGTTCTATAGCTCGTATATGAGCGTCACTGAAGTCCCAGTGTTGTGCCAGAATCTTCCACTCCCCGCGGCAGAGGTGCTTGGTGGCCAGGCTCCACAGGACTGAGCGGAGGTGCTGTGTCTCCGGCTGGTGGTCCTGCCTGAAGCTCAGCGGCCTCCCCACCCAGGAGTCCTGCTCACTGCTCATGTGATCCTGAAGGCAACAGTAGTACCAGTTCTCCATATAGTTATATACAAACAGTGGGGTCCACAAGTCTGAGTCTTGAAAAGTCTTCTCAAATTACATTTAACAACTAATAAAAACAGCAATGCTTCATCTGAATTTTCCTGCGGACGTCCAGGATGTTGCTATTAGATGTAAATAAAATCAAGGCTCTGTAAATCATGTTAACAACCCCATAATAACTAATCCAGATGGCAGTGGCTGTATGAACCCTGTCACACAGCAGTGAAGGTAATGGAAGAATCCTACTGCAGTGCATCATTTGTTTTCTATTGAGTCCTGACTCTACGGTGAAAAATACAAATTTCAAAAGTAACTTTGTTGTTTTTGTAAAAGTTTCTGTTGAACCTGACTCAGGATTAACAGTCACCATGAGAATAACTGACCTGTCCAAGAAAACAGTGCCTCAGAACAGCGTCAACATAAGATCAATAAAATAAAAAAACACCAGAGGTCTGTATTACGAAGCAGGATTTGAGGTTATCGAGGTAACTTCAGGTTTAACTCTGGGTTTTCAGTCCTACGACGGTGGTTCACTTCTTACCAGGGTAAATCCCCACGGTAACTGATGCTGAACTCCTAACCTGCTCCCAATCAGATCCAACCTGTCAACAGCCAAACTACTGACCAATCAGATCACTGGAAAAACTGAGTCATCATTCCTACAGGATCCTGACAGGGACAGAAGAGTTTACAATAAAGTGATCAATAATTAAGATCAGTAGATATTTGTGTAGTGGTAGTGGATGGTTTTGACTCTGGTTTCAAAACAGAGCTTCTAACAAACAGAGGAGAGTTTATCACTAAATAACTACATAATAACTATTGTAGCTTCATTTGACCTGAACACAGATTCTTTAATGGACAGGATTCCTGACAGTGATGAAGCTCTTACTCTCTTCTTCATCACTGCAATGAAGTCATTCTATCTGAGCCAGTGCAGGTCACACACACTGATGACAAACTCACCTTCTCCCATTTATAGAAGCGGTCGGCTTTGATGATCATGTCGACCAGGATGACGTGGTTTCCTCTGGCTGCCACCTCCAGACATGTTTTCCCCTGCTGTGTTTATTACATTGTCAAAACAACACAGTGAAGAAGCAGCTTGTCAATCTGCTAGATGATGTACAGAGATACAGGAGTCACACTTCAGGTTAATATATTATCAGGGAAATATGATGTAAAATTCAAAATTAGAATATTTAAAGAGAATTGACACAGAAAACAAAGCTCAGCCATAAAATACAGCAGTTCTACAGACCATAATATACATTTATTCAATCTCAGGCTGATGACATGTTTACAATATGTGTACTGACATTTAACATTTATCAAGAAAAGGTCATGAACTTGGTGGTTTAATCTCTACTACACACCCAGCTGTGAGGCTGATGACATCATCACTGTAATCATTCATATTATTAATAATTATCAGGGCATTTAGTGGTTTACAAATATAGGGAAACATATCTATTTAATACCTGCAATGTTCATTATAGTGCAGCAAGTGGATTATTTGCTTTTTTTTAGTCTTTTGGGTTTAAAATGTCAAAAATAATTACCGGTAACAACAGTACCGTAAATAAACCCAAAGACACATAAACAGTGGTGGAATGTAACTAAGTACATTTACTCAACTAGTGTATTTATGTACATTATATTTTTTGATATTTAAAGTAGATTTTTCTGATACGACTTCTATTGTTCCTTGTCCAGAATCATACTGTATATGTAGTGGAGACTATGTAGGAAGTTAATAAAAGGTATTAATTGTACTTTTTCTGTGTGGTCACAGTGACAGTGACCTTTGACCTTTGACCACCAAAATATCATTAGTTCATCCTTGCACGCTTGTGCCAAATTTAGAAAAGTTCCCTCAAAGTGTTAGTGAGATATGACGTTCAGGAGAGTGAGACAGAAGGACATGAAGCCTCCGGTCCTGACCGTCCAGGTGAGAGTTTGTGCTGTGTAGTACCTTGTCAGCCATGTTGAGGTTAACTCCTGAAATCAACATCATCTCAGCCAGGTCCTGCCAGCCATGCTCTGCTGCGATGTGTAAAGCCGTCTGCTGTCTCTGTGAAGCACAGGACACTGATCTGTTGGACTGCCGCTCACACTGAGCTCCTGCAGAGGAACGTGCTCTCTGTTCTGTGATCAAGAAGCTGGTACTCACACAGTCAGTGACGTCCAGGTCACAGTCAGCATCTATGAGCAGCCGCACAACCTCAGTGTGGCTGCTGAACACCGCCACATGGAGTGCTGTGGTGTGTTGCTGTTTTAAACATAAAGAAGAAGAACATTTCATCAGACGTGTGAATGAGCCGGAAAACAAGAGCTTGTTTAGTGGCTGTAAGAACAGCATCATCAAGTATCACTTTACTTTCACCCCAGCCCCCTCTCTAGCATTCAGACTCAGAATATAAACATTTAATAAACAGGTTATAACACACTATAATGTGGTTGTAAATTGTGCTGAAGATGGTGACACCATCAACGTTGATGTCAAAGTTCTGGTCAGTAGAATGGAGAACATTCTGCCATCAATCATATCCCAAGATCAAACTGGCTTTGTTAATCGTTGTGTATTTGATGTCTTCTACTCACCCTCAGAGGTGACTCCTGAATGTGTCCTCTCTAATCGAGAAGAAAGTATTTGACTGTGTGGAGTGGACGTACTTGTTTGCAATTTAAAAAATATTTGACTCTGGACCAAGATTGATAACGTGGATAAAATGATTATACTTGTGCCCTACTACTTCAATCCTCATGAACTTTGCACAGTCACAACCTTGAAACCTCTAACAGGGAACTTGTTCAGGGCGTCTTTTAAGCCCACTACTTCTCGATCCGTCAATAGAGTCATTAGTGCTTCTGAGCTCTATAGCTGCCTGATATTTCAGGGATTTGGAGGAAGGTAGTTGGACATGAAGTTTTCCTTTATGCAGACCTTTTCTTTTCATATCAAGATCAGATACTTCCAGATACTTCTGTCATTACTCAACCAATTAAATTTACTTAATTTAAAGAGTGACCTTTTCCCTGTGAACGGAGACACTTACACCAGAGTACGCTAACTTCCCCTTTAAGATTGTTCAAAATATTTGACTTACCTTACAGTCACCAAAAACACAAGTGTCTTTTTAAAGACAATTTCCTTACTCTGTTAAATCATGTGAAACAGTGCCTAATGCAGTGAATATATACATCCCTGGATGAATGAATATTCTTCCTAAATATTTATATCTTATACATTATATCTCTATATACACTATGTATTCCTCTTAAGACTCGGTTATATTGTCCTACGTATGCAGGAACAAGCCCCCTCTTCAAACATCTAAAAATAATGGAGGCTTGGCACAGTCTAATTTCTGCTTTTATTATTGAGTGGTTAATATACACATATACAGACCAAGGCAATGGAGCTGAATTCTGTCAAAAAGCTTTTCACTGTTAGGAATCTCAAGCCTTCTCCCCCCAAGTTAACTGAGTGATAATCTGTTTGTCTGGCACAGTGTAAGAGACTTTGGTTGCCAGGAGTTTTCTCTCTTTAGCCCTCTCCTATACAGCCATCTTTTCCAACCTTCTTTGCTGGATCCTGCATTACATGAATGGCAGAGTAGGAAAAGTGAACGCTGAAGATCTTTTATCATTTGAAAAACTTTCCGAAAAGTGTGACCTACCTCGTACCCATTCCTCCAGGTACCTGCAAACCAGACACTTCCTCCACTAAAATACCAAATTTCCCTGAGGCACCTGATACAAACACCACTGATGTGTTTTTCGTAGTTTACACCCACCACACAAAGGTTTAATACCTGCTATCTATGACAAGCTGGCTGGTGTAAGACATGCCCCTCTTCACTAAATTAAAACCGTCTGGGAGCGGGATCTAAAGCAGGATCTCTTTCACTGTTGAACGACAGATGGGATTCAATCTTCTTATTTCAACATACGTCTGTGCCTGTCACAGTACAGTTTAAGGTTTTGCACAGGGCCCATGTGTCCAAATGATCTCATATTAACCCCGATGTGAGGTGAGACTTCCCTAATTCACATGTTCTGGACATGTCTAGGCCTGGAAAAATACTGGAGAGACATTTTCCAAACCTTTTCCTTAATCCTCAATTTTGACCTAGAACCCAACCCCCTCACCGTTTTAAACTGTGCAGTCCAAAACTCAACAATGTACTGCTGCGCAGCACTACAGGTGGGTGGTGTCACAAGTACAACAGACCCCAGCACAAATGTACAACTGTACCTCTGATTGGTCAGGGGGGTCAGACGTGCAACAGTCTTGTACCTTTTCGTTTGAAAAGTTCAATGTGGAAATGTTTTCTTCCAGACAGGATTCAAGCAGCTTTCACAGAGCGAGTAGGTGCCAACACTAGGCACGGGCAACAACCACGACGGCGACTACCTCCTGTCTGAAAGAACCTGAACCATCAGTGTGAAGACATTCTCTAAAATGTTAAATTAAACACATTTATGCATTCTGACTATTTTGGATAAACTTCCTTAGCAGGAAATCTTTTCCAGTCATCATACAAACCAAGAAACAGGTCACATGACAGGTGACATCACTCACATTGTCGACAGCATCGATGCTGATTCCTGCCTCCAGGAGTAAACTGGCCTCTTTGTCAAAGCCGTGCTGGGCAGCGTAGTGCAGAGCGTTCATGTTCCTCTGAGGTCAAAACAAGATGTCACAACATTAATAAACCTCACCTCACCGAGCCTATCCTAACCTCTCCTGTTTATTACAGATGATATTTGACTTTAAATGAACAAACCGTACATTCGTCTGTGCGTTGACATTACAGCCGGACTCCAGCAGCAACTTGACACAGTCATAGTGACCTCCATCAGCTGCCAGGTGCAAAGCTGTGAGACCATCCTGTAACACACACAGTGTTTTGGCAGAACATTATGATGTCACAGTGAAGTTGACGTTTGACATTTTTATAAATGTCATCAATTCATCTTATTCTTACAGACATTTGAGATTGTGTGAGACTTGTGTCATAATTAATGCCACCAGTGTTCAGTGTGTCTGTCTGAACCCTGCTGTATGAATTTCAATATGGAGTCACAAGATATTCTATTATGTCCTTCCAACAGAAAACAGAAAATGTTCTCCTATTTCTGTTTGATAGTTGAGTGGTTTTAGAGTTTTATTTTATGTTGTATCCTTGTGTTATGTTTGTTGTCTTGGAAACAGAAACAGGTGATTACTCTCCCTCTGACAGCTGACAGCTCTGACAGGTTGTGTTTGTTCTTGGGGCGACATGGGGCTCGAGGAGCCATTATTATTGTGTATGTGTGGTGTGATGTGTGTGTATGTCTGTTGATTGGGGGGGGGGGAATTAAAAAGGTGATGTGTAGAAATGCAAACTGATCTGAGACCAGCCTAGTGAACTCACTATGTTCCTCTCATCCACATCTAGTCCGGTCTCCACGATCTTCTGCAGGACCTCTGTGTGGCCGCACCTCGCTGTTAGATGCATGGCCGTGTTCTCCTCCTGCAGGCCGTACATGACAACACATTACAAGACATAACAACATATAACGACCAGTGACCCACAGCTTCCTTTACATGTATCTATGAAAACAATAATATAATAACTTTATCTATATATTACCTTTACAAAGAGTTTACAGGGTGCTTTGACAAACGAATCAAAAACAATGAAGGTCAAAAGCAGGACAGAAATAAGGTGGAGTTACAGAGGGAGGAAAAACAATATCAGATCGCAGTGTGAGATGTTCAGGTTGTGAACATGTTGAGGGCGTGTTAACAGGTTACTGGTATTTTGGTACTAAACTGAAGAGGAGGAGAGAACAGTTTGTTCACAGACCAACCTCCTCAGTGTGTTGGCTTGAGGTTCCATTCACTTTGAAATAAATCAATAAATCAATAAATCAATAAATCAATAAACCAGTGGTATGCAACCTGTTTTCTCGGAGGTATCACAACAGACCTACCAGATGAGCCAGATGTTAAGCTTGGGGGATATCCAATATTTAATATCTCTTTTTATAATATAATTATGTTATTGTATTTTATGTTTCAGGTATGAGCGATGTTGCCACTAAACAGCAGTTCATAGTTTTATTTGTCAATGTACAGTGTAGTATGCATCTCTATGGTACAGAAGTCATGACGACCAATGACCGTGGCCTTCCTCTCCTCAGCTGTAAAATAAACCTGAACAAAGCCCTGACCTGATCACAGTGGCAGCTGCAGTGAAGTTCAGTTTGACCATGTGCTGATTTATCAAATGCTGTCATCTGCTTCAGTTTATCTGAGAAGCAGTGTGAAGATATTTACTTTTGGAGTCAGCTGTTAGCAGGTATTTCCCCTCAGTCCAGTATCTGTACACAGGATTTAAAGTCTGAAAAGATCCTGGTTCGTAATGTTTGTTTGTGACTTAAAATCTCTGAAGTGATGGATGGATGTCAGCTTGTATTCATTTGGTCAAGGTGTCGTCATGACAGCGAATAACAAATAAAACATTTACTGTGTGTGTGTGTGTGTGTGTGTGTGTGTGTGTGTGTGTGTGTGTGTGTGTCTACCTTGTCCTTTAATCCATGTGTGCAACCCATTCCAATCAGAAACTCCACCACCTCCAGTTGTCCATGTTCAGCAGCCAGGTGAAGAGCTGTCTTCCCTGACTGGTAGAGATGTCAGCAGGTTACAAACAGGAGCCGCTGTGTATACAGTATACTGTACTGTGTATACATACACATATACTGTACTACCTGTACTGTATACATACACATAATGTACAGTATATATACACTTACACTGTACTGTATACATACACATATACTGTACTGTGTATACACACTTATACTGTACTGTTTACATACACATATACTGTACTGTGTATACATACACATATACTGTACTGTGTATACACACTTATACTGTACTGTTTACATACACATATACTGTACTGTGTATACATACACATAAAAACACATTCACAGTTTGTACTAAATCATTTTTTAACAAGGTCGTAGGTTTAGTCTCAACATTTGTAGAGACACAACAATCCCTCCATAACAAAGAGGACTTTTGATGTCAACTGAATGGTTTATTAACATATAAGATCTGTATTTACATTTAAACTAGAATCCCCTCCTCGTGGTTCTCTGCCTCCTCCACTAAGACTGGTTTCAGGTTACATCCTGTTTATCCAAAGTCAAAGAAAATATGAACCACCAATGTTTGTGCCAAATTTGAGTTTTGTCAAGGCGTTACTGAAATACAGACTGACATCCTGAAAACAATATGCTTCTGGCCTGACTATCACAGGTGTGGAATAATAAAAACTATACAAAGCTGCCCAGGTATATTAACAGCCACCCAGGTATACTGGGCGACTCATTTTGGCATTTTATTTGTATGTTATTTAATCCATCAGAACAACACCATCTGCGATCGATTAACTATTCTCTACTCTCCCCCCTGAACCTCATCGTTCTGCTAACACACAAACAGAAAGAGAGAAAGAGGGAGACGCATGGTGTGGCGTATGAGACGCAGACACAGTGGATACTGAACGGACAAGTCAGTTCTTAAGTCCAGCCTCCAGATTGGCCCCGCCATTTCAGCCAATCAAATGCTAGCAAGCCTAGATCAGTTTCTTGGAGACGTAGCCTCTGAGAGGGCACATCAGAATTATCTAATGACTTCACTTCAAACATAGTGCCAACAAGTTCACTCAAATTTTGGTTGGGACATGTCCCTACTGTCCATATGCAAACCTACACCCATGTCTGTAGATGAGTCAACAGTCACCTTGTCCTCTCTGTCCAGACAGATGTCCTCCAGGTCCTCCATGATGAACTCCAACACTCTGATGTGGCCTCGCTGAGCAGCACAGTGCAGCATAGTCAGACCATCCTAACACACATACACACACACATACACACACACACATCAGTAAGACACTAACCTCTGACTCTGTAGTGATGCTGAGATCAATCACTCTCTGACCTTGTTCACACAGCTGAGCTTTGCTCCACAGGACACCAGGATCTGCAGGATCTTCAGGTGACCAAACCAGGAGGCCAGCAGCAGAGCGTTCATGCCAAACTGTGGACAAACATTTACAACAGTGAGGGTGGTAGAACTATACACACTTTATTGTGTACGTTTAAATTTAAATTGATAAAACTGACATTTTTTCCCATCAGTCTACACTCATTAACTTACAATGATAAAGTGAAAACTTGTTTTTAGAAGTTTCCACAAATGCATTAAAAATCGAAAACTGAAAGTGAAGAATGAGTTGACCAGATCTAGGTTCAGAGCTGCTGAACGGTGTCCTTCAAAGAGCTCAGTCAAGGCTCGGAAGACTTTTGAAAATGAGAGATTTTTGTTGTGTTGAGATTTAGTGAATACTTTCTGAAGCCACTGGAGAGTGGTTTCCCTGCTGGGCTCGGTCTGTCCCTGCCCCACTAAATATTTGTTTTATTTCAGAAAGCTTACTTACTCAGCATCAGGCTGAGTGCCACTCTCATCATATCCACTCTGGCTAAATCTAATATAAAAGATGGAATGAATGAGTTCAGTAGTAAATGGTCATAAACGACAAACTTGAGTACACACAATGTCCCCCTCATCAACTTCAGTGTCGTGGTCCAGGAGGAGACGAAGAGCCTGTTCATTCCCTGCTCCTGCTGCCCAGTGCAGAGCCTTCCTGTCTATCTGTACAGAGAGAGAGACAGACAGAGACAGACAGGCAGACAGACAGAGACAGACAGGGCTCAGTGATCCTGTGATGGCATCAGCCGAACAGGGTAATAGCATTCCAATCCTAATTCACCTCAGTAGTTATCAACACAGGTTCTTTCATTTACAGTCAATTACACCTTAACATTTAAGAACACACTCTTTGATTATTTTGGAATCAGTTTACTTGCTTTAACCTTGCATTGTCTTATATGGAGTTTAACACTGTAGGGTTACATAGGCAATTTTCTGTTTTATTAATCATTTGCTTCTTTGTGTTGTGTTACCATGGTTGTTGGGAGGACCCTTCCTGGTGGAGCAAAAGGTGTGGCTGATGCTGAGGACTCTTAAATCTGGGAGCCAGCTGATTGGGCCAAGCCAACCGTTGATGCCTCATGTGTGGGTAGGTGGGTGGGTGGGGGTTTGGGTTTAGTTAACTTTGCTCTTTGTGTGTAAATTGGTTTGGGCAAGCCACTATATATGTTCCCTCATGTCTCATTTTGTTGGGTCAGTTTGTTCAGTGAACATGTTGTTTAGTTGATACTATTTAGAAATGAGCCTGAGGCTGTGAGCAGGTAACAGCACCTGTTCAGTCTCACCTGAGGCCTCTGTTTGTATAACATATGAAGGCCAGTCACAGTAACTCCATCACATACATCAGTGATGGCTCAGTGAAGTACATCAGTGAAAGCACACACACCCAGAACTGGTTTGTTCTAATGTGTCATTATTAATCTTCTGTGCTTTCTCATGTTAGAGTATCTGCTGTGAGAACGGTCTGATGGTTCATTGGAGACATCAGCTGATATCTCCATAGTAACCACACAGTCTGACGTCAGAGTTCAGTAGTGTAGCTCTCTCCATCCTGAGTTGTGTACATTAACACGCCTCACTTCGTTTTGGTCTACTGCTACAGTGTGGTGATGTGGCATCAAAAGTGTGTAACACTCCAAATAAAAGAAGTCTGCATACAGGATGCTGTCTGCTGAATTATAAAATAAGGACCTGAAATTTTGTGAGTTGTGAAAAATGTATTTTTAATATGTAATTAATGATTAGTTTTATCTGATCCGATTTATTCTATTCAAACCTATTAATATTTGACATAACACATTGACATGGAATCATGCCTCATTGTTTAGTATGAATACTGTATTTCACGGTGGCCCTGAGAGCTCAACGTACTGCATCTTAAGAAAACACATGCAAACAGATAAAACACAACATCAGTTCATCTTCATCAGTTTGACAACACATGAGCTGCAAATACTCACAACACAACGGAAGTGTTTCCAGGGGACACTAAAAAGTGATGAACCTGGCTGGGAAGTTATTTTTGCCTTAATTCCGATAGTGAGTGAGTGAGTGAGTGAGTGAGTGAGTGAGTGAATGATACATAGATAGATAGAATAGATCTATCTATCTATCTATTCTATCTATCAGTTTGTGTTGTCAGTATTTGCAGCACATGTTGTCGAATTGATGAAGATGTTTTCTTATTTAAGCCGTATTTACAGAACACTGGCAGAGATGTTGGTGGACACTGCACACATGGGCAGGGTTTACTGTGCTAATGAGCTTTAAAAATCTATCAACAGATTTTAAACTTTGACAGTAGAAAATGTAACAGTGATTCACAGTCACCTGTCAAAACAAGAACCTTCAGCTGCAGTTGATTGGTTGGCTGCTAGACTGTATACTGGACAATACAATACACTCAGTCTGACTCAGCGGCTCATGTACAAGACCTTTTATCACAGCACACCATTTGACATTTCATAGTAGGACAGCCAGTGAATGGGGTGTTGTGCTCTTGAATGTAGATATTATAGGCAGATATAGATATAAGTCACAGAAAGGTGTCCACGTTTGCCCTTACTTTATTTTTGGCCTTGACGTCCACACCCTTCTTGATCAGTTCCTGCATTTTCCCTGTGTCGTTCCTCTTTGCGGCATCGTGGAACTCCTTCTCTGACCACAGCACTGTCAGAAAGGACAGATGAGGAGATGTCAAGTGTAAAAGTGTCTGTTCTGAACACCAGTGAAAACCATTGTGTATTCAATGGCCAAGACTTAGGCATTAAACCGGAATACTAAAGATCCTTATTTTCTTTCATTTTCCTCTTCCCTTCTTTACCTACCTAACTTCCTTTCCTTCCCTCATCACTCCTCATCACTCTTGTTTTCACCCTTACCACACCTCATTGACAAGATTGAGTTCACCTGGTCACTACAAGGTTATTGATAACCCCACTCCCATTCATTCATTCCTTTTCACCGTTTGCAAGCCCATGTTGGGCCAGAAGTTTGACGTGCTATGGACGATATACAGACAGTACTAAACAGTGGTGCAAGTCAGTGCATGCAGCATGATAACAGGAGTTTAACACTACAAGCCCAGTCAGTGACTTCCCACAATCCTCTATGACATGGAGGTGACGTTACCATCCTTTAATGACGTTTCCTGGTCATTCACGTAATTCTTGTAAATTGGTGCCACTGCGAGCTTCTCTCATACAGGGAGATATTTCACTTCAAATGTGGAAACTCTTCCTCACAACAGTCTTTTCCCGCTTTTTATGAGGAACACATGCGGCAAAAGAGGGCTGTTTATTTTAATAGGTGACAGAGAATGAACAGTGCTCTTTACGTCACCGTCCACCGTCACATTCACAACACAACACACTGAGATATGGAGTAAAACAAGTGAAACAGCCTCCAAGCTGTGAGTGTGTAACGTCTGCCCCTGTGGTCAACACGGACATCCTGCCAGATGATAGCGCGCACACAAGCACGCACACACACACACACACACACGCTATACAGTAACGGTACTTACAGATATCATCCTCTGACGCCAGGTCGTCCTCCATCTTTGCGGTGTGTTAACGGCTTTTCTCCGGTCTCTCCTCTCTCATCGTGCTGTTAGGCTGTTCCCCAGCTGCTGACAGGAGGCTGGACGCTACACTGAGCAGTTACAACCGTCAAGTCGCAGCAGTAAAACATGAAACAACGACTTCCGGTCACAGCCGTCCAAAATAAAACGAATAGTTACAAGTTTAAAATACCAGTGTGTAGGCTTTAGTGGCATCTAGTGGTGAGGTTGCAGATTGTAACTAACTGAGTACCACCAAATACTCTATTACAGAAGATAACGTATTACAAGCAGCGCCAATGGTAAGATATGGTCTACACTTGGTCTCTTAAGTGGGCATTATCATACATTATGAATTTGCGCCTGATTTTGCTGCTCGTTTTTATCTGCTAGCTTATATCTGATCAACCCAGGACAAGATCATATCAGTCTGATACTCTGTTTTCCCTCCAAAAACAGTTCAATAATAATAACAATAATAGTATTATAAAGCAAAGAAATACAAGTTTTATTTCAGTTTAATCTTTTAATTCATGGTTGCACGTATAGCAGTCCCTCTTAACTTCTGTGGTTGGAAAGTGACAGTAGCTCTACCGCAGCAAGGAAACCAGAGCCACAACCAACAGAGAGAAGAGATCTGCGTTGTGAGATCTCATGAGATCTTTATTCTAACTTTATTCAGACCTGTCTCTGTCTCAGTTGATAGATCTAAATAAAGTTAATTTTCTCTTGATCCGTCTTAAAAATGTAATTTTAATGTCAGGATGTTCTGAAGATCTGCGGCTTGTGAGAAATTAATCCAACATTTATTTCAGTGACTCATGTGAATCATAATCTGTGATCAGGTTCAGTTCTTAAATTTGAGTGAACTGACTTAGACCTGCTGTTGGTCTCCTAAATTTGTGTGTGTGTGTGTGTGTGTGGGGGTGGGGGGGGTGGACAACATACAACTTTAAAACTTGAAACATGCTTCTGTTTGAGAACCTGTGAGAAGGTGAGTGCAGCTATTTTAATTATCAAATAATCTGTTATATCTGATTTAGTGTTCAGCGTAAAATCACCTCTTCGTGGTTGTCTACCTCCTCCACTCAGACTAGTTTCAGCTTACATCCCTGTTTATCCAGAGTCATATAAAATATGAATCATTTGTGTGAAATTTTGTTATAACTGCCGTGTGAAGTCTTGCCTACTTCCACCTACGAAACATTAATCGCCTCCGCCCCTCCCTTACCCCCCACACTGCCGCCATCCTTGTCCACAGCCTCGTCACTTCCCGTCTGGATTACTGTAACTCTCTCCTCTTCGGCCTCCCTCTTAAATCCCTCCATAAACTTCAATTGGTCCAGAACACAGCTGCCCGTATCATTACTCGTACCCCCTCCATCCACCACCTCACTCCTGTCCTCCAACAGCTCCACTGGCTACCAGTTCAGTTCCGTATTCATTTCAAAGTCCTTCTATTAACATTTAAGGCCATCCACAACCTCGCCCCCCCATATCTGTCCGACCTCCTTCATATTCCCACTCCCCCCCGCTCCCTCAGATCCTCTTCCTCCACACACCTGTCTGTCCCCTCCGCCCGTCTCACCACCATGGGGAGTAGAGCATTCAGCCGCTCTGCTCCCCGTCTCTGGAACCTACTACCACCCCAACTCAGAAATATCGATTCATTCCCCCATTTCAAATCACAACTCAAAACACATCTGTTTAAAACTGCCTTTTCCATCTGATGCCAATTGCTCTGTCACTTTTGTATTGTTTTTATTTTTATATTTCATTTTTATTGTTGTTAATTAATTAATTAATTCTTAATGTGTTTTAATCTCAATTTGTGTAACTGTGTACGGTGTCCTTGAGTGCCAAGAAAGGCGCCTTTAAATAAAATGTATTATTATTATTATTATTGAGTTATAGCTAAAAAGTGTTTCTAGAGGTCACACTGACTTTGACCTTTGACCAATAAAAGTTCCTTCAAGGCGTTACTGAGATATCGCATTCACAAGGCCACAATCAGTTTATCCATGAGTGCTAGTGAATCTTTGTGCCAAATTTGAAGAAGTTCTGTCAAGGGTATCGTGTCCATGAGAATGGGATGGATGGATGGACAAGTTGAAAACAATATGCCTCCAGCTCTGACTGTCGCTGGTGTGGAGGAATAAAAAGGGATCCAAGGTCGCATAAAAAAGGTATAAAATTCAGAGTTATAAAAAACATGAATAATGCCTCCCACAATTTCCAGTAAAACCGAAGATGCCTACTCCAATACTACTCCAAACAAATAGGGGGCAGCATTTACCAGATAGTTGTTGTGTTGATCCCTATCTTAGGAAACAAGGAAATGCCCCCTCCCCTTCCTCTGTGCCATAGTTAGACTGGCCATCGGGCACACAGGACACATCCTGGTGGGTTAAAAAAATTAATAATGTTTTTCAGCTAGTGTTAGCTTGAATAAATCGAACCTCAGCACAGGGCATTTGTTGACATGTCAAACCTGAATGGATTGGTTAATGTTTTCCACACAGGTTTATATTGCAATCTGATTATGTAACTGCTAGGTTTCTTTTTTCATTTACTGTTAGACTGACAACAACAATTTCACACCCAGTCAGATAGACAGGGAAGATGTAGATGTAGGGGTGGCAGAAGAAGAAGATGGTCCACGAGAGGTGGAGGAAGGTGAGGGAGAGCAGGGAGCAGCTGGAGCAGCAGCATCAGTACCTGAGCATAGAGGAGTGTCCTCACAGTTACTACTTCTTCACCCTCTCATGTTTGACTGAGGGCAAACTGGAGGCTACAGTGACTCACCATCACCTCTGGGGGTACAAAGTGGGATTACAAGTCAGGATGTGCCAGACCTAACTGGTTAGCATCAAGCATCACCCTCTGATTCTGAAACATGAAGCCAACACAGAGGTACCAAAACCTGCAGTTCATCTAATGACCACTAGAGTCTGGCTCCAACAGTGAGTCAATCCCCATAGACTCCCATGTTAAAATGTCCAACTTTACAGCAGAAATCAACATGTTTACAGCCTGGTGGTACAAAAACTGTTTTGGTCTCTAGAGCTAATCTCGTCCTTCATGACAACTGTTTATATAACTCTTTAAATTTTATTAAGGACTAAAGTTATGTATAATTGAGGGCGTGGCCTCTTTGAGTGACAGGTGGGTGAGCGTATGCGTGTCACAAACTGACATCCACCAAAGTCTCAGCTCCACACCCCTCCCTCTTTTTTGACCTTTTGATTTTTGTATTAGCTGGGAATAAGGGGCGGAGTCAGACCCTGCCAAGATGGCAATGGCAGAGCAGCTCACTCTGAGCTTCAAAACTGCTCTTGAGAAACCTGTGGGTGGCATCACAAAGACTACATCCATCTTTATTTACAGTATGTGGTTAGCATGCTAACTTCAGTAGATGTCGCCACAACACATAAATGTCCTTGACATAATGTCAAACTGTTCATTCTTCACATTCTCGTGATGATCTTAATTTAACTTCATTAATTTAACCCTAACATATGATAGTGTGTTTGCTTGAAAAATGTATTGATTAGCTAAACTGTTTTCAATTTTCAGTTTCTTCTTTTTATATACTATATATGTATATACGTATATGTACTGTATATGTGGCCAAACTATTAATTCTAGTTGGTTCAGCTGGGTTTTAAAAAAGATCTTTCTAAAAGACAATTAATCAAAACCCTGACACAAATAACAAACAATAATAGAGAGTGAACAGAAACAGATGTGTCATCTTCTTGAATAAATTTTGAGATGCTTTCTACAGGCACAAAAAATTATATTAAAGACATTAAACATGAACAGATAGTTTCCCTTTGTTTATTTGGGTGATAGCAAATTTTATCCAATAGCACAAAATGATATCTAATGTTAGAAAATATTTTTACATACTCTAAATGGCATGGCATATTTAAAATAGTTTTAAAAACTACCATCACATCTTTTAACAAATTACCTCACTGATGAGCACAGATCCCTCATCAAATGTAAAAGTGAATTGTAAGAGGTTTGTAAGAAATGTCTGCTACAAGCTCTTTGTTCTGTGCTATGTACAATATCAGTATAAAAACATATCATTCATTAAAAGAAACTGTAATCCTGTGTGGAGTAGCAGTTCTTCTCTGATAAAAAACATTTGCTGTAATCACATGATTAGTCTGAAAACTCCTGAGCTATTTACATCTTTCCTCCTCATCCACTAACAGCATGTGTTGTAAAAGTATGTACAGTATAAATTCCCTCATATAAACTGCCAGCAATACCATGCAATCTGCAAATAGGAGGAAAAGCCAAAGTAAACCATTGAAAGTTGTGTAATTTGGTATTAACACTTTTTAGTACTTAAATGTTCTCAATGTAACAGTACTGCTTGTCATTATGTTATTAATACTCAAATTAGCTTTCAAGTAATTACCCTTGAAAATATCTGATGTTTTATGTAGAAAAAAAATAAACAATACACAGTAGAACATTAAGCATTAGTTTCAGAGAAAGTTAAACTAGAAATAATTGCACTTAGTTAATTATGAGCAAACAGCTGCATGTGCTGCATAACAATCAAAAAAGAGTGACTTCCTGTCCAGCAATTGGCCGCTCACTGACCCTGACCCCCCCTCACCTGTCCAGTCCTCCAGTCTCACACAGCGCCTGTGAACTTTACAGTGATGATAGTGTCAAATCACCTGTTTTAATTCTCAGTAACTTTGAACCAGTAGGTTTTGATTTCAAACAGAAGAAGAAGAATAGCGGTCAGATTTTATCAGCTAGCTAAGAAGGCTAATGCTAACTCCATGAGTGGAGAGTTTATACCGTCATGAGGGGAAAAGCTTTTCAGATTAAACTGGGCTTGTTGGAGTGTAAACTTCCTAGATTTGACAAAGAGCAGGACAGAGCTGCATTCAAGACTGGCCTCCACACCAGGGGAAACAGTGCATAGTGGATGTGTTGTATTAGAGCAAACACTGTTCCTCGTGCTTTTCCTCTCGGCCCTGTACAGACCTGGTATTAACATCTGTCTCAGGTGATCTAATCACAGGTGGTCAGTTCTAAGTTCAGGTGTGAATGCACTCAAGACACATTGAGGACACATTTGAGATCTGATCACTCAGACCACATTCAGAGGTGGTCTGGACCACATGTAGCCACGTGTTAATGTAGGTCTAAACAGGGCCTAAGTGTGTGTGGAGAAATGCAAAGAGGGGCAGGCCTGCTGTGGCTATTTAATGTTGCTAAGCTAACTCAACAGGTGAGGGGTTTAGCAAAGTGCCAATTCCAAATCACTCTGACATTCACCAGCTCTTCCTGTCCCTGGAGTTCTTTGCAAGTTTCAATTTCTTGACCTCCCTGAGGACGAGGTCAGCCTTCTCCAGCTTCTCCAGGGCCTTGGCCAGCAGATCCTCAGGTGTGCCCTCCCTGTCACCTCCACCCTGGGACTGGGACACTCTGCTCAGGAGCTCGCCCGTCTTTTCCCTCTCCAGAGCCACTTCAGTCTCTAGTTTTATGACATCATCAGTAGGAGACCTGCCACACACAGCCACAGCTCTGGGATGCTGCCTCACCTGAGCACAGACGGAGGATTCAGACAGCAGGTCTCCGATGGAGGCTGACTTGGCCTTGGTGGAGGGTTTCAGAGGAGTAATGGGCTTTGATTGTGGACTCGGAAAGGCCTTGGATCCGACTTGAGGCTTGCTAGTGGCCTGTGTTGGCCTTAGACTAACTGAGATCTGGATGTTGTCCTCGCTGGTGTCCAACACGTCCAGACCAGCATGGCTCCCTCTCAGCACAGCAGTTGAAGCTGCCAGCATGTCCTCGCTCCCCGAACCTTCACTGTCGTCGTCTGAGTGCTGACCACTGTCCACAGATTTCTCCTCCGCCTTCTTCCTCTTCTCCCCCGGCAGACAGAGCAGTGGGCTCAGGCTGATGCTGTCAGATAGGGGGTCATTCACAGAGACAGCCACTGAGGAGACTTCACTCTTGGGGGGGGCGTCTTCCTCTTGAAGAGAGCTGTCTGAGGTATCTGAAGTGGTACACTCTTGTCTCTCAATGGGCTGACTTATAGCTGGGTTGTCTTCTGTGTGTTGTGTCTCAGGAGGACAAGGACTGCTCATAGTGTCCTCTGACTCTTCTTTAGGACCCTGGGCTTCTGTGCTGGAACTCTCATCACCTCTGACAGTGGGCACATCTTCCTTAGAAATCGAATGGTCAGCCTCATCTATTTCCACAGCTGTTCCTGTTGTCTCCTTCCTACTGTTCTCTTCCTTTTCCTTCTTCTCATCAGCTGCGCCTTGACCCTCTTGGTCTGGATCCACAGCAGGATTTGAGGGTTTGTTCTCTTTGGATGGGGGGGTGGGAGGGTGGGAGTTTGGCCTGGACTGTGAAGCTTCTGCCAGGTTGCTGGTGGAGCAGCTGGAGCTAGGTTTGTTGGGAGGGGTTGGTGGTGGGCCCGTCTTTTTCTTGGGGTCAGGACTCTTCTCAGTGTTGGCCTCAGCTGGAACCTCCTCAACAGGTGAAACACAGGACTTGACTTCTTTAGATGGAGGCATCGGTGGCTTCAGGACCTTAAAAACATTCATGATATTTTATAGGCCAAGTTATCCAAACAGAAATACCCTGTATGATGAGGGTTATACAGCAGTATACAGACCTTTTTGTCTTGGCCATCCTTATCAGGTTCATCCTCAGGTGCTGGACTGGGTTTAGCCTCTTTGGTGGGGGGCATGGGAGGTTTGATGACCTTTTTCTGGGGACTGACCTCTGACTCAGTCTGAGCAACCTCATCAGGAATTGGTACCGACTGTTTTTCTGAAGGTTTGCTGGCACTGGGCAGAGGTGTTGGGACTTTGACAGCTTCTTTTGGGGTCTCAGTACCATCAACGTTGTCTAATGGCATCCCATTGGGCATGACAGCATCCTCCAGGTCAAGATCCAACCGCAGGATACCATCGGATGACACCACCGCTACCTAGAGGGCAAATAAAACCACATAAAGATGAGACATTTTTAAATTTAAAAGCTGGTAAACCTTGAATTCTCAATTAAAAGCTAATAAAATGTTAATAAAGGCAATGGTGAAAAACTACAGGGGTGTTTGGGAGAGTGGTTTGTTTTTGTTTAATAGAGATACTGCTTTCATTCACTGAAAAATTGTACTCACCTCTGTTTTTTCATTGACTGTTAAGCTAATGTCAATGGTATGCAACACTTCTTGCATATATTTCAAATTAAACGCTTTAAAGGTGTAATGCGTAAGATCTGGCCAGAATTTTTGTTTAAAATGTTCAAAAAATGAACTAACACTATCAATAGTATGTGAAGGCGCCACAATGATGACATCATGACCAAGACCTCCATCTATTGTATTTCAGAGATATCTAATGAAATGAGCATGCTAACCAACTAGCTGCGGCTAGTGTGGTAATACCACTTTATGACACTGGATGCTGTGTGAGTCAGTGTAGCGTCTAGTCTGCCCTCAATCCCACGAAAAAGAACAGCTTCCTCCAGAGCTTGAAGTTACGCTACAGCTCTGACAAAAAAATAAAAAAATAAAAAAGCTGCCGACGAGCATCACAGAAACACAGAGATGTCTGAAGCTCCTACAAAGCGGTCTTCATCTCCACCGCTCCGACAAGAAACCATGTTCAAAGGCAAAGAAAAGAAGCAAAAAACAGGTGAATCAGCTCTGGATAAAGAGATGGAGTTTGATGCTGACCTGCAACTTTTCTGTTAGACAGGTGAGTAACATCTAATGTTGGTCTGTAGCGAAAAGTATCATTAGTGCAAATGACAAACCGTACCGACAAACACTTCAAGTGGCATAAATGTATGAATGATGACGTCGACCGACATTTTAGTGATTAAGTAGAATTTAGTCTGTTCTTGAAACCAGCGGGTTGAGAATCTGCTTCTTCCCCTATAGTTGTCAACCTGCTCCACTTTGCACCACTTGTCTATACCACTGTCATTATATCAGAGCCACAGTGTACACATTCATACTGCTGATTCATAACAATGAATATTCATACCACAGTTATACCACTGTCTAAACTGATCTAAACTAATTGTCCTATCACGTTTGTCTGTATCAGGACTGGAATTCCAGTCCAGTCCTCCCCAGTGATGGACCAGCACCTGCCTTTTCTTCTGCGTCTGGCCTCATCAACCATCAACAACCATATTACAGTAACACCTTGGAGTATTATCCCTGCACATATTGTCTATACTGTGATGTTTTGCACATCCTGCTCAGCAGGAGTTTTGTCAACACTTTTGTACATAGTTTTTTTCATTGTTTTATTTTTTTGTATGTATGTATATTTATCTTTTTGACTGTTGCAGTATTTGACCTTTTTATTGTTATTTCCTATACGTACGTTAAATGGATACGGCACCAAACACCAAGCCAAATATATCAGTAAAAACCTATCTGTCAATAAACCTTATTTTCTGATTCTGCCTTTGTGATGATGTCATCATCCCTTCAAGGGCGAAGAGGTGAAATGCTGCCCCCTATGGAGGTGCAGCAAGAAGCACGATCTTACACATTATACCTTTAATAAATGTCTTGAAGCTTAACAGTGATTTAAAAAAAAAGGCAAAGCAGAATCAATTCGAATTAATTTGTCAATAACAATAATATTTCTGTTAAAAAGTAATGACAAAATATAAATTATAAGTACATTATGAAAAATTTAAATGAAATCAGATCAAAACTACAGAAGCGTAATGCATTCACAATGCAAAATTTTTTTTCTGAATTAACGAGATCATATCATAATCTCTTAAAAATAGCTGATTTTTTTTTTCTTAAGTGAATGCATTACACTTCCATACAAAACCGAAAGACATTTTACTAAAAATGAAATATATATAAAGTAATAATAAATATAATGAATTAAATATATTTCATAGACTTAACAGTAACAATTTTTATAATTAGAATTGAAGTTATTTTTAGCTTTGAAAAAATATCAGACATGAAATCATCAACACATCAGTCAGTGAGTAGTCAGAGGTTCAGACAATCACATTCAAAGTTACTGTGTATGTTTGAACCAAGAAGAGACCCATTCTAATGCTGGAAGAACAGGAAAACTACACAGAGTAGAGATTCAAATCTAGATCTACTGAGGCTGCGTCCGCACTGATATATTTTATGATAGATTTTAAAAAATAGTGTTTTAAAATGAAAACAATGAGCGTTTTAGCACCATATCACAAATAATCTCCATCCATACTAACACACATGAAAACACATATCACATGACCATTCACTTGCACTGGGCATGTGCCAATGTAAACAGGAAGCAGATTGTTTACTCTGCAGATGGTTAGTGGCAGAAAATACTACAAGTGAGGAACAACAATGGCAAAAAGTAAGACCAGAGATTTCTTTGCTTGGACTGACGATGAGCTGGGACTGTTACTGAATGTCACACATGAGTATGAGGCGTCATGGTGGCGGAAAACAAAGATTGGAAATCATTGTTGTCATCTCAAAAAGGGTCACGTGATAGGAGCATGACAAATCAGGGAAGGATACATGACATGAGACCCAATCAGGAAGTTACTGTGGGTGTCTGCCTCATCGTTTTCAAAGGTCTCAGTTTCTGTCTGTCCAGATGCGACACAACCCCAGGGTTTTCAAAATAAAACTGGTGTAAAACAGGTCCTGCAGAGTTTCTGAAAATATCTGTTTTAGGGACTGAAACCTCTGGATAACACCAGGAGTAAAAGTGTGTGGATGTAGTGTGAGTGATGACTGACTGACACACACACACACACACACACAAAACACACACACACACACACACACACACACACACACACACACACACACACACACACACACACACACACACACACACACACACAAACCTCTTTCATGTGTATCCTGGTTGGTGGGCGCCGGTTGCGGTTCCCTTTGGGCCTTGATCGAGTGACATGCTCTAAGTTGCTGCTTTCATCAACCTTCACCTGTGAAAACATGAAGCTTCATCATTCACATGAAGCTGAGGGTGTAGAAACAGGAAGGAGTCACTGACACCTCCCACTCTGTGGATCACACACGAGTTTACCTCATCGAAGACTTTGTTCTTGGCTCGATTGATGCCGTCAGTGAGGGCTTTGATCCACGCCTCCTTCTCCTCTGCAGTCTGAGCCTGGAGCTTCACATCATGGCCCTTCAGCCACAACAGACCAAAAATACATACAGTCTATGTTAGGGAGCATTTACCTTTTTTTAGAGGAATAATTTAATCAGCAGTATTATCTATCTACGTATCTATCTATCTATCTATGATACACAGACCGTGATAGCAATCATTTTGTTTTGGATCCAGTACAAAGTAATGTCAGGGCCTGTATTCAACAACACTACAGAAGTGTCTGAAGCAGCAGCTGATGAGTAAAACAATTGTCTGAGTGTGAGCAGTGAAACACATTTATCAAGTGAATTCCTCCTACTTTCAGCCAAGTGTAAGGGCCTTCCTCCACACTTGTGGTGTTGTACTTAAGTGCTCGTTCACAGCCTGCCAGCTAACAGGCAAGACGTCAGCATTGAACCTCTGTGAGGTTGGAACCTCATAATAAAATGGTGTGAATACAGTGATAATACATGTCATGTCACTTTCAGACACGCACCCACACGCATTCAGTACATCACTCCTTCTCGTGTGATATTGCCTCTATACAACAGTTGTACGAGCGCCATATTAGTTAAATAAGCCACAACAGATTATGATTTGTTTGTGTTGGCGTAGCCAAAATGATGAATAAACAAACAGTTCCGCAACTGGACTGGTACTGGACTGTTGCTCAGCAACACATAAACATTGTCCGGACCAGCACAGTGCACACTAGCTTGCACACCAGACATCATTTAATACAAATGTTATTTCTGGAAATATTTTTATCTTTGCAAAGTTTGTTACAATCTAAGACAGATAACAACCATGAATGTAACGCTGATTAACAGTTATAAAACACCTGTAAAGCGGAGTGATACATGTAGTTAAAAGTCCCAGTGCTGTTATACTCTATATCAGCACTCATGGAATGACTCTTGACCAATCAGATTACTTGGTCGAAACTAACTGTTGTATAATGAGAATTATTACATTTTGACAGTGTTTCTATTTTAACTGGCACAACTTTCCTAGCCTTTAGTCACATGATGCTATTCAGCCAATCACTGTGACTCAAGTCAGTGAGTGAGATACACACTAACGACTTGAACTATACTTTATGTTCAGTGTATAGTCCTCCTTGAATTTAAATTGAACAGCCCTGTTGTAAACCATAATTCTGTCCTCACACCTTATTGAACATGTCACTCCCTACAGATTTTAAAGGGACTTTTAATTAACGTTAACATTCAGTTACTGTTAATTGAATTTGAGCCTCTTTCAGTATGAATTTTACATTTTGATTTTCAATATTTATCCCTCATCTCATGGTTTATTTGTCTTAAATTTCTTTCAAAATAAATGACTTACTCTATTTTGAATTACAGTATAAATAAAACTTAACTGTACATACATCATTGATGATTTTTGTTTAAGCTGCAGTTTTAGAAAAGTCCTGTTTTTATTTCCACATAAGAACCTGTTCCACTGTCAGTAACATCCCTGATTTCCTCTGACACTCTGCCTCTTCCAACATGGCTGACCATCTTAACCGTGGTCAGGCAAAGATAGATGGCCGGCTGTGGGACACACTGCTGCTACTGCTGCTACTGCCTTTGTCTCTCCAGCCTCATTCAGCCCCACAGAGCTGAACAGGGTTACCCCGGAGAAACCAAGAGACAGCCAAGCAGCTCTTCACATCCTGGTCACATCCACTCACTTCATTCACACTCAACAACACAACAGAGCACAAACTACCAACACATTCAGGAGCTCAGAGTTTCACAAACCAGGGTTGTATGGAAGCCTATAGGGGACCAAATTCAAACGATAATGTAATTCCACAATAGCATTTTCATTTTCCACATATGTATGTGTTATCTAAGTGAATAGTGGACAATATTCAAATGTTAATATAAATTTGATAATCAAAATGCAATATAAACAATTTAACTTAATTTTCATTATAGGCAAGCAATATTCAGGTCACAATGAAAATGAGAACGGCCTTTGACATTTCATTCTCAAACCTGTTCGAAAGTGGACAATATTCAAGTGAAATAAGCAAAACATCTGTTGCATTTTCATTTACCTTTCACTACACTATTTTGGGGTCAAAATGAAAATGCAATTACATGACAAGCTGAAAATGAAAATGGCATTTGACATTTCATTTTCAAAGTCTTAAGCTGCTCTACAGTGGACAACATTCAAATGCAATAAGCAAAACAGCGCCCCCAGCCTACTGCATTTTCATTTACACGTCACCACGCTCCTTCAACATGAAAATGAAAATGCAATCTGTCAAACCTCTCATCAAGGCGGGTCTTCAGTTCTGAGGTCAACCGTTCTCTGTAGGGGGTTAGGACATTAGACAAGTTACCAGATCCTGACTTTCACAGTCACTGAGCACTTGCCTATAATGAAAATTAGTTTAAATTGTTTATATTGCATTTTCATTTTCAAATTTAAATTAACATTTGAATAATGTCCACTGTTCAGCAGGATGTGACCTTGGAAATGAAATGTCAAACAGCTTTTCCATTTTCATTTTAATATTGTCCTAGAATGCCCATACAAGTATGTGAGAATGAAAATAATTGGTTTATTTCATTTTCATTTTCACTCAAATACCACATACATATGTGGAAAATTAAAAGGCTATTGTGGAATTACATTATCATTTGAATATAGTCCCCTATAGGCTTCCACAGGATTGTATTAAAATATAGGTTTCAATTCACAAAATAATGGTTTGTAGCAACATTTTCCCTCTTTACTTCCTTTTATTCAAAAAACATTTGGTTCAGCCTCAGTTCAGTGGCATGTACATCTTTATGTTTTTATGTGAAGCACATACTTCACCTGTATGACCCCATGAATTGTGCTATAGTATAGATACGTGACCAAAGTACAGTATTACTATAATCAAAAACACTACAGGTTCTAGATCCAGAACCACAGAGAACCTGAGCAGCAGTGAGTCCAATCTGAGTCCAGAAGATGCTGAAGGTTTGAGGCTCAGTTACATAAGGACTCTGACTCACAGGGGGGAAAGGGGGAAAGTGCCACACACACACACACACACACACACACACACACACACACACACACACACACACTCTGTGAAGGCCAGTTTAAGCTCACCTCTTCTCTATTTACACGACTACAGCAAAATTCACCATTTATACTGTATATCACATTTTTTCAAAGCTGCATTCTTTTAGTATTTCTGTGCATTTTAACACTTTATTGCTGGAAGGGTGTTACACAACAAAGGTCCTCAAAGCAAGGACATTGTGATTCAGTGATCCCTGGTAACCCTGGTAACCCCGGGCTCACCTTCCAGAGCTGCATTTGCTGATGATTTTGGCTACAAGATGCAAACACAATGATGACATGTTATGACCTCATAAAGTCGATATGGCTAGCATGTTAGCAAACAGTTGCCTGTTTAAAAATCCACCAGATACAGAGCAACACTATAATTTATTTGTCATGTCTGTGTCACTAGATGAAACTCAGTCCGGTGTTCCCTCTCTTTTAACTCTGTGTTTAGTCTCCTCCTGAGGGAAATATCTAAATGCTCCACTATGTGGAGTCTGCTATACCATGGTGACTACACATAGAGAACATAGAGAGCTGTAACCATGGTAACTTGGTACTGAAGTATCGGTTGTCTTCATATCTGTAATTTGATCTGCTGTTGTGTTGGAGCTGTTATGCAGTTATAATAAAAGTTGTGTGCTCACCTTATTTCCAGACTTGGCTGATCGAATCAGTATGAGCCTGTGCTTCTTCTTGAAGGGGCTCTTTAATTCATGACATTTGTCATAGTTTTCAAGGTCAACCCTCTCTAAGCAGTTCTGCAAGTCCTGCAACACAAAGTGTGGCACCATTGACTGAACATCTGTCACTCCAATTAAAGGATAAAGCTGCTTGTCAACCATCAACCTGTTAACCTTACTTCATATAGTAAAAGCTCTGCATTATCCTGCCTTTGTGTCTGTGTTCAGGTCCTCTCTTTCTGTTGTTCTTTCATTTTATATCAATGAATCCCAAAAGGAAGCAGAGTCAACAACTATCCAGCAGTATGTTTTCTTTGTAGCCACAGTCTGATAAAGATGTTTATTCTGAACATTGGAGAACTTGTGATTTTATGAAAACACAATATAAAAGATAATGTAATATGGTGCAAATTACCTCATTTTCATACACCACAATCTCTGTCCTCTCCACATGGATGTAGCGGTCCTTATAGCTCACCAACAGTCTGCCAGTAGCTTTCTTCACCCAGCCGGCCTTACCCAGGAACTTTGGCTCTTTACACTGGGCTGGGTCCTCTTTCACACCCTGCAATGACACAGAGGAAGGAAACCACACTCAAAATACACAGCCGTGTACGAGCAGGGTGCAGATTACTGTGTGAGGTACTTTCATTTTTACCATTGTTACTAAATGATATCGCACAGTATAGCTGTACTAGACTGAGGGTATTGAGTTGATAGTTTACTTTACCAGTATATTGTAAAATCTGGGTTTTATGTTACAAAAGTGCTGATTAAACTTTGCCAGAGAAGATGGAAAGAAGCTTGATGAGTGTTGGCAGCTCAGATCAAACCAAAATAAGTTTGTTTGGATCAGAGTTCAGCAGATTTGGTGCTCCCACAGTGACTGCACATTGCTGACTGTGTGTGCATGCACATGAGTACAAAAGGTGTAGGGGGATGACATTTATACAGTTTGTACCCAAATACTGAATGAAAAGATGACAGCCAGTCTCAAGAAGCCTGGCAGGAGCAATTTTCCAACGTGACAATGATCCTAAACATGCTGCAAATATCACACGGGTTTTTTAAAGAGCAGCTCAGCAGAATCATGACAGAACATCCCAGACTGGTATCATCCTCCTCCTGGAAAATCAAATATACAAGATACTAAAATAAAAAAGTAAAATAAATGTATCTTCATCCATTACGGTTTAATCAGTCAAATTTTCCTTTTTTTACAGATTGGCTTCATTCGTCTTGGGCTTTGGCTAAAACCAATCAAACTTTATTAAATGGACAGGATCTGTAGGGCCTTGTCTGGGGCTGGACTGGCCCTGAGAGCTCAACACATGCAAACAGACTAAACACAAACAAATTCAGAAAACCTAGTCATCAATTTGACAACTCAAACACGCTGCGTAGAGCTCTCAGGGCCACCGTAGTTTATTGTATTTGCATGACACACAGGAAGCATGTGGTGCATGTATAAGTCATTAGTACACATACAAGAGACAGATGTTATCAAGGCAGAGTAGCCTGGATGTGCCAATAAAGTCGCTCCTCTGAAGAGGTACAACACTTCAACACAACATAACAGAACATGAGTGAGAATGACATTCATGTGTGGGCGGATTTGGCTAAGATGGCGTCATACTAGTGGCAGCCTGAGCTCGCCCAGAGACAGTAGAGAAACTGAGATGCTTCATTTCCGTTTATTTCCTGTATCTGTGTCACGTGGGTTTCTTCACCTCCCGCCCCTTTAGGAGACCAGCAGTAGGTCACAGATTATCACAGATTCTTTCGCTCCATAGTCACCAAAATAAGTATTGGACCCAGTTTTCACAAGCCACACGTCTTCAGAACATTCTGACATCAAAATGAAATTTTTCAGACGAACAGATACGGAGAAAATTTACTTTATTGGAGACCTGCCTCTGTCTCAGTGCCATACCCCTGCGAGATCTGTCAGCTGCCAACATCGTTTGCCAACCGATGACCAGATGTTTAGATGGACCAGAGTTATTTTTGGATTGAGTTACTTATACGTGAAACCATGGATTAAACTTTGAAACTTAAATAAAACATGTTTCATTGCTTAACAATTGCTAAAACAGAGTATTAGCCTATTAAACTGACTGCCTATTAACTTTTTACACTACCGTGTTTTATTGTCTATTGTTGTATTCTTTTGGCAGGGACAAGTAATCCATCAGTTAGTGTTAAAAATGCCTGAGCTTTGTGCAGCAACAGGCTGTAATAACAAGAAAAACAGATCTGTCTTTTCTTTCCCAAAGGATGCAGAGAGGTAAATCTAGACAGGGATAGATTTTAATATTAGCTACTGCCACATTTCAAGCCAGTTGCCTTCGCTTGAGGGAGGGGTCTGGGGACAACGCCCACGTAGGAGACCAGAACTGTGTCCCATTTCATACCATTGGTGCTTCCTGTAATGTGGTATCTTCTGTGTAGAGGATCTTTGGCTTGCCTCAGACAATGTCGCCCATCCCCTCCAAAGAACTCAGGACAAACTTAAGAGCACATTCAGCAAGTCATACAAACCTGCTGTATAAGGGAAAGTCACAGAAAGTCATTTCTGCCTTCAGCAATCAGATTCTATAATGCATCTCTTTAATTTATTTAATGCAAAAAAGAAATCCACATATAACAAATGTATTTCTGATGCACACACACGTTAATACATGCAGACTCTTGATCTGTGGATGTTCTTTTTTGGTTCATGATTTCTGTATTTTATTGTATTTTAACTCAACAGATATGACATTTTAATTTCCCTACAGGGATTAATAAATCTATCTATCTATCTATCTATCTATCTATCTATCTATCTATCTATCTATCTATCTGAATTAACAGGAGCAAACACTTTCTGTTCAGGTATATGCATCTACTGAAAACAGTGTGTGTGGCTTTACAGTGGCAGCAGTGACGATATAACATTATTTGTTCTTTGCAGCCCACATATTGAGTAAGTAAGTGTTTGAGGGAGTTTTAATCATTTCTAAAAGAACCACCAACAGTTTTTTCTTTCTATTAATATCTACTCTCAGGGTCTTGGGAACTGTGAGCAATCACTTCCTAAATTTTAAGCAGAAGTTGCTCTTTACAAAGTATATGTGATAACGAAAGATGTAGAGATGTTCCTACAAGACTCTCAGCGACACAGTCCAAGTCTAGGACGATGTGCCCGTGTGACCAGTTCAGCTCTATGGCTGCACAGAGAACGAGTGAAACCCCAAGTTCTGCTTAAACCTGTGGTGTTACTGTAAACATCGTTTGGAGTGAAAGGACTCGGGCTGAGGCCGCTGAACGTCGGCAGCTCTCACTTCTTATCAGACTTTTTTGTTTATGAAAACACAGTGTCTGTGACACATCTCCTCTCACCTCAGACTGCAGCACCTTTACTCTGCATATTAGTCATATTTATTTTTTTTACTATTTTATTTTATATTTAAGCTGTTTTACTGGTTTTGCCTTTATATCTATTATTACTTTCTGGGATGTTTTCCATTTAATACCACTTTTATTTCTACTTTAATTTCTGTCTATTTATTCTATTTCTACTTATATTCTGGTTGTACTCACTTCCAAAATCTCCTCTCTTTTAGCATTTTATTATTTTATCTTTAGTATTTGGCCTTATGTCTGCTTTTTAATAGTATTTTATTATTTTATCTTTATCACTTATCATTATCTTTGCTTCCATTTTTCAGTGTTTTTCACTTCCTGTTATCATTGTCTTAATATTTATTGTTTTTTATCATTACTTGGTATCTATTGTTCTGTGTGTAAATGGGTGTGTCTGTTTGTTGTTGTGTGTGTGTGTGTGGTGTGTTGTGTGTGTGTGTGTGTGTGTGTGTGTGTGTGTGTGTTGTTTGTGTGTGTTGTGGGGCTGGAGGTTGTCTTTTTGTTATTGCTTTTATTTTGCTTTTTAAAGCACCTTTTGTTACATTCATACATTGTTTGATAAATGCTGTAAAAATAAAGTCTGATTAATTGATTGATTGATTGGTTGATTGATTGACTGATTGATTGATTGATTGACTGAAGTTGTGTTAAAGAAGTGTAGATTCAGTGTAGATTGTGGAGGATGGAGTGTGTGGAGCTGTTGATTTGTACAGGTGTTCCTATTATTTTGTCCACCTGATTTCCATCAGTGAGGGTTGGCTGAATAACAGAAACACATCTGTATAATGTAACACAGCTCAACAGCAACACACACTCCATGCTCCACAGTGTTGGGTCTACACCTCTTTAACTGAACATTAGAGCCTTCATGAGGAGAATTTACTGCAGCTTCAGACGCATTAGTTTGTACAGAGGAACTGAAACTCAACATTCATAATGAAACAGCACAGTGAGCTTCTGTGTTCTACTGGTACTTTCTACACAGTGGAAAAACATGTCACTGTGTTCTGGGTATGAAGGAAGATGTAAAGAATGTGTTTAAAAAGTTCACAGGAGATACTAAAGATCTTACAGTTCAGTTCAGTCACCTGAGTCCTTTACAGACCAAGGACCACAACCACTAAAATAAAACTCACAGACCACCTAACACCCCAAAACCAATAGATCCAAAATTAACAGAGACGTATGAACACTGGCCAGATGTCATCAAACACACCACGAGTCTTAATTATGGCAACTATATTACTGGTAAAACTCAACATTTATCTGCTGTGTCCGTTATGTCACAGCTTTCTTTTAATTGACCCGGTCCTCAGCCACCGGACCATGTCAAAATAAATGTTTGAATTTACATATGAGCTGATTTAATATTGAAAACAACACATATTCAATAGTCACTACCAGGCTTGGTGGTCACTCAAAGACAGTTTGAGACACACTAAATTTAAAACATGATATCTTTACAAATTTACTCACGGTCCACCAGGGGCTGCATGTGCTCGGAGTAAACTTTGACAGAGACTCTCCTAAAGGAACAAACTGTTTACAAACCTGAACCCTGACCTAAACCTGGTTCTAACCTAAACCCTAAAACCAGGTCTTAACCCCCAAACAGCCCTTTGAAGTTGTTCTCACAATGATGGCTTCAAACCAAAATCTGTCCACACAACCATAGAGACTTTCTGGCAGCAGCAACTCTTTGTGTCTCTGTTGCTCTAAATCTTTACTGAGTTCCTCTGTTTGATCAGTATAATATTATAATGTTACATTTTAGCACAAAGCCTCATTTTGATGTGCTCCAGATTCCCTGTTAAAGTTCCTGCATTATTCTGTTAATACAAACTCGACACTTCCTGTATCCTTCTTTTCTTAACAAGGCTTTTATTGTGAAACATTTGCAGAAATGTGTTGTGGAAAACTCTGCTATCTTTTTATGTGAAGAGACACAGTAATGTCCCTGTGCATATCCCTGACGTGTAATGTCACTGATGACATCACAGAATATTTTTCAATGCTCACAAAATATTTATCATTTAATTTATTTAATGTAAAAAAAAATCCATTTATAAATATATATTTTTGATGCACACACACGTTAAAACATTTTACTCTTGGTCTTTGGATGTTTTGTGATTCTTTTTTGCTTCCTGTTTCTGT